CCCCATCCACTATGGCCATCATAAAGGCACACGAGACAGGGCCCCGGGATAAGGACCGAATTTTGAAGGATCTTAAAGGTAATACAAAGTTTTGGGAAATATTGAAAATTGGCTGGATAGTGATTCTTCAAAATTTTGATATATTTGGATGCCCCTGTGGATGTATTATAAGCACTATAAAAATTAGCCCCTAAATCACTTCTGCTTTCGAGAAAAATGGAATATACAAAATTTACCGGTGCTCCCGGTAAATTTTGATAAATTTCAAATAGCGACTTACGGCCATACAATGGTAGCTGCGACCATGAAAATCTCAGAATATGTAGTTGTGATACATAAGTTTCAGAAGGGAATATAGCCAATCGGTCTATTTTAGTCAAGAAACATTGTTTTATAGCTTAATTAACATCTTGACCTTAAGAGGGAGCTATACAACATAAATAGTTTATTATTTACAATTTTATAACTTTAGACTCGATTTCAACCGTGACAACGATCACTGAATATTGTAGGATCGCATATGCTTCCAATATGTTAATTTGAACCAAATTCATGACCCCCATACCAAAACTTTGTATTACCTTTAAAGGCCTACTGTACTACTTATTGCTACTTGCGCCCTCTTACAACAAAAAATGCCTTATCGGTGACCATTGGTCCCCCATGATCCTCTTTTTCTTATGTTAACTAAGAGCTGAGTTGATGAGATACAGGCGCGTACACAGGGGGGGGGGGGGTTTGGGGGGTTAAACACCCCCTTTTGGTAATTTTTTGTGTGTAAACCCCCCCTAAATTCCTCTAAAACTCCCCCCCCCCCCCCCTTTGGATTTTTTTTTTTTTTTTATTAAAAAAAAAAAAAAAAAATATTCCCATGGTTGACCTAAAAAAGCTGACCTTACCAGCCCCACTAACGGAGCAAAATGTCCTCTAACCCCCCCCCCCCCCCCGCTTATTCAGCGGTCGGCTGAGTCGTTGCGATTTTTTTTGGGACCAAAAAAAAAAAAAAAAAAAAAAAAGTGACCCCCCCCCGCTTATTCAGCGGCTGGCTGAGTCGTTGCGAAATTTTCTGCACGATTTATAAATGTTAAACCCCCCCCCCCCCCCCTTGAAAAAATCCTGCGTACGCGCCTGATGAGATAACCACCTGTCCAGTGACCTTGCAGGGCGCTCTATCCCTCCTGTAAACTATGGCAGATAAGCTTTAAATGGCTTTAATTTCAGGCAAAGCTGTTTCTGGATACTCTTTTTCAACTTATTATTATAGAAATCCAACATCGAAGCTATGTAGCCATAATTATTGATTAATGTCAATCATAAGAGAACTTACAGCCCCAAAAACGCTTACTATTGAAGAAGGTAAACACCGTGCAAGAACTATAGTTGACATCATGGGCAGTGACAGCAACCCCCTCCAGGAAAAAATACCTATACCAGGGGCGGATCTAGCTTTTTGCTTAGGGGGGGGGGGTGACCAATAATGACGATGCGGAGCATCGTCCACGAGCCGCGAAGCGGCGAGCCGATTTTTTTGGGGTGTTTATTTGAACCCCGTAAGTGATGTTTTCCTGGCATCTATTAACACAATGGAGACCATAAAAAGCAGTTCATGATAACGTCTTTTTAAATCAAGTAACAGTTAAATACACAGTTATATCCAGAGTTATCATGTGTTTGGTTAAGTTACCAGATGAGTTGAATATCTTCTCACAATATTTGCACTTGAAAGGGTTTCTCTCCAGCGTGCGTTCTTTTTTCTTTCTTTTTTTTTTTTTTTTTCTTTTTTTTTTTCCTTTTTTTTTTTTTTTTTTTTTTTTTTTAATGTGGGGATTTTGGGGATGAGAATCGGCAACGCTGGCCTAGCTTGTCACTTCGGCGGTGGCCCGTGTCCTCAAAAAAGCTGATGGGGGGGGGGGGCAAGGGACTCTGTGACATTTGTTCGCCCAACCCCCCCCCCCTCCCCCCAAAAAGAAATAATAATAATAATAATAATAATAATAATAATAATAATAATAATAAATGAAATAAATACATAGAAATAGAATAAAATAAAATTACAAGTTTTTAAAAAAAGATAAGATTTTTAAAAAATGGTCCCCGGATTTTTTTTTTTGGGGGGGGGGTTTCAACCCCCCAACCCCCCCTCTAGATCCGCTTCTGTATACCTCATCCCCCAACTATATAAGCCACATAATTTGAACATTATACTACTCCTCATTATATGTTCCAAGTACAAATAGGCCTAACACTTTCTATTTTCTACCAAAATCTTGCTATATATCTAGGCTAGTCATTGACTGCTCTACGTAGTACTAACTTGAATTGTGAATTATTACTTTAATGTGAAATTGAATGATAGCTATAGGCTTACATTGAACTAAAATTTCTGAGAGGTCGGGTGTTGACGTTTAGGCTCTGTAATTACTTTCTATTTATACATTGTAGATTACTTTTTAAATAAATTTGTTCCCTTTTTTTTTAAATAGAGGTATCATACGATGCGCTTCAACAACGAAAAAACACATAATTCATTAAAAAAAAATACCTCAATTACTTACGGGTCTCTCCTTCTTCTTCGTCTTCTCTTCTTCTTCTCCTTCTCCTCCTCCTCGACCCTTCTTCTCACTCTATTTCTTCTTAACTTTCTCCTTCTTCTAATTCTTCTCCTCCTCCTTCTTCTTCTTCTTCGTCTTCTTCGTTCTTCTTCTTCTTCTTCTTCTTCTTCTTCTTCTTCTTCTTCTTCTTCTTCTTCTTCTTCTTCTTTTTCTTCTTTTTCTTCTTGTTCTTTTTCTTCTTCTCCTCTTCCTCTTTAATTCTTCTTCCGTCTTCTTCTCCTCCTCCTCATTATCTATAGTCAAAACCTGAAACAATTGGAAACAATTGAAATCATGGATCACGGAGACTTGTCGAAATCACAGCATATTCTTATATGGATTTTAATTTGTTCATTTTTTGTAACGTCTTAGTTTGTTTTCGAATGGGGAGTGTGTCATCTTTTCACGTAGGCCTACATAGTATAATGCCAATGGGTAGATATAATTCCAGGGGCGGGTGCCCTCGATAGGCCCACGTATACGATATTTTGTCGATATAACGTATAACTATTAATTATTATACAGAGATTCCGATGAAGTGGAATAATTAGCCAATTTAAATGTTGAATTATGTGTTCTTGTTTATTCTTTTTATAGGGGGCGGGGGGGCACGTGCCCCCCCCCCCTCAAATTTCCAAGATCGGTTGAACTTTTTGACCCCTTTTTTTACGCCGATCGATTACATGTATGTGCCCCCCCCCCCCCCCCCATCCCCCCTCCCCCCAAACATCAAACTCTAGCTACGTGCCTGCTCGTGAAAGTCGTGAGGGAACATCCCAAAAAAAACATTTCGAGGGCGCGGCGGGGCGCGACGCGACGCGACAGAGCATGCAATAAAGCGCTTGAAGAGTACGTGCGCGCGTAGTGCGCTAGCGCTATAGCTAGCTCTGATTTGTTGATACATGAATGGTATGGAGGCCACATAGCTAGTCGACTGACTATTTTTGCAAAGGTCTTTCTTAATAAAATGTAAGTAGATCTAGATCTTACAGATTGGTGATAACTTGTTAGGTCTTGATATGGCAAAGATTTGATTAATGATGTCATACTTTGTAAGCATGTAGGAAATATATCTAATAATGAGTTGCACGTTACACACGCCGAGCTCGAGCTCCAGAGGCTAGGCTCATGCGGATCCGGGGAGCTCGGGGTCCGCTGGCTGGGCTCAAGCCGCTAGCGCTAGCTGTGGCGTTGGGTGTTTGATCAGCGCGCGTGTAGGCAAGTATGTGCTCTCCCCAACGTAGACCTACCTTGGTAGTGACCCTGGCGACATGCGGAACTTCTGCAATGAAAATTGATATTTATCTTTTAGGTTGGTTGTTGTTGTTTAAATAGTGAAAAAATAGGCCAGTACAGACGGCGATATGGCATAGGTCTATTGTTTAAGTCACATTTTACATTCTCGAATTCTCTCGCGCAATTCACAACAAACCTTGCAAACTAACTGAGTAACTTTTGGTGTTTGCTGGATGAGTCTTCTTTAAGTTTAACTTAAGTTTAAGTTTGATCTTTCTACTCAAGTCACGTCACCACGACCTCCAGTTTAAATTCCACTAGGAATCTTTAGGAGTAACCAAGTAAAGTACTAATGAAGTAGACTCCAAGTCATGAGACGCAGGAATTTAATTAAAAATGAAGGAAATTTGCTATTGAAGTGTTAATGATTTTGCTTATCTTGCACATGTTCCTATTCATCTAATGATAATGAGTTGACATGCGATTCCCAGGACAAAAACGTTCACCTCTGCAGATATCAATGGAGTTTGAGTCAATTATTTCTTGAGGGAGACTATTCCAGTCAGACACCACTCTGTTGCTGAAAAGCATTTCCTTATGTTAAGACGAGACCTTTCCTTGAAAATCTTTAGAGAGTGTCCTCGGGTGCGAGTATTGAGTGATAAGGTGAAGAAGTGACTTGGATCCAGCCTTAGTAAGCTATTTACTAAACTAGTGATTAAACTCGTTAAAGGATTATTACTTTACTTGTACATGTAAAAGAGAACTGTTGTTGAGCTAGCGCCAGGAGCATCCCTGGACGGTGTGTGTCCTCTATAAGTTTACACTATTATTATTGTTATTAAAGCATTGACATCAGATTTTCTTTTACTGGTATTTTCTGATACAGTTACCTTCCTGTGCTGCCCCTAGCATTCCTGTGATTCCACCAGCCATGACAGGAATCATTAGGGAAACTCGACGGCTAGAAACCTGGACCTCACTCAGCGAAGATGGTCTGGTGGGATGGGTGCCCTCGACCGAAGCCGCGGAAAGCATACGGGAATCGTATGAATTCGAGACCGGGATGAAATACGTCACGGAGTGGAAAACAGGACCGTGGAGAAGCACAGACGGCAATGACGACACTGACCTTGTCGCCGTTAAAAAGAAGTCTAAAGGTTCTAAATCAAAAGCAAAAGTAGAAGAGAGCGGAGACGACCAAACAGAAAATCATATGGAAGGTCAAACAGAAGGTGAAACAGCAAATCCGGATCAAGTATTAGGTAAGGATGATACTGACCTTGTCATTATTTAAAAAAAAGTCCAATGGTTCTAAATCAAAAGCAAAAAAGGAGGACCAAGCGAAAGAAGAAGAGAGCTGAAAAAAGAAAGAAAGAAAAAATCATATAGAAGGTCAAACAGAAGGTGAAACAGCATATCCAGCTCAAGTGTTATGTAAGGATGATACTGACCTTGTTATTCTTTTTAAAAAGTCTAAAGGTTCTAAATCAAAAGCAAAAGAGGAGGACCAAGCTAATGTAGACAGTGGAGAAAAACAAAAAGAAAATCATATGGAAGGTCAAATAGAAGGTGAAGCAGCAAATCCAGATCAAGTGTTAGGTAAGGATGATACGGACCTTATCACCGTTAAAAAAAAAGTCAAAAAGTTCTAAGTCAAAAGCAAAAGAACGAGAGCGGAGACGACCAAACAGAAAATCATATGGAAGGTCAAACAGAAGGTGAAACAGCATGTCCAGGTCAAGTGTTAGGTAAGGATGATACTGACTTTGTCATTGTTTAAAAAAAGTCTAATGGTTCTAAATCAAAAGCAAAAGAGAATGACCAAGCGAAAAAGAAGAAGAGAGTGAAGAAAACCAAACAGAAAATCACATGGAAGGTCAAACAGCATATCTAGGTCAAGTGTTAGGTAAGGGTCTTTCTGTGATTGCATGAAACAGATTGGAAATGGAAAAAAAAACGATAATTTGAAAGGGAAAACAGAACTTGAAAATAAAATGAAATAGATGCAATCTATCAAGAAAAAAATAAAAACATTGTGTTTGCAGTTTAATGATGTGAAAATATTGTGATTTTCCCCCAGTGGTGCCATACAGGGTTCGTTTCTCCGATACGATATGGAAGGACGCTATGATCCCTAACGATGGAGTGCCATTCTTCAGCGTGTCACGGTTCATGTGTTCCTGTGTCTACGGCAAGGATAGGCATTCCAGAGAGAAGCAGAGGAATCGAAGAGTGATGAGAGAGCAAAAGGTAAAGAATAATCATTTGTCTAATAATAATAATAATAATCTATATTTATATAGCGCTTAATACGGAATTCAGTCTCTAAGCGCTTTACAGATATTACTACCCAGTCATCTGTGAACAAGTGCTAGACGTTAATTTAAGACTTGGCTTGATTTGTATTCTTTGTCTTGTTTTGTAGAGATTTCTAGAAGAAGGAACCCCACTACCGAAGAGGAGAAACAGAGTTGGTACGAGAAAGGTTTGCTGCCCTGCCATGCTTGCAATGAAGAAAGTTGTGCGTCTCCCGGACTTCAAGGTAAGAACAAATTAAAGGCCCACTGCACTACTTATAGCTACTTGCACCCTCTATATAGCAAACAATGCCTAATCAGTGACCATTGGTCCCCCATGATCCTCTTTTTCTTATGTTAAGTGAGAGCTGATTTGATGAGATAACCACCTGTCAAGTGACCTTGCAGGGTGGTCTAATCCATCCTGTAAAATAGTACAGATGTGCTTAAATGAATTTTGGTCACGTGGTGGCAAAATTGCAGATACCCCACCACACAAGTAACAATAATCCTATTCAAGAACTCTATCCAACAAGTGACACTGTATGGTGTAACCCTAATCCTAATCCTAATCCATTGGCTCTAGCAGTGACCCTAGGGCGTGATCTTGACCCCAACCGAAAACCAAACATTTACCCTAACCCAGAACCTTATCCTACCCTACCTTAGCACTAGGGCATTACCAGGACATTGTAACAATTTTTTAATCCCCATCTCACAAGTAACCCTAATCCTAACCCTGTTCCTACATGTACATGTTGGATGTAATCCTAACCTTAACCTTAACTCTGATCCTTCTAACCCTAACCCTATCCCAATATAAAGGTGTCTTGGTCTAGTGTCACCAAACTGTGGGATCCCATGGTTCACGGTTCGATTCCCACTGTGGCACTAAAATCCTTGGGCAAGGCATTAATCTATATTTTTGACCGCTTGAGCATTATCATGTGCAGAGTAGCAATTGAATCCAATTTAAATTTCAAACTTCTACCTGTACCCCAAAAAATTAACAGTTTTACTGACCCAACAGATATGTATACATTGGTGCAATGGCTCCGTCCATTATCTTGTCAAGGGTAGAGCCACCTTTGATTAATTGCCATTTGGTCTACAACCAGCCTGTCTACTATCCATATGGTCTAATCATCATTTCAACTAATTTTCCATTTGGTCTAATCTCCAATAAGTCTATTTATCAATCATTTGGTCTAATTAGGGTAGAAACCAGCTTTTTGACACTATTTTCTTCTATTCATCTGGTCTAGGCGGACGCACTTACACCAAAAAAGTGCAGAGAAGTCAGGGAGCTTGTGCGAACCAAGCTGCTAGAGGGGGAGGATGTGAAGAAAGAGATCCGTGTTTATATCAAGCTTCCAAAGGATGATGAACATGCAAAGCATGAGCTAGTCGAGGTTAGTATCTGTGTCCAATATGTATTCCTAAATTGTTGTAAAAGATTGCACATGGTATGCCCTCATATTCTAAAATGTGTTGAGAAATTGTTCCCCACTGACCAAATTTTGATGCCATAATTTTTCTTCTAGATTCATTATTTCTCTCATCAATATGAGTGTATACAGTGTATAATTTTAAAGGGGTCGACGTTCATAAGGCTAATTGTCATTTTGTTATTCCCACATTCCCATAAGATTTTGTTTGCCCCTTCCCTTTGTATTTTTCTTGTAATCGACCTTTTATCTGTATATTATGTTTGTATGTTTTAATGTTTTTTTATGGAGAATAAAATAAATGAAATGAAATGAATATAAAACAATGCATAAAGTACAGAATTGCACCTGATAATAGCACATGTAAGAAATCTAACATTAACAAAAAATGATTTTATGGAAAGACAAAGGCCTGTTGCATAAAACTTACCATTAATGGTAACTTTGCCATCAATGGTAATGGCAATTACCATGGTAACAGGGCTCAACAGCCAATCAAAATCAAGGTTTCCATGGTAGTTACCATTGATGACAAAGTTACCATTATTAGTAAGTTTTGTGCAACGTTGCCAAGGAATGTAAGTGAGCGAGGATCAAAGGTGAAGCTCTTTATAAGATTCAATCCCATTGTTGCAAGAATTGCACTTGTATTTTTTAGAAGGACGTGGTGTGAAGTGTGATGTTTGATTTGATTTCAATCTGGCTAGGAACCGAAGAAGAAACGGAAGAAGATGTTCAGGTACAACCAGAACTGCCCCAAGGCCACTCTGGATGACATTGAGAAGGCTTACAAGGTCGTACAGGACAGCGCCCTCTGTGTACGGACTCCCATGATGCACCACGCTCAAGACTGTCTGGGGCTGGACGTTGGTTGCGACCTGAGTCTCAAGCTTGAAAACATGCAGAAAACAGGTGGGTTGCTGCCCCTAATATGTGACACTTCTCCTCAAAAGCAGCAAAAGATGCTGTAATGAACAACTGTAATGAACAACTGTAATGAACAACTGTAATGAACAACTGTAATGAACTACTGTAATGAACTACTGTAATGAACTACTGTAATGAACTACTGTAATGAACAACTGTAATGAACTACTGTGATGAACTACTGTAATGAACAACTGTAATGAACTACTGTAATGAACTACTGTAATGAACTACTGTAATGAACAACTGTAATGAACAACTGTAATGAACAACTGTAATGAACAACTGTAATGAACTACTGTAATGAACAACTGTAATGAACAACTGTAATGAACAACTGTAATGAACAACTGTAATGAACTACTGTAATGAACTACTGTAATGAACAACTGTGATGAACTACTGTGATGAACTACTGTAATGAACAACTGTAATGAACTACTGTAATGAACTACTGTAATGAACTACTGTAATGAACTACTGTAATGAACAACTGTAATGAACAACTGTAATGAACAACTGTAATGAACAACTGTAATGAACTACTGTAATGAACAACTGTAATGAACAACTGTAATGAACAACTGTAATGAACTACTGTAATGAACAACTGTAATGAACTACTGTAATGAACTACTGTAATGAACAACTGTGATGAACTACTGTAATGAACTACTGTGATGAACTACTGTGATGAACTACTGTAATGAACAACTGTAATGAACTACTGTGATGAACTTCTGTCATGAACAACTGTAATGAACAACTGTGATGAACAACTGTAATGAACTACTGTAATGAACTACTGTAATGAACAACTGTAATGAACAACTGTAATGAACTACTGTAATGAACTACTGTGATGAACTACTGTAATGTACGAATGAAAACATGCACCATTTGTTTTATACAATGATTCTCCTAGATCCTAGATGTGAGTGAGTTCATTATACGATCTATCTGCACTTGAGTAACTCCTAACTGAGAGAAACAGGGTTTTGAACTGTAGAGCAAATGGGCTGATTTCTTTTTTGGAGAAGAATAACTGTGAAGCAAATCAGGTGATTTGGACAGCAATATCGACCAATTTTTAAAGAAATGTGACATTTGACATTGATAACAAATTTTATGAAACAGGGCCCTAGTATCATTACCATTTTAATAGTCAGTCATTTCAAGAGAATTATGAATGATTTTGATGTGGATAAATGTCATACATGAGCATCAACTAATGAGGCATAAGTTGATGGCTTTTTTCTGTTTTATATATTATTGTAATTTGTTTTCTTGTATTCTTGGTTATTGTAAAATTCCTTTATGTTCCTGGAAATAAAATCAAATGAAAATGAAAATGAAAGAGACACATTGATCATTATTATCTTAATATACACCGTAATGTTCGTTTCAGCACTTAAAATGTAAATCGATTGATATGAATATTCATTACCAGGTTCATTCAAGGTGAGAGGTCTAGCCAATCAGCTGGCTCACATTCCCCAGTACATGGCCAAAAGACAACTGGAACTAGTCACTATGTCAGCAGGGAATTATGGGAAGGCGTTCTCGTTTGCTCTTCATGAGCTTGGTTATAAGGCGAGGGTGCTCATGCCTGATACAGCCCCACAGAACAGGGAGGATACCATGAAGGTAGGTACATGTACATAGAGTAACAGATTTTAGGGCCTGTTTCACAAAGATAAGTTGAACTTAACTCTTAGTTGGATTTTAACATTGTGGAGAGCCATTTGTAGCCTTAAAGTAAAATATATTCAAAAGCAAAAATTGAAGTAATTTTGGACTTTCATGAATTCCACATCAAGAACATGGAATCTCCTTGATAATAGAAAATATGAATGATTTGTTCAAATCAACATTTTATGCCTTTTACATTAACTTTTACAAAATATTTTCAAGATGCTAACGGCTTTCCATAATTGTTAACTCCAACTTAGAGTTTAGTTTGACTTAGGATTTTGGGGAAACACTCCCCTGGACTATTAACCCTTTCAGAACAGGGATTTTAATTAGGGCAATCAGTATAAAGCGATGCAACGCTGAATTTGTGCAAGTTTTTCACTGTGCAGATCCCTGCAATGCCCTGTAATGCCCACAAAATAGAAATAAAATGTGAGCAATCCAACACTGAATTTTTGTAAACCGCATGAAAGTTTCTTGCTGGCATTTTGTACAATATGCAAAAATTTTGTAAAGACGTGATTATGCAGTTCTTTTTTTTTCTTCTTCAGGGTTATGGAGCTGAAGTTGAGAGACTACCCAGCATTGAACTTCAGCCCACCGTTGATCGCTATGTATCTGAAGAGGGCATGCACTATCTACATCCCTTCGATGATATACATTTGATATGTGGTCATGGAAGGTAATTATTTATTTTAAAATTATTTTTAATGATAAATATCATTTATTTATTTTTTGTTCAAAATATTATCCATTGAGCAGTTTTAAAGTGTACCAATCACCCCAAAAAAGATTGTTTGAAGTTTTAATGGGTTCCATGTGGCTGTTCTTTATTTAAATTATGAGCTTCAATGTACTTTTAGAAAGGGGTATTGCACTTTTAAATACACTCACTTTGAACAAGACGAACACATATATTATAAGTAGCCTGGATGAAGGTACAGTCAAACCTGCTTTAGCGACCACCTGTATAGAAAGACCACATTTGTTGTTACCCTTGAAAATGGTTTCTCATTGAAACATGTATTAAAGAAACCGGTACATAGTGACCACCTGCCTATAAAGACCACATTTTTTGTTTCCCTTGGAAATGGTTTCTCATTGAAACATGTACTAAATGAACCTGTACTCAAAGACAACTTGCTTATAAAGACCACTTTTCTTGTCTCCCTTGGGTGGTCTTTATGGACACACATTTTTGTGTTTCCCTTGAAAATGGTTTCTCATTGAAACATATGTACTAAAGGAACCTGTACATAAAGACCACCTGCTTATAAAGACCACTTTTCCTGTCTCCCTTGGTGGTCTTTACAGACAGGTTTCACTGTTTGAAATTGAAATGCAGTCCTGTTCATCTTGTTTCCTGATATCTCATTCTTGCTTTCAGCACAGGTTTAGAGATTCTTGAAGAGGTGCCAGACCCTGATGTCATCCTGGTATGCTGTGGGGGAGGAGGTTTACTCGCTGGAATATCCGCTGCTGTTAAACTCTCAGGCAAATCTCATACAAGGATCTACGGGGTGGAACCGGAGCAAGGTAAGATAAACATTTTTAGGTCACTGGGTTCAAACAATTCTTAAGCTGTCCTTGTGCGTAGACTTTGGCGACAAAAGATAGTATTTTGCATTTTATCAAATAAAATAAAATAAATCAAATGAAATATTTTCAGATTTTCACCTTTAAAGGCCGTCTATACTAGTTTGGCTAGGGGGATTAGGCCTCCCTGCAAGGTCACTGACAGGTGGTTATCTCATCAATTCAGCTCTCAATAAACATTAGAAAAAGGGGATCATGGGGGACTAACAGGCACCGATTAGGCATTGTTTGCTATATAGAGGGTGCAAGTAGCTATAAGTAGTACAGTGGGGCTTTAAATCAAAGGTTAGGCCTCTTTAAATTAACTTGAATTTACTTTTTATATTTGAACTCAATTTCACATAATTATGTAATTCTGTCCAGAAGCTTTTCCTGAAATCAAATTAAATTTGAAAAATAAAATCTTCAAAGCTTTCCTAAACTATAACATTGGCATTAACTCTAATTCTTTTATTGATTCTTTTCCTTTTTTTCTTTCAGCCTGTCTTATGTATATGAGCAAGCAGCTAGGCAAGGTTGTGCAAAATCCTTCAGTTCATTCCATCGCCTCTGGATTAGCTCCTCCTTATGCAGGTAAGTTTGACCCAATGAAATAATCTTTTGATTTGCATTTGAAGGTCAAAGGTCATGGGTTAAAAAGATGGTGAATTCTGCACAATTCAAGGTCGAACAATTCAAATTTTTTACAAGCCAATTGAATTTCGCGTAAGTCTAACTTTTTTTTACGGTAGCAATAAATTTGACTTCTTCAGAGTTAACTGTAGTAGTATTGAGTGCTGGGTATTTTTGTTTTTAATATAAGAATGAGTTTTTCACATGTAAGAAACAGGTGTCTTGTACCAGTTTGGTATAAACAGACTTACAGAAATTTGCTGCTACGTGTAATTCGGGGCAAAACACACTGCACACGTGAACGAAGAAAAGCGCATGTAACAAACATGGGCCGGATTACTGGTTTCATGAATTCCTTTCTTTTCAGTGTCCTATCTTCTTAGTCAGCTACCATATATTTTCTTCTAAAATGTTAGGGCAAATGTCATTACTTTTTATTAGTCTTTGAATATTCAGTGTGAGTTCATGTGATTAGCTTATACACTATACACACTATATAGGAGTCAGAATTCTCTGTTGACATCGAGGTACCTAACTGTTGTGGATATCATTCCATTCTTCCAGAAATAACATCTGGAATTTGATTAATTCAAATATATCATTGTCAGTCATTTATATTTAGTCTTGTTTCTCTTACAAATCTAAAAGTTAAAGGATGTACAGTACCTTTAAAGCCCACCTCCACTAGTTTGGCCAGAGGGATTAGACCACCCAGTGACGTCACTGACAGGTGGTTATCTCATCAAATCAGCTCTCAATTAACATAAGAAAAAGGAGACCTTGGTGAACCAACGGTCACCATTTAGGCATTGTATGCTATATAAAGGACGCAAGTAGCTATAAGAAGTGCAGTGGGGCTTTATAACTAACACTTCTTTCTTTCACAATCATCAGGTAACAATGCCTATCGACACGTCGCCAAATACGTAGATGAAATCCTGTTATTAAGCGAGGCTGAGATCATTGCCTCTGTCTCCCGTCTTTACCACGCCGGCCTGGTGGTGGAGCCAGCGGGGGCCGCAGCCTTTGGGGCGCTTCTCTTTGATAAAGTGCCCGACGTCAAGGGCAAGAAGGTGGTTGTGGTGATCACCGGGGGCAACGTCTCTCCGCAAGAACTTTGCAACATTGTGCAGACAACGCCGTGCCAGGATCCATCGGATGACGAGGTTGCAAGAAACAATTTGGACCTGCAGAAGAGTGTCTCAGTTAACAATGAAGTGCAACATTATGAAGAGAACGTCATTACAGGATCCGTGCAACATTGTGAAGACATCGTCGCTACAGTGTCTATACAATGACGGGGGTTTAAAGAAACAATTTGGACCAGCAAGGACAGAATGTCTCAGTAAAACATCATGAAACCATCATCGAAAACATCATGACAGGATCTGTACTGTGACAAAGATTGCAATAAGCCGTGTGGGACCTGCAAAACAATATTCTCCTTTCCAGGGGAGTGTTTCTCAAAGACAAAGATCGACTTTAAGTTGGACTTAACTATGGCAGGCCGTTCATGCCACCGTTTGCTATCACCATTTACTGGCATTGGTCTCTCAAGGGACGTTCAAATCATGGTCACAAATCTACAGAATTTAAATTTGTTGACTATTCATTATTGAAGGAAAAAAATATCATCTAAAGATCATAATTGAGATACCAATGGTGAAAGTAACTAGTGGCATGAACAACCTTCCATTGTTAAGTCCAACTTAAAATCGATCTTAGTCTTTGTGAAACACTCCCCTGGTGAACTGTGCAACATTGTTAATACATTAGTGTTACAGAAGCTCACCAGTGGTACAGATTTTTTTTAAACAACGTGGACACAAAATAAATGCTTGATTTAGTTCTTGATGAAATGTGTGATCTCGTTCAAACAAAATTATGACAGAATCTGTACATTATTTAAAGAAAATTTCAATAAACTACGACAGTGTTTTTCAGTGCCTTATAAATGGAAACCATGATCTTAGTCATCTGTACTTCTATTTTTGTTTCTGTTCAGCACAGAATGCAATTTTATAAATGTAATGAAGGTGAAAAATAATGATAAGAAATCAACTTGTAAAGCTAGGACAATTTCCTTCATTTATTATCTCCCATAAGGCCATAATCCTTTAGTGTTGCTTCATATAAAGTTAGTAACACACAATCGTTAGTGGAGTCAAGAAATGTCCCTCAATTTCGTGTATTTTCAAGAAAATCATATGTCATTTCATGTTCTTAATTCGCTTAAACTTCAAATGCACATACAATAAATGTCAAGGTTATAAAATAAAAGTTAACATGATATAAATAATATACAAAACATTCACTCAAACAAATATTGCAGAGATGCAATACCTTCAGGGAGAGAAGCAAAAATAATGATACTTATTTGCAAGAAATTGGAACTAAATATGTTGTAAATACAACCTTATTTTTGGCTTTAGACTTTCACCAAAAAAATGATGTGCACTCTCTTCTCGATACCTTAACTTGTGTCCTTACCCGTATGTGTAATCAGCATTCCACCACAAGAGTGTATAAGAGTATGCATTTATTTTACTGAGATACATGTATGTATGAACAAGTTTGTACAATTCTATTACATTAAAATATTTTATAAAATATTATTTATGCTTTAGAGTGTATGTTGTGATTTACTGGTAGTGTTTTGTCAAAATTAGGAATTGGGGAAATATATCTTTCTTTGTCTCCTACAAATGATCAATAAATTATCATCTAATTGACTCAAAAGGTTTTATAACAGTATTATGTAATATATAAAAAAGCAAGGAAAACAAAGATATATCACATTTAGTGGTATTAACACTCCCCCTCTTCCTAACTTTTGGTTTTGTTTCCTCAAAAGGACTCTTTGGAGAATACTAAAAGGGAGAGAATTCTTCATTTCTAGTTCTACCCCCACCCCCCCCCCCCCCCCAAAAAAAAGCGAGTGAGAGAGAGCGTGAGGAAGAGAGAGAGAAAGCGGGGTAAAGAAAGAGAGATTGGGGAGGGAGAGAAAAAGATATGGAAGGGACCCGGCAGAACTCTTGCACACTCCATCCTATCATCTTGCAGAAAATTGTTAGTTTTTAGACAAAACCTATTGTCATACTTTTCAAAAGTATGTAACTAATTGGGTATCTGAACTGAAAATTACAAAGGGTGCAAATGGCCCATATATGTTTTCTCTACTGGTATTCATTCCTTTTTCTCTCATTTTCATTTCCTCTTTCGGTTTTGTATATTATGTATATTTATTATGCTACCCTATAAGTGGGACTTAAAAGGAAGAAAAAAAACTTGACCTTACAACTAGAAGCAAACAACAAAGATAAAACACACGAGTCATAGTGATATCTTTTTTCATTGAAAAGTGATTTTATTTACAAATCTGTAATGTGTCGAACATTATTTCACAAAGAACACATTCTTTACAAAAAAGAATCAATGAAAATTAGCAGACAGAAAGAAAGAGTAATAATAGTACCCCAAATAATTGAAAACTCATCAAAAATCCATTTTTTTTTTACAACAAGCAAGTATGCAATACTAATTTTCAGTCTTTTTTTGTTTCTCGCAAAGACAACCCTGATCGAAGTAACCATATGCATAACACAATACGGTCAAGCAAAACACAAAAAGTGGCCACTGTAGACAGGTGGTCTTTCCTGACAGGTTCTTCAACAAACATTTCCTGTAGAGGGAGGCATTATAGATGACTAAAAATAGACAAGTGGCCTTTAAAGAGAGGTGGCCATTAAGACAGGTTTAACTGTACATATTGATTTTTAAGTGAATTACAGAGAGAATACTATTTTGTGCTTCATGCAAAGGAAAATCAACACTGATTTTTACCTAATTTTTTCTTCTTTCAATATATGATACAAAAACAGATTGTATTAGTTATTTGCAAATCAATTTGGTCAAATTTGCATGTTGTTGATGATAAGACCAATACAGCTGGTGTGTGTGTGTGCAATTGGGTTTTTACAGATGTGTAACAATTAGATATGATTATTTACGTATGGGGACCGACCTTTAAACGTCACCATCCGAAAGACGCGACTCAGTTTCAAACCTGCGTCCTACGCTGAATCCGTTTGTAACTTCAATATTTAGCTGGATTACAGGTGTGCACACCACAACGCCTGTTGTAACCCTTTCAAAATGGTACCTTTATGGAGATGTCACAATTTATTTTTTTTTTTTTTTATATCATATCAAACAAAATTGTTACAGGTACATGCATATCAACATGGTCCTCATTAGACTGCAAAGTTGCTTGGTTAATTCATACTAAACATCATTTTTCAAATTACATGTACATGCCAAGATTGGCTGATTCATAGTACCTGTGAATCTTTCAAGCTACATATGAACTATACAAGTTATCCTCTGGCCATGCATATTCATAAGGACTATTCAAATTATCCCCTGCCGTGCATATTCATAAGGACTATTCAAATTATCCCCTCCGTACATATTCATAAGGACTATTCAAATTATCCCCTGCCGTGCATATTCATAAGGACTATTCAAATTATCCCCTGCCGTGCATATTCATAAGGACTATTCAAATTATCCCCTGCCGTACATATTCATAAGGACTATTCAAATTATCCCCTGCCGTACATATTCATAAGGACTATTTAAATTATCCCCTGCCGTGCATATTCATAAGGACTATTCAAATTACCCCCTGGTCTTACATATTCATAAGGCAAGAAATTTACGCTTAATAAGGTAGAGCTCCTGGAGACAAAAAAATAATACTGGAGTACAAAGATAATCAGACAGGTCGGCTTGTGAAAGTCATGGGATTCCTGACAGACCTAAATCTGTATCATTATGATTGCAGCATGAGCTAAATCCAGGATTTTGTTCAGAATCTGAGGCAATGTTACTGAGTCACTTTAAAACTCCTTGTAAGAACTGTAAACTACACGTACCCTATTACACTGTTGAAGTACCATACGATTGTAAACTGTATGTTACAACATAACCGCACACACGTACATGAAGAATACTTGTGCATGGACGTAGTAAGTGACGAAGATAATAAGATTGGTGAACATTTAATTAAATAATTATTTCTGTCCTGCCGGCCAAATTAATTAAGAATTTACTCCTGATTAAAACTTCTTCCCCTTCCAAATCTTCTTCCTCAAATTTCTGGTTTTGTTGTCGATAGCAACGACTGCCCTTGCTCAGGCAGTCTCAATGTCTTCTGCCTTCGTCTCCATGACGTGAAGGAAGAGGGACTTCACCTTTGCCACCCTTAAAGAGCCATAGGGGGGTGCCCGTGAGCCCCTTTCTTGTTACACAGGAGCCTTAATAATTAATTCATAATCCTCTATACGCTTTATGTTAGAAGAGTATGCTTTACAATCCACATCAACATAAATAAGAGGTCAACCATGTTTTACTGTTGTAATGCCTTGTATTGTAACTCAATACAATAATACAAAAATATCTTCAAAAGGCTAAACAAAATATCACTTCATGTTGTTTGAATACATTTAATAACTACAGTGGAACCTCGGTATAAAGAGATCTGATATAACGAGGTATCTGTTATGACAAGGTTATTTCGATGGTCCAAGCTCTTTATATTCTAATGTTTGTTTACCCTGATATAATAAGATTATTTCCTTGGGCACAAGGACCTTGTTATAACGGTTTCCACTGTACTTTAAACTGCATTTATCAATTTTCGTGGCTATATATATCATATGTAGAGGTGTTGTGGTCTAGTGGTGACGTCACCGGACTGTGGATCACATGGTTTGCGGTTCAAGTCTGGGCAGAGTACTTTCCAGGGAGCGCAGTATGTGCACTGTCATATGTGGATTAGCAATGGAATCCAATGACCGGGGTAATAATAGTTACAGAGTACTGCGCTTAGAAACGTAGAAGTAAGAGCTATACAAACGTGGCTATCATTATTATTAATATTATTATAATATTCTCTGTTGTTACCTTTTTTTTTTTAACATCACTTCACTGTCCATACTGGTTCAACGAAAGAAGGAAAATGCAAAAATTCTTGAGATATCAACGTATCTGTCACATACAAAGCAGTAGTAAAATCCTGGCAATAATGAATCTTGCAACTATGCATCAAATATTGGTACACGTACTAACAGAAGCACAAAATTCAGCCCCCAGGCTATGGTGCATATTTTTGAAATAATAAACCAATATCGTCATCATTATTTTTATAAAAAATATATTTCCAACGATGAAGACAAAGTTTTAATTAAATCTTACGTATCAAAACTATTTTTTCTCTCTCATATTTTTTTTCTGGTCTATTTTTTTTCTTCTTCATTATGGCTAAAATGCAAATTACAGAGGTCACCCACTAAGAGCACGACATTGGAGGGGACTTAATTCTTAAGTCTTAATTTCATTTTTCTTTCATATTTTATATGATTTTTGCCATCTGATGGGTAGGGAGAGGGTAAAAGAAGGGTAAAACAAAGATTCAGGTCTTTGCATGAAATGACCAGCAAAGCATCAAATTGCTTTGCTAGAGCACTCAAGATTAAAGATTAAATATCGTAAATACATGCATGAACCCAAATGTATTTTGGAATTTATTCCAAACACTTACACATTTCACATGTAATTAATTGCATGTACATTGAATATCAACAAAAAGCATGGCATAAGAACAAAAATAAAAGTTCACCATCTTTTGGTTACCATAAACCAAGTTAGCAAAGTCATGAAACTCATTTAGAAGGTCTAAATTGAAATCTTTTATATACAGCTAACACATTTCATGTGCAATTGCATCTAAACTGAACCACAAGATACAGACAAAAATAACTAGAATCGAGCGATCATCAACTGTTTAGGAAGTCATCAAGCTCGTTTAGGAGGTCATCGTCTTCCTGATGCGTTGCTATGGTTACGGGCGGGGCGCTGTCGAGATCATCATCATCATTCTCCTGTAGGAAGAGATGGAGATCAGCGTCTGTGACACTGGAGAGACGTGCGATGGACGGTTTGGCTTGGGTTATCCTGTAAGGCAGCAATGATAGAGATAATAGAGAGATTAAATGAGAAATAAAGAGAACTCACTCTTGACGACGGATAGTCAACCTGTTCAAAATGTCGAGCCACTCCCGCCACTCATCCTCTCCAAGCGCTATAGTTCTCCTTAGAACTATAAGCTAAGAAACAGTCTTTTTCAAGACTACACCAACAGTCCTTTTCAGGACTACACACCCTCAAGAAAGATTACCGAGAGTCCTTTTCAGAACTCCTCAATCCTCCCTCTCTCTCTCTCACATGGTGCACCGCAAGCCTACTGTATATCTACATCACCATGCAAGCCGATACTTACAAGCAGCATCTAAGTAGATGAGTTCGTCAAGTAGCTTCAAAGGCGGTAAATGCGGTAGCATGGACAAGTAAGTATTGATCAAAAATTGTCTCGGTTTGAGATGAACACAATTGAATACTATTTCCTGTTTGCCAAGCAATAAGACACAAACAAATTTTGGTAATAATCTTCAAATTAATAGTTTTGTAATAAAAAGGTTAATTTGTACCTCACTGTTAACAATCTAGAAAATGTATGGAACGAGTGTATTGTAAACATGTAGTGGAAGGACAGTCCGAGCGGTTTTACAAGTTGCCTGTTGTACAGTCAAACCTGCTTTAGTGACCACCTTTCAACAAAGACCATATTTTTTTGTTTCCCTTGAAAATGGTTTCTCATTGAAACATGTACTAAATGAACCTGTCTACAAAGACCACTTTTTGTGTTTCCCTTGGGCGGTCGCTATAGACAGGTTTGACTGTATTTTGCTAACCTATTGTTGGAGTTTGAATTTAAAAAGATGGAATACTTACACAACTTCAGGTGGCGTTACAGTTGATGTGGTGTCAGGCTCAGCTTGAGCTACGGCTTCTGGAATGTAGACATCTTCTAGGCTGCTAGCTTCAGACACTTCTTGGCTCATCCTGCTCTCCTCTTGTACTGGTCGGCTAACTTCAGGCTCTTTGCTGAACTCTCCTGTTGTTGTTGAGACAGCTGCAGAGATCGGTACTGATGATGATGGTTGAGGTTGGGGTTCTGGTTGGACGGACTAAACATGGAGAAAAACAAAAACGAGATGAGATTGACCATCAATTTATTACATCAATATACAGTCAAACCTGCTTTAGTGACCACCTGTCTACAAAGGCCACATTATTTGTTTCCCTTGAAAATTGTAACATGTACTAAAGGAACCTGAACATAAAGACGACATGCCTATATAGACCACTTTTCTTGCCTCCCTTAAGTGGTCTTTATAGACAGGTTTCACTTTATATTGGTTGAGTATCATTCCCACATGAATACATCTCGGTTAAACCACCTTCTTAACAACAAAAGGTATAATATTTAGAATTCTTTAAAATGCCATAAATGTTTGTATGTATTTGTTACAATATCATCATGTCTTAATGACCAGGGCAGCGTTTCATGAAACCATCATAAGTACAAGTTCACCGACATCCCCTTGAAATGCGTGTTAACCTTAATACACACATTTTAATGGGATGTTTGTGAGCTTGTACTTTTGACAGTTTCGTGAGACACTACCCTGGGTGCTACACAGATTTCTCACATGCAATACAATCACATGCATCTCATCTTTTATTTCTTCTATTTTAGACCACTGTGATTTTTGAAGCACTTTTCTCTCTTTGTGGAAATACTAAAAAAAAAATACTAAGATATTCCAGAAGTCCCACCAGTCTTATCCCTTCTTACCTGTATATTAGTGCCTGTACTGTTAGGGTAAGACTGGATGTTTCCCTGAGATGTGTTAGACACCTGTCTTCCCCTCCTTCTCTGTAGTGGCTTTCTTGTTAGCTTAGTTCCTAAAAAATCAAGAAAACAAAAACAATTGATTTCTTAAAATGTTTAAGAGTGCAAGTGTGTAGTAATGAATAGTAGTTTGAGTTTGGAGCAATTAAGTACCAAAAAAAAAGAATGATATCACAATGGAAATGGAAAATGTAGCTTGCAATTTTCAGTAAAGGCAAAGCTCCTGTAAAATCATCAACTTTCAACTGGATAAAACTGTTGGGATTTACATCAGTGGACAAGGGACCCGTTTCACAAAGCCTTTTATCAGTGATAAATTACAAAAATCAGTGACAAATCTGCTGATAACCAATCAAAAGCAATAACAAAAACTGTCATTTGTCACTGATGACAAGTATTGTGAAACGCCCTCTAGCTTAACAAAAGTTGTATGAAGGGTATTGATTGAATTTAAAAAAACTAAAAAACAATTCTGGCCTAAAAACTTTTTCTTACCTGTGTTGGTTGATGATATGCTTGCAGCTTGGTTTACTGGTGCCGACTCCCAACTTGAGCCGGCATCCCTATCCGCTCCTGTAGTACATGTAGCTGAAGAAAAGTTACCAGTCTCTGGCTCATGGACTGGTAAACTATCAGTTCTCTCACTACCTTCCTGTGCTGAATCCTGTGTAGTAACTTGTGAGACTTGATTGGCACCAGTCTGCTGCTCCCTGAGTTGCTTCTCTCTCCTGATCTCTGCCAGAGTCTTGATCTTGATCTGAGAGGCGGAGGCGGAGTCTGCCCCCGAGGTCACCTGACCACCAGGCCGCTTAACGATTGGCTTGGAGAGGGCGTCGTCCGACGAAGAGGCCGTGTTCCATAACCGCGCCCGTCTTTCTCGGCGAATTTCATCCAGGCTCTTTATCTCCTCCTCGACTATTGTAAGAATAAATGAAGCCCATTTTTTACAGGAGGAAATGCAAATTGTATCTTACAGTAGTGATCTAACTTAAGTTCTGACTACAATTATTCAAGGCTTTACTTCGTTAGAGAGAGGGTCACATTTAGATTTTAGTTTAGGTTCAGGTTGTTGTTGTTGAATTAGTTTTTATTGATGTGTATCATTCATTTATGAATACTTATATTGGTAGAGTGAGCTCTAAACTTTGTTGTGTCTAGTGATAGGTATAGTCTTTGGTCCAGGATTAATATTAGGAATGTTGTATCAATGTATGAATAAGAAAATGACCATGAACCATTAATCGGCCACAGCATATTTTTTGTTCACATCCCAGTGTTGTTGCATTCTTAATCATTTTTTTTGCAATTTTATTTTATGCAATTCATATAGGGCAATCATGGACAATTTGCATGTTCTTCATTTCATAAATATTTCTTGATCAACCATATGTGTACAAAATAAAAACCTCACAAAAATAGAAATAAACAAAAATAAATACTACTAGCTGGACAAATAACAAAATTACAAATAGCCGATAGTCAGTCTTCCGTGTTCATTGTGGTGGAGCTACTGCATGAAATTTCCACAATAACAATAATGTCATATAGAAGACCTTTAAAGCCTATCTGCACTAGTTTGGCCAGGAGGGATCAGACCTCCCTGCATGGTCACTGACAGGTGGCTATCTCATCAAATCAGCTCTCAATGAACATAACAAAAAGGGAACCATGGGGGACCAATGGTCACTGATTAGGCATTTTTTGCTATCGAGGGCGCAAGTAGCTATAAGTAGTGCAGTGGGGCATTAATACTATACCTTTTGCTGCTGTTTTCTTTTCTTTAACTGGCGACTCCTCTGTCTTGGCTTTTTCAGGGGAGCGGCTCCAGATCTTGGATCTTCTCTCCCATCGCTTGTCCGCCTCTCTCCTGTTCCTCTCCTGTTCCTTTATTTCCTCATTTTGCTCCTCGCTTCCCGACGCTCCACTGTCTCCGCTGGACACGTCGGCCTTTTGACTGAGCCGTTGCTTTTCAGCTCGGATCTCAGCTAGACTCTTGATCTAACGATCATAAAAATAACAAAGATAGTACATCACATTTTGATCCAGACTGCTGCAAAATACGCAACTGTGAGCCTCTTTCTGTTGCAATATATTGTGCTTTTCAGCTCTAATCTCAGCTAGACTCTTGATCTAATAATCATAAAAATATCAATAATCGTACATTAATTTTTTATCTAGACTGCTGCAATATACACAAATGTGAGCCTCTTTCTGTTGCAATATATTTTGCTATTCACAAATGTGAACTATTTAAATAAGAATATACATATATGCATTAAAAATCTCTAAATTGGCAATGCATATTTGAATTTCTTTTTCTTTGCATTTCGCTTTTCACAATTTCACTTGAACCGGTTCATTGATTGTATACTGTGTTGTCAAAATGTAAGAGTGAGAGAAAAAATATCAAAGGTACTAATGTGAACTGGCAAAGCCGCTTCTTTCAAACCTTTAGAAAATTCTGGACCTGTACAAGCTGATCGGTCAAATAATAATAAACAATCTGGATTTATACAACATTTCATATGAGCTTGAGAAATTAGCTCAAGATATTTTGCTCAGCGTTTGCGCATAGTGCGAGTCTTTGGCTGGTGAAGACTGGCCGGACAAATAGCGGGATATTTTGCAAACTAGCCCAAGATATCTCGGGATGATTATCTCGAACAAATATCCCGCTAATTGCAACTTCGGGCTGATGAAGATGCAAATTATCTTGCGATCGGGATAGCTCAAATAGCGGAATATTTGGCAATCTCGAGCTGATGAAAACAGGCCTTATGACACCCTGCTTGTGCAGCAACGCACGCATCATCTACTGACCTTGATTGCTGGAGCGTCATCCTTGGTTACGTCTTTCTTCTGTTTGATAACGTTGAGGACCGAGGCAGTTCCCTTGTTGGCATTCTCTACCGACTTAGAGAGGTTCAGACGTCGTACTTTAACCGCTGGCTTCTCACTCACCTAGAGACGTGGACGAAAAGAAAATTGAAATTTGTGAGATCTTGTTACCCTTGATAATGGTTTCTCAATAAAACATGTGCTGAAGGAACCTGTACATAAAGTCCACCTGCCTACAAAGACCACTTTTCGTATCTCCCTTGGGTGGTCTTTATAGACAGGTTTCACTGATTGTTTAATATATATATTTATTTCTTCTTTTGGGGGAGGGGGGCTGTGTCGCAAAATTAATTAAAAGATGAATATGGTCACCCAACATAGTCAACAATGATCAAATAACATGGCCAACAAAATCTTTGCTATATATTCTTTTGTCACAAGATTTTGTTGATTAAGTCAATTCCTTTGGCAGTGTTCTCTACAGACATTTTCAGACGGAAAGCATTAATAATTTTTTGTTTTCATTCACATAAAATTGGTGAAAATTCATGAGATTAAAGTAATTGATGAATGAAGATAAATCTCGGCAACATCTGTTTGTTTTTCTTTGACAGAGGGGACAGTTCGTGTTTCATTAACTACAAGATGTGAACATTGTCTTAATCTCCATGGCATCACTGCTCTCCTACCCCCTCCAACTTTAAAACTGGAGAAATAAGCTCATATTGTTGAGCCATAACAATGCCATTTTGTTACCAGAACTCTCTCGACTAACTTTATCAAGGTCCATGAATATCGTATATTTCAAAGCTTCTTACCTTTTCAGTGTCTTCACCGCTGTCTATGGTTATCCGTTGTCGTATAACAGATCCCTGGTTCTCTTTCAAACCTGCAGAATAACAACATGATAAACAAAGAATAGAAACGAATGTAGAATTGTAGATATGCTGAAGCTTTTCGTCTTGCATTCATAATAGATCGCAAGAATAAACAGAAAGCCAAAATCGGACAATATTTCTGTTCATTCGTGCAATTTACTCGGATGAGTGGAAGACGAAGAGCTTCAGTATGTCTGTATTCCTTGCTATTCCTCGATTTTATGATACCAATCATCTCTTCAAAATGAATATATTGATTTTAAATTTCCTTAAAATACCTCTACACAAGGAAAACAAACGGGTGAAAATACACGGTGATGCACAGTGCTATTCTATCAATCTTACGCCAAATATAATGCACACGTTATATGAATAAAAATGTGGGGGGAAGTATACATGGAGGTGTACGATCCTCTCCATTGTCCAATTAAAGGGAAAGTCCACCCCCAAAATAAGTTTGTTTCGATAGAGGCAGAATAATAAGAAAATCAGGTGAGTGAAAGTTTGAGCAAATTCTGAATGAAAATAAGAAAGTTATGAATTATTGAAGTTGTGATCAATCAAATACAAATTGGCAACTCTGTGACTTATCATACGAGCTCTCCTTCATTTGCTTTGTGCATAATATTCCATAAAATCATGTTTTCTTCGTTATTGATGACGGAATATATATTTGTTCCTTGCAGGGGGAGTATAGAAACATATTTGCAATTATTATATTTAGGGTGCATGTATGGTTGAAATTTTTCTTGAGGGAAAATGAAAATTTTAGATTTTTTAAGTACTGAGCAAATGGAAGTTGAGCTCGCATGATACGTCATAGAGTTGCCAATTTGTGTTTGATTGATCACAACTTCAAAAATCCTAACTTCTTTATTTTTAATCGGAATTTGCTCAAACTTTCACTGACTTGTTTCTCTCATTTTTCTACTCCTATTAAAACTAACTTAATTTCAGGGTGGACTTTCCCTTTAAGAATGATATATCATTTTGGTATAAAAAAATCAAACCAAAACGATTTTTTAAAATGTTTTTTTTTAGATGATACTGACATGGCATTCTTTCATCTTCAACACAGTATGAAGTATAAATGTATATCTCTAGACAGAATGCAGTTCATATTGTACCTCTAGCACTAGCAGCACCTGGTGGCTTATAGAGAGCAATTTCTCCTCTCCTTTTATTCCTTCTCTCTGCAGCAGACAGGACTCCTTTTCTTTGAGCTCCTTGCACACTGTCTCTGTCTGGAGCCTCACGAGACTGGGATGAGACTGGTAGGCGGCTTTGCTTCGCTTGTCGTATCTCAGCAAGGGTCTTGATCCTGAAATATGAATTGTTAATCAATACTACTGAGCTGGAAAGATATCATCGTCATCGTCGTCATCACCATATCATCATCATCATCATCATCATCATCATTACTATCATCACCATCATCATCATCATCATAACTATCATCACCATCACCATCACCATCATCATCATCACCACCACCATCACCACCACCATCAGCATTGTAATCTCTACCGATTTCTTGAAATGTATAATATTTAGCAGTTGTCTACAACTTCCTGATATTCCACTTCTAAAAAACTTTGAGTCAACTTCTAAACATTTCTTAAGACTTACAGAATCTCTTTGGGTGCCTTCTCCTCATCACTCTCGATAGAAATATCACTCTCCTCTTCCTCCTCTTCCTCGTCTTCCTCCTCATCTTCCTCTTCTTGCTCTTGTGAAGATGATTCCTTCTCCTTGTCTGAAGCCCAATCCTCACTTTCAGAGTCCGAGACGGCCTTTCCGAGCCTCCTCAAGAGTTTGTCCCTCTTAATATCCGCCAAACTTTTGACTGTAATCCCAACTCTGGGATTATCTCCCTCACCAGCCTCAGTAAGTGGCTTGCCTAACCTAGCATTCAGCCGTCCTTTCCTTTTGGCTGGATCAACAGAGCTATCGCCAGCTGCATTGGCTACAACAGCGGAGAAAACCTTTCCTAAACGACTCGCTAAAGATGTCTTCTTGATGGCAGAAGATTCCTGCACAGCCGTCTTTGAGTCTTTGTCTTCTTCACCAGTTCTTACAACGTGTCCCAATCTGGCTGACAGTCGCCCTGTAGGGCCACTTGAGGAGGAAACCTTATCCTCGACCCGGTCGTTGCTTTCGGCACGCTTTCCCAGCCGGTCTTTCAGTCGGTCCATCTTCATTTCCGCGACGGTCTTGATCTTGATGGAGTCCAGACCCGAGGTCTCTGGATCTTTTCTTGGCACCCTCTCTCCACCTCCACCCATCATAACCCTTCGTGTCAAGGTCTTCTTTGGGGCTTCCTCCAGCTGGTCCTTCTCTGCTTCAGGGTTTCTTCGCAAGACCTACAGAACGCAACAATGAAAGCAAGAGATGAACCCAATCACAGCAAAAAAGTGCCGGTAATCCAGCTAACAATGGAAGTTACAAACTGATTTAGCCGAGGACGCAGGTTCGAAACTAAGTCACGTCTTTCGGATGGTGATATTAAAGGTCGGTCCTTAGACGTAAATAATCATATCTGATTGATACGTCTGTAAAAACCCAATAACACACATACAAACTCAACAAATTTGATTGATTTTAGAAAAAAAGAAGATTGTAATAATTCTGAGCATGTATAAGTTATTTTCCTCCTCAAGTTCAACATATAAATATTTGAAATATTTTGAAAACCTTGCACAATTTTGTACATGTACATCATCTTTAAAATTTGAACAGTAGGAAACTAATGAATGAAAACTTAGACTGAAACTCATGCTTCCACCCCTGTACCATCATCAGCCAGTTGCATAGAATCTGTTTGCATACTGGCTCAAAACCTGTTTACAGACTGCCTCAAAAATCATTGAAGTTAATGATACTGTACAGGGGTACACATGTACATACTCGTACCTTAAGCCGCTTAGCGATGTTCCCTGTCTCTTGATCCTCTTGGTCTAGACTGCTTCCCAGCCTCTTGAACCTTTCCTCTCGTAATTGGGCTAGACTCCTCACTCCAGGCTGTTGGACACGCTGAGAGACATTCACGACTTTTGGAACCACTGTCTCTTGATCCTCTTGGTCTGGCCTGCTTCCCAGCCTCTTGAATCTATCCTCTCGTAATTGGGCTAGACTCCTCACTCCAGGCTGTTGGACACGCTGAGAGACATTCACGACTTTTGGAACCACTGTCTCTTGATCCTCTTGGTCTGGCCTGCTTCCCAGCCTCTTGAATCTATCCTCTCGTAATTGGGCTAGACTCCTCACTCCAGGCTGTTGGACACGCTGAGAGACATTCACGACTTTTGGAACCACTGTCTCTTGATCCTCTTGGTCTGGCCTGCTTCCCAGCCTCTTGAATCTATCCTCTCGTAATTGGGCTAGACTCCTCACTCCAGGCTGTTGGACACGCTGAGAAAGACTCACAACTTTCTGACTGACAGGTTTCACCAAATGCTCCTCTATCTTTGTTTTGCGAGAACCTATACCAACAAAATGATGGGAAAATAAAGAGATATAAATTCTACAAAGCAGTCTCACCAAATATTTGCCTTTAAGAAAATAAGTATCATAAACAGATTAAACTGAATATCAAATGTCTAAAGTGCCGTCTGTTTCAGTCAAATAACAGGTCTATCAAAGTTACAAGGTCATATTGCCTGCTAAGTTTATTAAACCCATTCTTATATCATTAAACACACAATTTGTGCATACAAATCAGCGGTACCAAGGATGTCTCATAAATGTCACATGTCTATCATTATTTATGCATTCTCTTGTTAAACTTCATGGATGAGACAATCTTGTTACGTAATATGTAGAACAATAAAACAATAAATATAACTAGATGGAATTTTGACTGCGCGCAGTCGAAAATGATGCCTCCGCCATAGAGCAATTTAAACAAGTTTGGAGTTTAAATCTCCAGTGGTTCTTGAGATATCATGATAACAATCTCAATGTATGGAATTTCATAAGTTGACCTCTGTGACCCTTGACCTTTGACCTACGTGCTCCAAAATCTAATCAGATTGTCTTCCTATGGTGATACACACTATCATTAAGTTTGAAGTTTAAATCTCCAGTGGTTCTTGAGATATTATGATAACAATCTCAATGTATGGAATTTCATAAGTTGACCTCTGTGACCCTTGACCTTTGACCTACGTGCTCCAAAATCTAATCAGATCGTCTTCCTATGGTGATACATACTATCCTTAAGTTTGAAGTTTTTACATCTCCAGTGGTTCTTGAGATATCATGATAACAATCTCAATGTATGGAATTTCATAAGTTGACCTCTGTGACCCTTGACCTTTGACATACGTGCTCCAAAATCTAATCAGATCGTCTTCCTATGGTGATACATACTATCCTTAAGTTTGAAGTTTAAATCTCAAATGGTTCTTGAGATATCATAACAAACTCAATACAAGGAATTTCATAAGTTGACCTCTGTGACCTGTGACCTTTGACCTACGTACTCCAAAATCTAATCAGATCGTCTTCCTATGGTGATAAATACTATTCCCGAGTCTTAAGTTTAAATCTTAAATGGTTCTTGAGATATTGTGATAACGGTCAAACGGGACGGACGTACGGACGTATGGACGGACAACCCGAAAACATGATGCCTCCGGCACCACCTTCAGTGGCGGAGGCATAAAAATAATAATTAATAAACTCTCATTTTTGATAAGAGATGTAATTAGGTAACTCATATTTCTGCATAAACACTTTCTGACATACTGTAAACGTTGTTATTTTTGTGTGATTAAATTTTCGTGCTGAGTGACCCCAAAACATATTCGCGGGTTCTTAAATTTGTGTTGCACTAAATTCAGCCTGTTCAAAACATGCATAAGATGACATGCTTATATTTCCGCGAGTTCTAAACTTCGCGCTTGCCGATCTTAGCACGAAATCTGTGAAAATTAATGTACCGCAAATATTTCCACGTTTCCAGTAGTGCAAAAATAATTTTCTTCTAGTTACTATAAATCAAATTGGCAACAATCCTCAAATCAGATGACTTACTGTTGTTACTGACAGCAATGATTCTCCTCGACGAAGAAAGGAACATCTGTTCTTCTTCTTCTTGTTCTATATCTTCTGCATCTTCCATCTCTACATCCTCCTCCTCCTCTTCTTCCACGTGCCCTCTCTCCAAGTTCTTCGCTCGGCGTATTTCAGCCAGAGTCTTGATGCCGAACGAACTAGGCTTTTCTGCTCAAGTAAACCAATTCAGCATTAGACATGAAGCAACAAGGAGTAAGAAATGAGTTTTTGCTGTTACTTTCCCCATTAGCTTGAGTTATCACAATCTCAATCTAAGAACTTAATTAATTAAAAATTATCAAAATTAAGCAACTTTGGATGCCTGGGATAATGATATGCTATCCATATTATCAAGGGTAAAAACTGAAATGTTATTTGCTGGTTATTACTTTTAAGTTGGACCATTACATTCAATAAATCTCAATTCATTACAGCTCAGTAACAGAAATACTTCCTCTCAGGGAATTCCTATTTTCTGAGTTGAGACATAAGACAATTTCACATAAATTCACATTATTCTGCAGACACTTGTTGATATATTTTGTAAACACTGGCTAATTCATATAAATTGGTGTACAATATATACTTTGCAGAAACTGGCTTATATTTTGCACAGATTGGCTTGTATTTTGAAGACATTGGCTTGTATTCTGCAGAAACTGGTGAATATACTTTGTAAAAACTGGCTATTTTACAAAAATTGGTGTATACTCTACAGAAACTGGCTTATATTTGCACAGATTAGCTTGTAATTTGGAGGAAATTGGCCTGTACTCTGCTGAAACTGGCAAAATCTTGCAGACATTGGCTTATTTAGAAGATGATGGCAGACGTTAACTTCCATTTTTTTATTTAAAACAAAAGTTGTTTATCTAACCTTGATTGGCGACTGGTCTTGCTTTGATGGTGGGTCTCATCATAGGTTGTCGACAGGGTGAGATCTTCTCCTGACCTAGCGACGGTCTGAGTGGGGAGATGATGACTTTCTTATTGGGGCTCCCATCGACACTCATCGTACCAAGGCTTTCGTCATCTAAACAACATGGGTTCAATCAAACAAATCGTATGGTTTTAGTGAACTGTAAACAAACAAAAAATCCATTAACTTTTTCCTTTATGTCTGCTGATAAATGGCAACAAACAGGGGGTGTACCAACAATTTTAAACAGTTCAATCCAAGCCATAACATTTACATACTATATTAAATAATTCTACTAATTTGTGATAAATAGACGAGCAAGGCTTGGAAAATATGGTTTGAATTTAAATCTATCAATGTGTATTGTAGAGTTAAACATTTCAAGGTTCCCTCTTTCGGTCTTCATCAGCTCGAGATTGCCAAATAGCCAGCTATTTCTGATTTGGGAAATAAGGCCGAAGCTACAAATCGCGTCTTCATCAGCTTGAGACTCGACTGCGAAACTTGATACTCGAGCTTGCGAAATTAGCTTGAGATATTTTGCTCAACGTTCACGCATAGTGTGAGTCTTCGGGCTGGTGAAGACGCACAGGACAAATAGCGGGACATTTTGCCAAATAACCGGATATTTTGCAAACTAGCTCAAGATATCTTGGGATGACAATCTCGACCACGTATCCTACTAATTGCAACTGCGAGCTAATGAAGACACAAATAAGCTGGATAATTTGCGATCAGGATAGTTGAAATAGCAGGTTATTTGGCAATCTCGAGCTGATGAAGACAGGCCTTATGATAAGGTCCGAGGAATGTCGGATCACAAACAACACACAAGATTACTCTGACTAGATTTGTTCTTTTTGTTTGTTTCTCACCTTCACTGTCCATCGGATGGAACACGACTGGACTGACCGTTGGCAGGGCTGGCAGGTCATCCAGGGACTGGACGGCCGGAGCCTGGACACTGGGTGCTACCATTCTGGTCGCAGGGGTGGCTGGACTGAGTGCTGGTGGGAGGGGCTTGGTCACTGGGGAAATTTAGATGAAGTATGTTACAGTTAAAGCCCCACTGTACTACTTGTAGCTATTTGCTCCCTCTAAGTATACAACATTGCCTAAGTGGTGCCTGTTGGTCCCCCATGATCCTCTTTTTCTTATATTAATTGAGAGCTGAGTTGATGAGATAGCCAGTGACCATGCTGGGTGGTCTTATCCCTCCTGGCCAAACAAGTACAGACAGGCTTTAAAGCTAACATTCAGTTTGACTTTATAAGGAAAATTTGTAGGAAACTGACCAAATATAGTATGACATTCTACACACAATACATGAATAAATGTCACTTTTTTATAAATTTATTTCAACTTTTTTGCACATTATCATCTGCCAAAAAAAATTAGCAATTTTGTTCATTATATGGATAAGTCCATGGCATGTCCTATATGTTACTAACCTAAAGAGATTTCTTGATTTGTATTATGAAATTCTGAATATAAATTGACATCAAATATCATTTTATTGATGTTTTGTCTGATTCACAGTCATCACATATCCTGAAATCTGAGATGTGGGTGATAACATACAGGACAAAATAGCTAGGACTTGCCAAAATAAATGTTATTTCATTACTTACAATGCAATTTTTTTAATTCTTTTCTTTCAATAGCATCTATTCATAAACTGAAGACTTTTATTTCATATTCATTTCAAAATATCAAACTAAAACAAATAATACATTAGGAAGTCTAAACAAAGGTTTACCAGTACATTTTTTGTTATCTTCTAGTCAATGTAAACATAACATTGTCCATGTTCACATTACCTGGACCAACAATGGTTGGTATCCTGTTGATAAGGGATGTGGAGGCCGACGGTCCTGATTCTGTGGTTTGTCTCTTAAGATGTCTGAATGGGCAGTGGGGTTTCTGACATCCTGTCGGTTGACTCTCCCAGAAGCAGGCTATCTCAGAACGATTCTTCTACAAATGCAAACAACAATTTTCAAAATATAATGTACTTTTTTTTTTATTGTAAGAAAAAAAATAGAATCAGAATTATTATATTTGATTAGATTTCTGAAGGAAAAAAAATGTGTCTGGCAATGAGGATCAGTCTGGAAACCAGAGTAATAACTAAAAGCAATTGTGAGACATAGCAAATACAATAAGTACTATAGAAATGCCTGGAGGATTATTCCTCTGAATTCACTGTTATCTCCATGTTGCATTTTAGGGGGCCTTGTGGGGCAAAAAAAATTCATCTAAAAATGAATCTCTCAATTTGACCAGTGACCAATAGTTTTTTCTGATATTTAGTACGTGTAAATGGTCAAAAACGGAACAAAGTCTCATGTTGTATGTACATCAAATTTTATGCAATGAGGTGTCGTGGTTGAGTGGGTACCTCCCTTGACTGTGGATCACAAGGTCTGCGGTTCAGGTCCCGCCGCGACACTTATGTCCTTTGGCAAGACATTGATCCACATTTGCCACGTTCAACTCATGTGATGTAAATGGGTACCTGGCAGGAATTGATTCCTTGAAAAGCTAGAGCGCCGTAATGGCAGCCATGCTATTGCCACGGTAATAATCGGGAGCACCAGGAGTGTCAAGTCCGATGAGCGCTATACAAGAACCAAATACTATCATTGTTTATCAATCCAGCATTCTATCAGAAACTTACCGTTATCTCCATGTGTCTGTAGGCACAGCTTGGTCTGTAGCAGAAGCCTTGCTTCCAGTTGAGACAGGTCACTTCATTGCCTCGAGCTTCTTCAACATGACGGTAAGGACAGGCTGGGCCCTACACAGTCAAACAGAAAAGTTTACATAGAAAATATGAAAGTACATGACATCACAATGAAAGTGCATGACATCACAATGAAAGTACATGACATCACAATGAAAACGCCTTAAAGTTAAACCATCATCATCATCGTTAATCATGATAGTAATCAAGATTCAAGAAGAAATTAAAGGGGATTCCATTCATGCAAGAATATTCTTTTCAACACCATCGATGGGAATGAGCAAGAAATCTCATCACAGTGCATTTAAACAAATTACTTCCCATTCCAGACTAAGCAAAAAAGCTTTTTTTTTTAACTCATTAAAATAAATAAGCATCAAATGTGTACTCACAATAATACAATGTAGATCATCTTTACATGCATTACATTTTTAGTATTTTTACTTTAAATTTTAAAATGGTGAAGGAAATATTTTTGGAAATAAAAATATGAAAAGATAATTCTTTAAAAAATCAAAATGATGAATTCTAAACAAAAACATAGGGAAAACATGGGCAACTAACATTCAGTACTTACATTACAGTACAGATATGTGAACATACTTATAACATTTTGTAATTTCTGATCCTTTTAATGCTGTTTAAACCTAATGTACTTCCAATTCAAGTGTTACTGAGACTGGTCCTCACCTTTGCACAGTTAGAGTAGTAGAAGTAGTAGCAGTCATCTCCTGTAGTAGCCATAGTGACTAGCTGCTGATGCCTTCCTCAGAGCTGAATGACGACAGGAACAAGATGTAACAGGTGTCAATTGCCGATTTGAAGTCCGTAACTTTGGAGATCTGAGAACTTGACCGATTGACCACAAGATGATAGATGGTGGTATCCAGATGTGGCAGCAACCTTCCTTTCCCACAACAAAATTAAAGTCTGTGACAAATGCTGTCCAGTGAGTGTTGATCGGTTGTTAACGATAAGAGTCCAGTGTGGTATATGCTCTCAGATGTTACCTTAGAAGATTAAAAATGGTAAAGAGTTTGGATGTGCTGTAACTTCACGAAGGCAGATGATGAACCCTCAAGGCCAAAGATCAATGTATCCTTTAAAAAACAAATCTTTTGATGTTGTTGATCGGTTGCACCAGTAAGAGTTCTCCTTTGTTAATGCTGCCTATGCTGTCTGTTGCCACAATACACAATACAAGATGTGTGAGAGTTTGGATGTTCTGTAACTTCACCAAGGCAGATGATGAATCCTCAAGGCAGAAGTTCAGTACATACTTTTTTTTTTCTTCTCCTTCGTTTCTTTTTTGAGGAGGGGGGGGGGAGGGATTTCAAATCTTTGTATCACCGATTGCAAATGAGATGAAGTTGTTCTAGTTAAGGTCAAGATCCAACTTGAAGACTACCAAGTTGTCAAACTGCATACAGATATCTAGGTGAATATTGTATCAAGGATATGAAGTTCAGTTGCATAATCTCCAAATGAATTCTAGACTTCACTGTAGGATGAACTTCACAGTAATGGTTGAAGTCTACATAAAGATGTAACTTCAAAGTTGAGCAGGTACAATTCAAGATGAAACAGGTCCTTGAAGAAATGATGAACAGGATGAATCCAAGACTAGCAGGTCATCAAAAATTAAAGTTAAATCAGGTTGAATCCAAGATTAAGCAGGTTCTCAAATAAAGAAAGGGGGTGAATCCAAAATGAATCTGTGGATCCTCACTAAATCATGGGCTGGCTAAATCCCAGACTATGCTGATCCTTAAAGCAATGTTGAGCAGGCTGAATCCAAAGCTAGGCAGGTCCCCACACAGGTGATGAAGAATCTTGATCCAATGCTACGCAGTAAAAGTCCTACGACTAATAGAGATGCACATTTAACTCCGATATTCCGCATTCACGTCTCAAGATTAGCCTGATGAAACGCAATCGCTACTTCCAAATTTTGAAGGTTCCCAAATATATACGATTTATCCAAGAGGAACCTTACACGCGGTTTTCTTCCCAGTAACATGTACATGCATAATGTACAAAAGGCGCACGCGGAACACGAGGATGTGAGAACGCAAAACCGACAAGCGACAGAAAGACTTTCTGCTCTGAAGATCCCGCGGCAGGTTTACCACTTGCGTATTATTCACATCATATGCGTTGTTCAGCGTAACGGATGCCCTATTCCCTGCGGTATCTTATCAATTATATCCGGTTCATAATGCGATTAAAATATATTGATTGCCCCACAAAATGTGCAAGGTTAATATAAAATCACTCTCTTAAATTTGTAAGATCTTTCTTCTGGAGGCAAGTGTGAGCTATTACGAACGAGTAGTAAAAGTAGACTATTTCTACAAGAGCATGAACTTTAGCCTAGTCAATCTATGCGTACTTTGTCCATCACAAAAATAAGAAATATTAAAAATGATCATGATAGAAGTTGAACAATGATCGGGTCTTCTCACGCGTATATCACACCTCAGGTAACGACCGACCTAATACTTGTTCATGGTTGACCGGAACTATCAGAAGCAAAGCTAACAACGGTTATTCCTGATAATGATTGATTCAGTTTTGCGAGCAGAATGTCCCAAATTCTTGGGCGATATCGGGGCCAATTTTCACACAGTGTCAGAGTCAGTTCGGGGTAGATGCTGATCAATTTCAACTTTACGTTTCAAACAAAAATAATGGTTGGCCACCTTCAAAATACGTTGGGGTAGGTAACTGCTTGTGGACATGTGCTACCATGTTACTGCCAATTTTAAAATGCTTCAAAGAGCAGTTCCCATCATGTTTGGTCACTGGACAAGGGCTTAGAAGGCCATCGATTGCTTGTAGATGTGACATTACAAATAGATGCTAATAGCTGCTAATCTTGCTAAATTTATAGCTGTTTATCCTGCACACATGTACAAATATATACACTTGCACAATGCCTGTCGTCAGCAAACTTACAAATTTATGCCACATTTTTTCTTTTTGATCAGCATTTTTGTATTGGTGACTGTTCTTTGCAGTATGTCTTTTGAATGAAGGTGAAATTTGAGCAATCACATGTCCGTAGATCAGCAGAATAAAAAAAAGTTGCATTCACTATTCCACTCCAATGTTCTATTCAAAAGATAAGTTTCTCCAGATTCCTCAATGGTTGTCCATTGGCCAACAAGCCCCCTGCGTACTTCCAAAGAATCACAGGTTGAATGCTTGTTGTACCCTCGCACAAGTACTGCAGTCCACAATTCCTCAGAAAGTTGCAGCAAGTCGGTTTCATGTTTTTATTTTTCAGTAAATCCAGGAATAGAAACACTTTTTGCCAACGGTCAATAACAGAAACGAGGAAGCTCGATGTATCACAACTGTCAGGGGTGATGCCTGTGGGGCTTCTCGAGTAAGTCTATGGCTTCTTTAGAAAGCCGCACAAAGTCTGCTTGAAGCTACCATTTCTCGCTTCATACATGTGTAGCATGTATTTATATGTCAACGGCCAAACACAGAAATCGCGACATTTCCGGGCGGTAGACGCGGCTTCATTTACGGTAAAGGCACTCCGCCTCTTTTGATACGGTGTCCCTACATTTCGCTTCAAATTACAAACGGCTCAACTATTATCGGACTCTCCGAATTTATTTTTTATTTTCCTCGATATTGCTGGAACTCACACTTGCCTCATCCCCATGTGTGCTACACTGTAAAGCCCTTCTCTACTCAATAAACAGTCCTTTAAAAACCACAACCCCCAGTGCTCTAGGCAGAACTACTTTAATAGCGTCCAGATCCATAATTCCTTAAGATATTACAATATAATTCACCTCTGCTGCATATTCCCTCATAGTTTATTCAATAGAAAATTATGTCTTCATTAGGATATCTTCTCTTATGCCCTTAGAAATATGATATTAAGCAGTTAAAAAAATGTTGTGTCACTTGCGTTGTATTATTATTATTTCTCTAATACTGGTCAAAAATTATTTGCCTGCTCCAAAAATCCTCTTTATTAGTGCAATCTCCCTTCATAATAACTGCCCAAATTTTAATTTTAATCATAAGTTAGATCATCATTTACAAAAAGTGGAAAAATAAAGTGCTCTAGTTTACAGTATGTTTAAGATCCCTTTACTTACCTCATTCCACATGCATTTTTACAATGTAAACATAATAGGATATTAATTTGATAAAGTTTGTTCCTCATACATGTGCTTGACCACACATCTGTGTCAACAATCTAGATTGGGGGATAGGGTCCATATACATGTAGTTGTTACATGTAGCTGTTGCAGTTTTCCTGTTTTAGAGATACAGTTTCTAAGAGTTTTGGAATTACAGTATGCTAGTTTCAAACAATGCCCTAAAGGGGGAAAACTTATCTTCTAGCAAAAAACCTGGAAAATCAAACAGGATTTAATTCGACTAGAAATGGAGGGAAACGTAATTTTCAATTTTGTGTCAGGGACTTTTTCTTTTTTCTTTCCTAATGAAGAGAACTGGAGCAGAAACAGAGAAGGGAGGAGAGAGAGAGAGAGAGGAGACAGAAAGAGAGAGAGAGGGGGGCAGGCAGACAGAGAGAAATAGAGAGAGATAGAGAGAGACAGAGAGAAAGAGAGGGAGAGAGAGAGACAAAGAGTGAGAGAGACACAGAGATAGAGGGAGAGAAAGAACAAAGCCTTAAAGAAAATCAGCTTGCAGGCGATGAGAAATTGACTTCCTCCTTAGGCAAGGCCATAATGAGCACCACCCATCTACATGAAGGTGACTTTCATCCCATCTCTAAGTGATCTTCATCCATGTAAGTGACCTTCACCCATTATCAAGGTGACCTTCGGGAATGGTGGAGCTCAGTCCCTCCATCTTCATCTCTACCTCCCCTCTACTCACTTTAAGACCCTGCATGCCGGGGATGATTGGAGACGGCTGTTTCTTGTTTATCCACGCTGATGTTGAGCTTTAAAGGCTTAAAGACATCTGTTGAAGCAAAAAGAAGAGAGAACTTTAGGAAGTCACAGTGAAAATGAAGTCACAGGGGAAATATGGTGAAGGAAATTTTCAAAGTAACTCCTATTTTAGTATAGTAACACATTGTGTGTCCAGACAGGATTATCTGACATTTGATTTTAAACAGGAATTTTGAAAAATGTTTAAAAGCAATGCTTCTTAATCTTTTAAGAATACATGCATGCATGTTTCATGTTTTACACTATTCTAAAGTCAGAGGGAAAGGTGCTCCTGTAATCAGTACTCAGTAGGGGCGCTGGTCCGAGAATAAGGATCTTCCGCATAAACGAGGATCATTTTTGTGAATGCGGACAGATGCGTCCGCAAAAATAAGGATTGTCCGCATTTTTTGCCGACGATTCTGATGCGCGCGTTGGCGATGCGAAAAATAGATTCCACAGTGATTTCTTGATGCATTTCACATTGACTTTGTAGTTGTACAGAGACTTTCATGTTGTGAGCGATAAATCCTTGGGAAGACGGATAACCCATAAAAGTAGACGGTGAACTGGGGGTATTTTATTACGCCAGATCCGTTTTTTGCATTACCAGCGCGCGGATCAGAAACCCGAAACTCGCAGAGCACCCCCCCAAAAAAAAGTCGGAGGATCTTCATTTTTCAGGAAGCATTTTGTCCGATTTTACGAGAATATCCTTATTGATGCGGACGATCCTCATTCTCTGACCAGCACCCCTACTGGTAATCTGTATCTTCCCCGATTTGAGCTTGACAAATTCAGAGATTTCAAATTCAAGATTTTCCCCTGGGAACTTCACCAGGGAAAAAATCAGCTCCGAATAAGTTTTTAAAGTTTGAAACTATTATAGGAACTGAAGTAGACTCTCCATTTTTTGTCTCTCCCTCACTCACACTCTCTCTCTCCAAAGTAAGATGGGAGAAAGAAAAAAGAAAAAAAAAAAGAAAAAAAAAAAAAAAGCTGAAAATTGAAACAGTGGGAGTGTGGGACAGTGAAATAAACATCCTTGCGACAAGTTTTGTCAAAAATTCACCTTCACATTCAATCACATTCACAATCTTGACAATTAAAGGCACTATTCTTTCTGGAACTAGGTCTACGCTTAAAATTTTATGATCGAACATCTCATTTTCGTTATTTTCAAGAAATCAAACCATTCCATGGAACTGCCACAATTCAAAAAGTTCTAAATGACGAGACGAAGAAAAGGGACTGCTGCATGCTGTTACAGTAAATGCTACAGAAAATGGTACACACACACTCAGCTCAGATCACTCAGTCACTGGCACTGCACTGTAGGCAGCTCAGTTCCCCCTCTCTCATTCTCAATCTCAGTTCATAAGCTAGCCGATACATTTTTACAAAAATATAGAAATAACAGAGTGGCTAAATATCTACCTTTCAAAAGATAAATTGCTGCATCATGCTGATGATCCTTGTTCCTGTTTCATGGCCTCTTTTTTTAGCAGGATACACTTTGGCCAAATTACGTCGGCTTGACGTAACATGTATAAAACGAATCGTCACGCGTCGCATCCTTGTTCTATACCAAGCTCTAGTCCCAAAGTAGATTCGCCTTCACAGTTTCGCTCTAAGTTGTTGTTAGGACGAGTTGAGATTCGACAGAGAGCACTTGCATATTGACAAAATTGCATTTTGTTCTGTTTCCCTTCCTTTAATACGAATACTTATAATGATTTGCTAATGAGGATATAGTGCATGATTATATTTTATTGTAGCTTAGTTTAGTTTTTAGTTCATTTTGATAATTCTCTCCCCTCCCCTATAAATTGTTCATTGACCTTCATATTTCATTTCTTCCTTTCACATGCTACTCTATGATGACGTAACAAAAGATGGATTTCATATCTTATGCCTAAAATTATTGCTATCATTCTTTCTGTCTCCCCCATTTTTCTTTTTATCTCCTTGAAAATTATTGATAAGCCCGGCCTCATTTCAGAAACATAGGTAAAAGCTAGCTATATTCTGTTGTGCTTTTTGGTCTGTCATATACATCTATGCTTTCAAATATCTTTTTTTAACTACCGGTATGTAAAACAAATACCTGATCTCTTTCTCTCTTTCTGAACAATATCTCCAATCACATATTTACCGTTCTTCCTCTGACTATATCTTGTCTGCCGATCTTTCTTTTTCTACTGCAAATCTTGATTTGTCCGTCTCTATTTCATCTTGTGTTATGTCTCTATATTCTATATTTTCTCTGTATGTCTGTCCCAGTAAGTCTCTTTCTTATTTCCTCTTTCTCTACTTCTGTCCTATTCTCTGTCCCTCTCTCTCTCTCTGTCTCTGTCTGTCCCTCTTTTTTCTCTCTCTCTCTAGTCCCTTTCTCTCTCTCTCTCTGTATTCTGTCTCTCTATACCTCATTCTCTGCCTTCCTTTCTCTCTCTATTTTGTATCACCATATCTCTTTCTCTATCCCCATTTCAAGCTACTTTCTTAAATATGGCAACTATCCACTGTCCTTACCAATATAAAATCATGTCGCAAAAGAAAAGATGATCATACAGCATGACATTAAATATATATTCTTTATTTTTCACATCCCTCACATTATTTGACAGCAGTGCAAACGTAAAATATATACAGTCATCAGAATGCGTGTAAGATACCAAGTGTGTGCTAAAAATATGAATTATAATAAACCATAACCACGGTATTGCAAGTGGTATATAATTCACCTAGGAGGACACAATGTCATATATTACACACAAAAATATATCACTTGCTCAAGTTAAATAAACACCTATTGTAATTCATTAAGTCAGCCACTTTGTACTTTTCAGTTGTGTTTTGTTGATATGTCAGGCTAAACCTCTGACAATATCAGCCTCGAAAGGATTGGTTGAATGTCTGAGACATGTATATGTGACCTCATCGATAAATTAAGGAGATATAATCCCTGACAAATATATACATTCTTGCTGTTATGTCAGGCAGAGTCTTAGACAAAGCACATGAATAAAGATTTGTTTACACCCATATATTTGAAGGATTTGGCATTTTTTACATTCTATATCTACTTCTATTTTTTCAAAATTTCCATATGTGATACAGCATTTTGCACACATTATTGTCTCACCACAGCCAAGTGCACACACACAAATAAAACCAACAAAGCTCATTTGAATTGAAACCCCTCTACCTTATCTAAAGCATGAGCATATCGTTACAAATATCAGAGAAAAATGAGAAAATAAATTTATACTTTACAGTTGAAGACACAAAAATACCAATAATCTGACGAACATCTGAATTTATTCTTGTTTCTTGTTTAAAATGTAATAAGCATTATATTTAACCTACAAAACTAAATAAATAGCTTTAAAATATCTGTAACGTTTATCTCCATTTTCAGCCTTTCCATAAACACATTAACGTATAAAACAAAAAGAGAAGAAATTCATATTCCTTTTTGATACACTGTAGTCTAGTTTCCCATGAAAATAATAACAAAAGTAAATTAGGCACATATAAACACACATATAATTGTAAAATGACACTGTTACCATTATTGTTGGATACAAGTCCCCACAGCTCAAACTTAATTAAAATATGAAATCAATTTCCCAGACTCTATATTGTTTCCTCCATGAAAAGGTTCTTAATAGACGTCAAAATTCAACTAAATGTTTAATTCATTTATTATAGAGGAAGAGAAGTGAACATATGACCACTGTTTTCTTTTTCCCCTTCAAATATTAGATACACATATCTAAAACTTATAACTACACACAAGGTTGATTATACAAACGTTATTCAGATCAAAATCTTTGCTGTATCATAGCTGCCATCAAGTAAAATAAATACATAAAAATATTGAATTAACCTCTTTAGCTGCTTGTAAATTGATTTATTCACACTAAAAACTTTATCAGCTGTGCAAAGAAATTTTTTTGAGAACATATTTGCAGAACTTTTGCCCAAGCCACAAAGCACACAAACCCGGGGAGAGGGGAATCCCTCCCCCCCCCCCCCCCAAAAAAAAGAGTCTAATACAACAAAATGACAGTTGATCATACCAGATGTGAATCAAATATTGTGGTACCGGTAATTTGATCTGAAAGGAAAAATCAGAATTGCTTATGTGCCCTAGATTCTACCCATACTTACAGAATATTTGTAGAATTTCATCTGAATTCCTAATTGATTATATGATTTTCCATGAACGTTTGTGGTATGAAAACATCTGATTTTCTAAATTATTTGCCTACTAGTACTCAACAAAAATGAAAACAGGACACCAAAATATTTTTGTAAGAATACACTGTGCAATCAATTTAGCAACAAATATATAGCAGAAATAGTACTAGCAAAGAATATTGACCACCTTGAATACTTTTGACAAGAATAACCTCATATATTACTATTTGATAATTCCTTATTTCTACACTAAAAACAAATTTGTGCATAAGGCGACTTAAATATTGTAACGCAAACCATATGAGACTGTTACAAATATTTAAATAAATGAAGGACAAATGAATTCAATGTATCAAATGAGAATAACCGTCCATTTCCCCATTGCTGCACACGAACCATTTCATACTTCTTCCGAGGTGCAAATGTACATGTTTTGAATTTCTGTGTGTGGACCACCCTGGAGAGATCCTGCCATTTTTCAAAATGTTGTGTGTTGGTATTTAAATCATTTGATTGAATCAAACAAACAGCAAAGCACACAATGACATCCGCTGATCACATTTACATAAAAGAAACAGTTTGATTGTTTTTCATATACATGTGCAAGATAATGAATATGTAAAAAAGAATATAACAATAATAACAAAACAATTTCAAAAAAATAAAAAAAATAAAAAAAAATATTGTTGTTTCCATTTTTCCCATTGAAGGCATACTTCCCAGCTACACTAATGCATTTAAAAACAAATTTCTAATGATTTCTCTCAATAATTCCCTGATTAACTATACCACAAGTGTGTTTAATCATTCAATCATAAATAATGTATGCCCTTCCAAGGAATCAATACATGTATATATGCCAGATACAATACTCCTTTATCTTTTGTTATAGTTTGAATATGCTCAATTGAAGGAAAAAAAGGGTTTCTAGCACATTTAGAAAACCTTAGACTCTCTAATTGCATTCTTTCAAAGCACACATTCAGACCATGGGAAACCAAAACTCATGATTATCTTGAAGCCTCGTTCACATTTGGCGCATCAAAATCTTTTTGTTTGTTTTAATGACGTAATATGATGAGGTAATACACTTCACATTTCTGTATCTTATACAGTCAAAGCTGCTTTAGCGAGCACCTGTATAGAAAGACCACCTGTCTACAAAGACCAGTTTTGTTTCCCTTGAAAATGGTTTCTCATTGGAACATGTACTAAAGGACCCTGTACATAAAGACCACCTGCCTATAGAGACCATTTTTCTTGTCTTCCTTGGGTGGTCTTTATAGACAGGTTTCACTGTACCATAGAGCTCAGTGGGTACATGCAGGACCTTTACACGCAGTTGCCATTCATTTACACGTTTTAAAAACGTACTGCTGGCTTTTTTGAGGCAGTTCACCTCGGCATGTCTGAACGAGCCTTTGGGCGTGTCTCTTAAATGCACGTTACCGATCACATGCTTCCCAAAAACAAATTACAATCGAGATTTCAACCTTGACCTGCTGAAAGCTCGATCCTGATTGGCTGATGGGGAACATGTGATTCAAATATGAATCAGTCATACATGTCGAGGTGATAATAAGCACTAACCCTCAAGAAGGATTTGTGGCTGAAATAAGCATGAAACTTGACATCATTCAAGGCCTTTTCGATATTTAAACAATAAAAAGGTCAAACGTGGGACTATAATAATGATATTTAAATCATTATATAGCTGTTACAACAAATAGATCGAGACACACAAAAAAAGATGCACAGCACGCAGAGAGCACAAATACATTATAAAAATAAAATTTATCTCATCTTGTTCCAAATTCTATAAGCCTACACATCAGGATGAAATAAGGAACAATATTTTTTATTTGGTATCGCCTTCACCTATTCTTTTTACAATTTCATCACTCTTTCCTTCTCTTCTTCGTAACATACCGTCTGTTGAGAACCCGAAGGGTGTTAACTCTGTGATAAAGGAAATGATTTAATACCCTTCTGGCACTCAGGATACATCCTAAGATACAAACACGTTGCTTACTCTCAATGCAGTTCAGAATTCATGCAATTTTCTTTGCCTTTCTCTTTTTTATATGGAAGAATCCCACAGCTAAACTAAAAAAATATGCCAAAAAGAAAAAAAACTTTTATGACTCCAACTGAAAATAAACAGCTTCAAATAAAAAAAAAAGGTTAAATACTTTCAAGAGGGCAAGAACACAATTTGTAACAACTTTTGTTTCATTTCCTACAATTCTCTTATGCAAACAAAAAACCAATGAATATAAACAATTCTTTTGTGCAACAACTTTACAGTGAGCTTAATTTATAGTAAAAGTTAAAACCAGTACCATGTCACTAAAAAAGGTCTGAACTAAACGTAAGGTGAATGGAAACATGAATGCATGTGATATCACATAATTTTTTATTGCTATTTCAGGTTTTATATACAAAATACGATATCCAGAAATAGATAAAGCAGGGTTCGACGCTAACAGGTGCCCGGATTCAAGGGCGTCTACAATGTAAGTCCGGAGCCCCCCAAGATTATTAATTTTTTTAATTTTTTACATAGGGCCCATCCGTAAGGACTTTAACAATTTCAATCGAGACCCACATCCAAAAAAAAGTTAGTGTGGGGCCTTGGAAACAGAAAGGGCCAAAGCAGACGTGTTAACCGACGTTTCTCCACCTTGAGAAGCGCAACTTTCAATGATTTTTGACGTTTTGTTTACCCGCTAACCCATGGTATACCCTGTATGAACACTACGTGAATTAGAGGATTCAGTAGTCGAAGGATTGAGAGAAAAAGTTAGAGAAGCATTATAGCCTGAATACTTGGAAGAAAGATATGACATGAAAATGTAAAGATTGCCTGACCTAGCAGCTAGGCAAAAACAAAGCCTTAACTATCGAATATTACCGATAAAGTTAAAGGAACCTATCACCATGAATACAGAGAGGGAAAATATAAATAGTCTAAAAAGATTGCACAACCAAGTCATGAAGCAACTGCATAGTACATTATAAGAACGAGCCTTGACTGAACTTGAAGCACTTGAGATAACAAGATGTTGGATCAGGGGTGAAGTCGGTTACTACATCGATATACAAACGGTCATCCGTGGCAAGGACTGGACCCATCTCGACGACCTTTGACATCAAAGGTCAGTGACCTCCAGGGGTGAGGAGGGGCTTCTATTCAGTTGACCTTGATGCTGGTCGTCTCCTCGTCGCTGAGCTCGAGGTCGATCAGCTCGTCGATCTCCATGGCCCAGGGGTGGCTGACCCTACCGTACTGTGGGGAGAATAAGACACAGAAATAATAGTGACGATGATTATTGATGATTGTTTTACCCGACTGCTAAGAAAGCATGTATATGCTTGTAAGTAAAAACTAGGGGTCCAATGGCTTCAACTCCTCTCTAAGTAACTTAATAATGAGGATAAATGCCTTACCAAAGAGATATTAGAAAGAGATAGGGAGAGACAGAGAGTGAGACAGAGAGAGAAAGAAAGAGAGAGATAGATGGAGAGAAAGAAAGAGATAAAGACAGAAAGAGAGAGAGAGAGAGAGAGTGAGTGAGAGAGAGACAGACAGAGATAAGGAGAAAGAAAGAGATAAAGTGAGGGTGTACATACCTGAATATCTATAAGACAGAGATAAAGGCAGAGAGAGAGAGAGAGATTGAGAGTGAGAAGGAAAGAGATAGAGAGAGACAGACAGAGATAAGGAGAAAGAAAGAGAAAGAAAGAGATAAAGAGAGGGTGTACAGTACATACCTGGATATCCATGAGTGTATTGTAGAATCTCTTGCACAGCTCTGCTCCATTATCCATGGTTGGGATATCAATCATATCTCCCTTGAACAAGACCTTACCGATGGGACACACCACGCAGGCAGTACCTGCACCAAAGAACTCTACGATCTGTATGACATGAGAAAACATATACTTATTGAATCACAAATTGTGCTCGGCATAAAGGTCGTCTTTAAAGCTAGTTAGCGTGAGTATGGTAAGGTCGAGGTAGTGACCATCTGAACGATAGTTGTGTTAGCTACGTCGACCTTTACGCTGACTGATTTACTCCTGGATTTTGACAGGAGTAACGCACTAAGACGACTTGAGGGTAGCGTTAGTTGACCGTGTGGATGCTCTCGCTTGGCACTTGGAGAATCTGTGACCTTTCACAAGGATTGTATAACCTAACTTTTAAAACTTCCGGGGTCGAACCTACAGTGTTCACCATATGCACATTTTTTGATGTCTTAAAGCGATTTTCTGAATGGTTTAGGAATAAAATGAAAATTGAATTTAGCAGGGTTTAGATGTGAGTGCTGGGTTGAGGTCAACTTGTGCGGGCGCCACCCCTTCCGAATGTTACGCCGAGTAAGACGGGGTCGGTGGAAGGTCGTGTTCACTTAAAAGGACAACTAATGGTGTAAGTCAAATATTTATGGAACATTTATTGCTGCAGGGAAAAACTTATGCCGACGAGGAAGCCACGTCTGAAAATGGCTATAGCAGTAGATCATCGTACGTAACTTACCCTCTTCTCAGCGAGAGCCTTCTGGAATTCAGCCATTGTGATCCTGCGCTCAGTCACCTTGAAATCTCCCTGTTAGAAGAAAGAGATAAAGCAATAATGAAAGATTATTCAAACAATTTATTGCTGTCTGCAGCCTCGAGATCACTGGAGCGAAGATAGGTGACGATGAATTGCCAGAGTCCCTATTCATTGAAGGATTAATCTTTTTGTATCCAGACAGATTCTTTCACCTTTTCTGACCAGGAGTGTGTTAATACCAAGCTTGTCTAATAAATGTTGAGTTTGGTAGAAGCCGGTTAATAAAACTACATGCTATGACTACTCCAACCAATGAAAGTTTTCTCTAATAATAAAATGTTTATTTACAAGTGGACCATACCATGCTACTTATACAAAAGCCACAGCCAGGATAAGAAATAGAAATAAATTTCTTGCATGCCTAGCAGAAAGATGCAAACATACATGTTGGTCACATGTATCAATGGTTTAGTTTTGTTACGGCGACCCCACCACAAGCCTCCTGCTTTTAGAGAACTTCACCTCCTTCCAACACAACATCGTAAATATCATCAATATTCATGAGGTGTTCATTTTGTTTTTGTGAAGGAAATAAACATTTATTGAATCGAATCGAATAGAAATACGCACCCATTCCCTGGCAAGATCAAGCAAGCTACGACGGGTCACGCCGGGGAGGATCGTTCCGTCGAGGGGTGGGGTGATCAACTCCCTCTCGCCCGCCTCGTTATCCCAGTAGATGAAGATGTTCATGGTGCCCACTTCAGTCAGGTAGTGCTCCTCTTCGTACAGCCATAGGATCTGCTGGCAGCCCTTGGCCTCCGCGTCGTGTTGGGGTTTGATGGTGGGGGCGTAGTTGCTGAAGATGAGAGGAGAAGGCAATGTGCGTTATCTACATGTACATGTAACATTTTTATTCTGCACAACAACAAAATAATGATAAAGATAATTACGTTGATGATAATAATACTATCAATAATAATGATAATAATACTATTAATAATAAATATAATAATGATAATAATATCAATCATAATGATAATGATAATATTAAAAGTAATAATAATAATAATGATTATAATAATAGTAATATAAAAAGACAAGAGAATAGTCAAAATAAAAGAGTTCTTAATGGAAAGAACATTACTCTCTAAAGATAGCTGGTCTTAATATCCACTTTCCTTTTTTGTTGGGGGGGGGGGAAGGTTTTTTTTGTTAATGTTTAAATTTGTTTACAGTACTGTTCAAATAAATAAAATTAAAAAATTAAAAACGTGCTTCTCATTGGAAAGTGGTCATTAAGGTGGTTAAGATCAACTCCATAATCATCCATCCCATTCATTAGGAAGTGAAATAAAAACCCAGCTATCAAAGTTGCTGGCAGCCATTGACCCAAGTGTGGAGTTGGGCATTCACAGTTCAAGCATAATTGTTTAAAATGGAGTGTAAAAAAGGTTTGTGTGTGAGGAGGGGGTGTTCTGATACATGCTACAATTACATTTCCAACAGGATTTATTTTGCTATTCAAAGATATAGGGTTATGAAAAGAGTTGGAATGACATGTAGGTTTAAAGGGTATCCAATCTTTGTAATGGGTTCATTACTATGAAAGCAGAAACATGAGAGAAATTTCTTTATTCTCTTTAATTCTTTTAACATTGTGTCTGTAAGACTGGCCATATTTTTACTGGAGATTCACCTGAATATGATATAATTGTATTATTGTATTATATTATATTGTATTATATCTTATCATATTGTATTATATTGTATTATATTCACCACACATAACTATGATGACCGCATGTAGTTTTGATTAGTAAGGAGGCTAGAACCCTGAAAATGGAATCTCATATTAAATTTACTAGCACATATTTCCTGTCTGTATTATTATATAACATCCCTTAATTCTTTCCACACAATGTCATTTGTATCATACCCTATATACTACCAGCATAAATACCAGAGCGCAATATCAGAGCCACTCGGCTAATGCTGGGAGTAATAACAGTACATCGCTTACAAACATTAGTATTAAATCATAAGCTCTATCTAGGTGTTACTCCCAATTTTATCATAATTATCATTATTATCATTACTGTCATGATTATCATTACTATCATGATTATCATTACTATCATGATTATCATTATTATCATCATTATTAATATTATTAATATCAATTATTGATTACCATTCCCCCCCCCCCCCCCCCCCCCAATTATATTATCCTCTATTTTGCCTTTTTACAGTTCAGTCAACACAAGAATGTCTGATTGTGAGCTAGTCTGCATAGCCAGACAATATTTTTCATTTCATTAACTTTTCACCCTGCCCTCCGTTTGCTTGTTCATTTGTTTTTATTTCCATAACAATCAAAATAAAAAAAAAGGTTAAACTATTCATGATACATCATAATTATAAATATATAAATGGTGGAAGAAAACGGAAAGAAAAAAGAAAAAAAATGGGAGGGAGGGGGGGGATTTTTTTTTTTTTAATCGCAAAACGATTTAAATCAGAGTAATTATCAGGCCTGAAATACCCTCTATAGGGCGTGGTCCTTACCTGCCCATCTTAGCATAGCCGACGCCTCCATGCCACGCCCTGACGTGTGCAGTATCAGCGTACAGTGTCACCGGGCTGAATGTACCTGTCTCGAAGTAAGGCCCAACTGGCCCCACGATGCAGTAGAGAAGCGCATGCTTGGGGTAGTTCACACCAAGGGTTGGCTGGAATAATAATTCAATTTCAATTTTCAATTTCAATTTATTTATGTTTCCAAAAAAACATTACAAATCGATAATAAACATTTACAACATTTGTTGAAATATTCATAAAGTGCACATATCCATCTATCCAAGAAGTGTCATAGTCACATGGTAAAGCATGTGACTTCAAATTTAAAGAGGGTGGATTTCAATCCCTGACATGGCACCAATGTCCTTTGGTAAGGAATTAATCTACATTTACCACTCAATACCCAAGATAGAAATGGGGACTCGGTAGGAAGACGAAAGCATTTGTGTCAGTAATTGCCTATGCTCCCATGGTGACCACAGGGTAGGAATGCTCCCCAGGGAGTGGAGATGGTGCACATTGTGCGTGAATGAATCTGATGACGGTGGTAATAATATCTGTAAAGTGCTTAGAAACGGTATTCCATATTAAGCGCTATATAAATCTAGATTATTGTTATTATTATCATCTCTGGAGATGCCTTTTAGAATGATTTTAGTTCAAAAGCTCCAAAGTAAATCAACATAACTATATGAAGTCAATGAACAAATAGCTGAACTCTAAAAAGGGAAACTTAATTGTAACTTGCAAACATTATGTGGGTCTTCAGTATGGTTTTGAAAATTAGAAGGGTATTACTATTGGCTTTAAAGAGATGAGAAAAAAGGAAAGTTACTCCACAAAGAACGAGCTGCTGATGCACATGCTCTACATGTGTCCCCCAGTGTCTTTTAGCTAGACAATAGGAAATTACTATTTCCCTAATCTGAATAACGTTGTACAGTCAAACCTGTCTATAGCAACCAAAGTAAATCAACATATTTAAGTACAGTGAAACCTGTCTATAAAGACCGCCCAAGGGAAACACAAAAAGTGGTCTTTGAAGACAGGTTCCTTTAGTACATGTTTCAAAGAGAAACCATTTTCAAGGGAAACAAAAAATGTGGTCTCTGTAGACAGGTTGTCACTAAAGCAGGTTTGACAGTATAAAGAATTTTGTTTATCTCACCTCGGTTCCGATGAACGTGGGCCTCATATAGAGGGAGCTAGTCCTGCTATCCGGTACCCAATCTTTGTCGGCTTGAACGAGTCTAGCCATACATCGAATCATCTCTTCACCACTGAATCTCTGTGTGGAAAAACACACATAGAGTAATGTTAAATTCTTGAAATTGAATAAAGTTATTATTTAGAAATATCAGCTCTCTACTAAGCAAGCACTCTTTCCCTTAATTCAACACATGTATTTAATTACCTAATTGCAAGAAAAGGCTGTACTAGATATTTGTATCAAACTGACAATCAGGCACATAAATAAAAAGGCCAAAATAATTTGGATTTTTTTTTCTTCTTCCCTGACTGCAAAAATGAATGGCTCGTTTGTCAGATTTCCCCCTCATTTTCAGGATACATGTAGCTGCAACCCCTGTCTACTTTATAGCAGTAATGTAGCCCGTTCTGCACAGTTGTTCCTTTACATATATGGTCTTAAGAAACAAATTGCACATCCTACAATGTTTTGGGGCCAATGAAATACTTTATTTTTCTGTGACTGGATAAAAAAAAGGAACAAACTTATTTTCCAGGTTTCCCCAAATTTCAGGACAGCCGGACAGCCGGAAACCCTGATTTCATTAACTTACCGGTAATGAAGCCCGTTCAGCACTGTTGTTCATACGTTCCATGTTATCATACGGTCTGAAGAAGCGAATTTTACCGTCCTCCCCCTTGTAAGCCTTCATTCCTTCAAAGAGCTGCAAGGAAATAATAGAAAAGGATTAATAATTAAATTAGTTTATTAATTCAAACAAATCATTTCATTTATTACAGGCATTGCGATTGCTTCCTATGCTCATAAATAAATATAAATTCAAATGGTAGAGAAAATAAAGGCATCAAAAGCTTTCTTCCTCTTTATTTTCTATTTTCCATTTTTTTTGCCTTTAAATTTGAGTGAAACTTTGAGGTCTTAGCACCCAGATAGTCTTTCTATACAAGTGAGTCCCTTTGACACTTGGTTTTTGAGAGAAAAAAGAAGCACCATTACAATGGAAACTAAGATGTGGTCTTTATAGACAGGTCGCCACCAAGGCAGGTTTGACTGTTTTGGGGGTGCTTATCATAATTCAAAACTTATACATAAAGCAAAATGGAGCATCATTACAATGGAAACTGAACATGTGATCTTCATAGACAGGTGGCCATTAAAGCAGGTTTGACTGTTTTCGGGGTGCTTCTCATAATTAATAAGAACTTTATAAACAGATAGCAAAGTGTAGCATCATTTAAATGGAAACTTAACATGTGGTCTTTATAGACAGGTGGCCACTAAAGCAGGTTTGACTGTTTTCGGGGTGCTTATCATAATTAGGATCTTACACAGATAGCAAAGTGAAGCATCATTACTATGGAAACAATACATGTGGTCTTTATAGACAGGTGGCCACTATTATCAGGTTGGACTGTTTTTTGGGTGCTTCTCATGATAAGGAACTTACACAGATGGCATAGTGAAAGACTGAGCAGGCCGGATGAAGTGAGAGGTTCCTGAGAGGGGTGATACGAGGGGTACTCCAGCCGTCCCTCTCCGTCCACGGAACGGTCAGCATGTGGTCACTCATGTTGTGACCGAAGACAAGGTTGTCCTGGTCAGGCTTGGGCTTCAGCACCTTGGAATGCTCAATCTGAACCTCAGAATACTGGAGGTTGGAGAGAGGGAGAGAAAGAGATAGATAGCAAGAGAAATAGAGAGAGAGTGGAAGAGAGAGAGAGGGGGTAGAAGGGAGAAGAGGAAGAGATATACAGACAGAGAGAGAGGGATAGAAGAGGGTAGTGGAACAGAGAGAGGGAGATAGAAGGGAGTAGGGAACATATTAAGAGAAAGAGATAAAAAAATAAGTTAACTTTGAAAGATTTGCAATGGAAATTATTTCAGTCATTTATCATTAATTACATGTACAGGGTATGTAATAAATCAGAAAAATTAAGACGGATATAAAGTGAGGGGGGAAATGAAATTAAAATGGCTTAGTCCTTTGTTCAATTGTGTAAATGGTTTGAAAGTACATGTATCAGGAAAACTGTTACATCTTTTCACACATGTACAATAGTCAGCGAAAACTATCAAACTCGATTAATTGTAATATGCACAATTTATTCCATACTTCTATGATTTACATAACTCATTGAATTGAAACCTACATGTAAGTGAAACCACTAACTATTTCCCTCATCCTATTAACCTTCCTCCTTCACAATAATCACAACAAGTTTCCTGGTATTATGCGGACATTAGTGGAGGGGAAATACACAGACAAGATAGTTGTGCGCCAAAAGAATGTACTTTTCAACTTCAACAATTTTTTTCTCTTCCTGTTTACGACTGCATTTGACGTCAACAGATGTGCGTGCTTTATGCAAAAGCTGCATACATAATGGCAATTGAAATTAAACAAGTTTTTACTCTTTCTGCCATTTATTTGCATTCTACATTGAATGTACAATGTTCAAACATCACCGCTACATGTAGTATTTAGGCCTGTTTTCATCAGCTCGAGTTTGCCAGATAATTTGCATCCTCTTCAGCCCGCAGTTGCAATTAGCGAGATATTTGGTCGAGAAAATATCCAGAGAGATCTTCGTCTTGTTTCCAGAATATCCAGCTGTTTGGGAAATAGCGGGCTAATTTGCGCCGTCCGAGCTAGTTTGTGATGAGCTCCTCAGTCTGGTGCAGATGCAATTTCTAGCTTTGGGATAATATCCTGAGTCTGAAAATAGCGGGTTATTTTGTAAACTCAAGCTGATGAACACAGGCCTAATGAATAGGAATACGGGTCGAGGTCACACACTTGAAGCCCTCAGAAAACAAATTCATGACACATGCCAAAAATGCATGATTAAAGGCAAAGTAGAGTTCAGGGCCATGTTTCATCAAACTTGCTATATCGATAATAAGTTACAATAACTGTCATAAGCTACATAAATTGTGGCATTTCATTGGCTAAGAGCTTATTAGCCATATTGGATTTACCACTTGTTAATAAGGTTTATGAAACAGTACCGAGGTCAAGCGATTGCACTGTAAAAGAAAATGTGTATAAACGATTGGGAAAATTTGATCATGTAGCACGTTTGTGTGTAGTACGCTGTGAAATTTTGGAATCATCAAAATAATAACAAATTTGCGAAGTCTTTCTATACATCATTTGCACTTTACGCATAAATGTGTATATGGGACTACACAAACACGTGGCATGAAATTGTTGTCCACAACCTTTAGCTATTACTTGTCAGACATGAATTTTAAATATGAAGGCATTTGAAGAGCCATCCTTTTCAGGGGACTTTTTTTCTATGACACTCTTTAAAAAGAATAAAAAAGTTCAGGAATTATACATCTTTCCACGAACTTGGCTTTCTCTTTAAAGGTACTACATTATATCCCATTTGTAGCCAACACCAAATTCTGTAGAACTTTTCAGGAATTAATATGTCACGTATGTCCTCTCTGTGAAATTTAAACGTTAGCAGTGCCCTATTATTCAAATTCTACAAGGAAACACGTTTAATTTCTAGACTTCACTGTCAGACAGAATTGATTCACCCGTCGCCCCCGTGTATATTTAGCCTTGTACGCTACATTTAAGTTCATAGGGGCGCAGTGTTACATGAATGTGATCTCACCTTGAAACTGTCGTGATTGGAGTGAACACATCGTACAGCACATACTGATACAGCTGTCTGGTTTGTGTGCGTCAGCCGTAAGATCTAGGGATAAAAATGAGAGAGAGAACAAAAGCTGGTGTTAAAAATAGAGGTGTAATATAAATAAAGGGAGAGCCAAGAAATGGCAAGAGCTTTGGAAAGCTTAAAGGGATTTTGGTAGTCAGGTTCCGTGTGCAGAAGGCCATAAACCGATGACACCAGACTTGGGGGAAAGTACCATTAATGGGTGTACAAGTCTGCATACAGCAAACCAATAAGCCTATCAAGAAATATCCCCTAGTTTCTTGAGGCCTGTCCTCATCAGACCAAAGTTGCAAAATAACCCGCTATTTTAGCTAGCAGTAGCCTGATCTCAAATTAGCCAGCTTATCCTGAGAAATCTTGGTCTTGTTTCCAAATATTTGGGAAATAGCAGGTTATTTTGCGCTCGTTTTCATCTACCGGTACACGCAATTTCGAATCTGAAAATAGAGGGTTATTCTGGCACTTCGCTCTGATGAAGACATGCAGGCCTTAATTTAGAGAGTCTTGGGCAAGTGAAAAGTAGAATAATGGCTTTACCATAAGGGGAATGGATGAAAAATGCAATGCATTACTTAAAGCATGTCAATCATAAAACTGAAGGCTAATGTCAGTAATGTCAGTATTTCCATTGTGTCATAATATATATTCAAAATATGAGCTTCAAATAGTACACTGCACTTCTGTAAAGATATTATTAAATCACTGTGCAGTGTCCTGCAGGGGCGGAATCCAAATCAGCAAGCCATTGAATATGCAATTTATCAAACATGGCAGACAAAAGAATACACTGCTGAATTGCTGATGCAAGACTCCATAATTAATTTTTTTATGAAGAGATTGGTACACCAATGAAATGCTAGGCACAAATGCTATTACAACATAACGTTTAATCTAGAATTTTTTTTTTTAAAGCAGGGCACGATTTTGAGGTTCACATCACTAATCATCCATAACGCAAAGAAATAAATGTTTTGTTCACTATCGGTTGTACATTGTAAATCACTGTGCAGTGATCTGCAAGCGCGGAATCCAAATCGGCAAGCCATTGAATATGCAATTTATCAAACATTGCAGACAAAAGGATACAACTGCTGAATTACTGATGCAAGATTCCATAATTAACTCTTTTATGAAAGAGAGTGGTACACCAATGAAATGCTAGGCACAAATGCTATTACAACATAACGTTTAATCTAGAATTTTTTTTTTTAAAGCAGGGCACGATTTTGAGGTTCATATCACTAATCATCCATAACGCAAAGAAATAAATGTTTTGTTCGCTATTGGTTGTAAATCACGGTACAGTAATCTGCAACCGCGGAATCTAAATTTGGATAGCCAATGAATAAGCCCAGTTATCAAACACATGGCAGACAATAAGTAGAATACGACTGTTAAATTCCTGATGCAAGACCCCAAAAATTAATTATTTTATTATCAATAACAAGGGCTCCTCCCTAACAAGGTCATACATATACAATGTACATGCAGAGGGCACCAGAAAGTAGAGCACCGTCACATGATAGGGTAGCTCTGGAAAAACCCAAGAGAGCTCCAGAAAGAGTTTTAAAATAATTATTATATATGAGATAACAATTGTAAAGCAGAAACATGTTTACAGGAGACAGATTACTGTGGACATGTGGACAAGTCACTTAACTTGTTGATGGTGTTATTTGGTTTTTAGGCTGTCCAATCTGAAAAGATTATTTCCGCCTGGCAGTAATGTTTTTCAGGTTCTTCATCAATGATGCTTAGATGTTTATTGGGAGTCTACATGTATTTAAACTTGCAATATACACGTTAAGTAATATGTGAAGCTCATATTTCGGATGTACAGAAGTTTAGCAATTGATATGGAACCTCATCACACAGAGCAAACTTCAATGTACCCCTTAATAATAACAGCACCATTCTTAACTTTAAGAGGCTCTCTATGTACACACTAAATCAATTTTCTGAACACTAAAACATCTGGTCCAAAGCTGTCGACAGCTGAATTTGAGCACTGTTTTTGTTAGCTCATGCTGTCGAATAGTGGATCTGTACAATGTCTGTGTGTACAGGACAGTACAGCAGACTCTTCAAAGTGAAAACACAACTGAATTCAGTCAAAGGGTAGATACACAACAGTGACAACACATATGCTCCAGCACCAATTGCTCCACTGTAATTTCCTACACTAAACTACCTTCTTAACCTCCACCATGGACCCAACAGTATTCACGTATTAACCCTATCGCTGGATATAACCTAACACCTGACTGCAACCCTAACCCTAACCATGGTCTTGCCCTAACCCTTCACTTTTTATGGGAAAAAGACCAAACACCTGGGACAATTGTCACCTGAGCAAATATTGCAGCACTCCCTATAGTTTATGTACAGTATGTTCTGGAGAGAGTGTGTACATGTAGGAGCAATTAAGAGAAAATGCTGAGGGGTCACCGGTACCATGTACTACATGTGTACATGTACTGTACATGCACATTATACAAGACATTTATCATAAAACTTGTTATCAATACAAAAGTCTCATTTCTACAGTGTATTACACCAAATTCGCTTTCAGACAATCAAATGCAACGTTTTCAGTAGCTCATAACAGTTATCGCAACTTGCTATTGATAACAAGTTTTAACCAAGCCCGGGATTCTGTACTCGGATTAGGTTTGGACGGGGGTGCGCTGCTCAAGCCTTGAAACTCCTACCCGATTTCAAGGGTCATTTTGACAGATTTTTGTCAAAATATAGGCCCATTTTGCATTTTTCACTGTTTTGAAATTTTTGGAAAACTGACTCATCTTTAGTGATATTTTTGTCAAAAATGGGACCCATGTTTAGGGATTTTTGTGTGAAAAAGAGACCCATTAGAGCGGCACATCCTGTACTGTATGTCTTAAGATGTGAATACCCCCCCCCCCCCCCTCCCCCGTTACTAAGAAACAGAGCCCTTTGGAGTCATACAACAGGGCTCCATATCAACAAACTATTAAAAGGGATTCCAGAAAGAACTTTTTACTGTCTGGTTCCATGAGCCCTAGATGTAAAAACATCAAGATTTCAGGGGTCCAGACTTAGATTTGGTTGCCCATGAGCTCCGGATGTCTGTTAGTGTCAATAAAGTGATAAAATACCAAAAATTTGTGAGTTAAAGTGGAGCAAAAACTGTTTTGCTCTTGGGTCTACATTGCTATACAGTACATAACCAAACTGTGAGCTTCAAATATTTTTTCTACAAAAAGATAATACACTCCCAGTGAACTCTAAAAATGTCTTCCTAACTTTTTCTTCTACAAAAAGATAATACACTCCCAGTGAACTCTAAAAATGTCTTCTTAACTTTTTCTTCTACAAAAAGATAATACACTCCCAGTGAACTCTAAAAAGTTCTTCTTAACTTTTTCTTCTACAAAAAGATAATACACTCCCAGTGAACTTTAAAAATGTCTTCTTAACTTTTTCTTCTACAAAAAGATAATACAGTCCCAGTGAACTCTAAAAAGCTCTTCTTTAATAATTACTTGACGCACGCCTACGTACCATACTTGCATTAAATAGGGTGTGCATTGAACCAAAGCATGTACATGTATTGCAAAATCATGTTAAATATCACAATCATTGCTAAATAAAGAAACAGAAACATACAGAAAAGCACATCCTTTTGTCTGCATGGGCATGTATGACTCTGCAAATTCACCAGTTTAATAGGGCAGCTTTACTATCCTCAGGAAACAACCAGGAAATATAGCGTCGATTACATCCTGTGGGCGCGTTCTGGGCTGGACCAATCACAGCGCAGGATATGTGGGCGTTGTCTCATTAGCATAACAACTGACCAATCAGGCTGGAGAATACCACAGTGGATTGCATCATTATCATTCCATTGATGCAAGTCACGAGTGCCAATGTTTACTTCAGAATGACTATCAAATACTTGATCCTGACGAATAAATACAGACAGCTGATAGCTGAGAATTTCGTTATCATTATGTAAACATCACTAATAAATATTGACAAATACTTCAAGACCCTGTAGAAGGTATTTTATCTGAATAAATTCTTTATTGATAACCTCAGAGCTGTAAAAGTTACTGCTTTGTTTCTTTCTTCAACAGGTCATCAACTCTGTACAGCTCATTTATTAGCATCAAATCTACATTTTGTACATGCAGGGTACACTCATAATTAAGATTTCAAGGTTTAAGTGCCAAAAGTTCATGATGAACCAATATGTACAATGTACATGTAATAATATGTGAAGGAATAGTTTGTTGGTTCACAGTGAGTTTCAATTACGAAGTAGAAAACATGTACAATAACAACGGTTGCAATAATTCATACAAGGCAGTACACAAACAAGAACAATTAGTAAAGTAGAAACAAACTAACAATTTAAGTGGAGCAAATGTGAGATACTTCAAGACTCAACAAAACAGATTATTCAAATTAAAAAGGGATGTTACAGAATCCATTTTGTTCCAAACATTCAAATACTGTTCCTTTGGGTTTTAGCGGCCTAGTTTTATGCTTTCACTTCGACCAAAATTCGACAAAAGCATGGTTAATTTCCCACTCAATTTATCTATGTACCGGTACATGTACAATTTTTCCCTCAGTCTCCTAAGGTCTAAAACAAAAACCCTATCAAATAGAAAATAAAAGTCACAAAGGAAAGCAACTGAGAAAAACTTGTTACACGTTGGATTTTGGATTTAATTTAAATTGGCCGACACATCTGGTTTATAACAGGTTTCCCTTTCATTCCTTACCCCCTCCCCAAAACATACATTTATTGCAGTCGTGGTTTTCTCTGCCAGACAAGGTCACAGTACGACAATTATATCCATGCAGTCTATTCACAAGCTGTTTCTACTGCATCGAATGCTCATTGTTATGCAGTCTATTCTAAATTTAGATTGAGGGAACGCAGAGAAACCTCATTCCTGCATACATACATAAACTGTCCACTTCAAAGCTGAATGTGGTTTAGAACCCAAGCAATACGGTATCTCAGAATTTAACTCAACTACATTGTACATGTTCAGTTTACATCTCATGATTCCTGAAGGCATTAAATCTTGTATAATGAATTTATGTACTGTACCATACGGTTTATAATAGTTTTGTACTACCGGTACTTTATTTTTTGTATTTATTTTACAAATGTTATCTACAAATTGTAGAAGAATCTGTTATTCGGCATACCAGCCAATGAAGCCAGCACATAGCCTTTACTGACTTTAACAAAAAAAAATCAATAAACTGTTTTTAATAATAAAAACACTGTAGGAGTGACTACTTGTACAGAATGCAGGGGGGTGTTTCACAAAGATTCTAAGTTGAACTTAACTCTAAGTTGGACTTAAAACTTATGGAGAGCCATTTGTAGGCTTAAAATATATTCAAAAGCAAAAATTCAAGTATTTTAGACTTTTCATAAATTCCACATCAAGAACATGAAATCTCCCATGATAATAGAAAATATGAATGATTTGAATCAACATTTTATGCCTTTTAAAATAACTTTTACAAAATATTTTCAAAGATGATAATGGCTTTCCATAATTGTGAAGTCCAACTCAGAGATAAGTTTTACTTAGGATCTTTGTGAAACGCCCCCCCCCCTTGTGTATTCAGGGCTCATTGGAGATTTACATTCATAATTTCTTCTTCTTCCCCCCCCCCCCCCCCATTGTAATGATTTATATTTGTATCAGCTGCAATCACAGGATCTCCACAAGTTTCCACAGATTTGATGGTCTATGTTTGCACAGGACATGTTACAAGAAATTGGCCTGTTAACAAGTGGACTCACATGTCGTAGAACACAATGTAAATAAAGTTACAACAGGAAATAGTATGAGTAAGACGTTTTGAGAAATCTGCAGGCTGGTAAACATAAGTTTCTTAGAAATTGGTTGCTCTGCAAGAAACCATTTCAGCATTGAAATTTTCCATCTTATTATAATGACTAATTTTTGTTGCTAAAACAGTCTATTTTGGTTGCCACTTCTAAGTCTAAGTCTAAGTCTACGGTAGGCATGATAGGGCTGTAAATTGTTATTTTGTAAAATATATATTAGTGACCTACAGTGACCTACAGGCTTTAAAGCCCCTCTAAAGTGTTGGGAGACCCAAATTTGCAAAAAAAATTATGGCAAAATTTCATCATAATGAGAAAGAGGATGTACATGTACATGTAATTTAAGACACACTTCTGCAAATATCCCCCCCCCCCCAAAAAAAAAAAAAGAAGAAGAAGTGTTTGAAGACAAATATTGATAAAACAGTAATTTGGGTTTTCTGTTGTACACAGAAAAACATGAGACTTCAAACACATTTGTGTTGAAGATCCATTTGGAAATGTGTCTTAAATGAATGACATCCTCTTTCACATTATGATACAATTTGAGTGTAATTTTACCATCAAATTGTGGAGGCTCCCAACACTTTAGAGGAACTTTAACATGATTAATTGTTACAGTTACAGTGTGGATTATTCTTAATATTCTACAGAATAATTGTTTAAAAAGTCTGAACAAAATCTGGCAGCAATGCCATGTAACTATAAATGTGACACGCAAAGTTACTAATTTCAGGGTAAATTCATCCAATATATATTAAAGGCACACTGTCCTACTTGTAGCTACTTGCTCCCTCTATATAGAAAACTTCCCCAATCGGTGCCTGTTGGTCCCCCATGATCCTCTTTTTCTTATGTAAAATGAGAGCTGAGTTAATGAGATAGCCACCTGTCACAGTGACCTCGCTGGCTCGCTGGGTGGTCTAATCCCTTCTAGCTGAAGTAGTAAAGCCTGCCTTTAAGAGGTTATAATTATAACATTAAATGAACAAACCGTACAGATTGACAGTCTATACAACTGCACAAGCACAGCCAAACAGGGTAGCATTTTCATAAAGTGTTTAGAGTTCGACTCTCCATAAATAGTTGCAGGTCAATTTAGCAATGAATAGTCTACGTCAGTTTGCCTGAGAAAAAAATATCATAGTTCATACCTCCCAATGGCAACATGCCCTAGGCCTGGGCTAGTTTCTTAACACCGTCATACAGTACATGTAAGTCTAAGTTTGTGGACATCCCATGCATAGTATTAGTAGCACACGTTTCAATGGGATGCCCATGAAGTTAGACTTTGAAACATGTTTTATTTTAGAATTAACACATGTGATGTATCTATGTTTCGGAACCGTCATGGGCATGGCGGTTTTGAGAAACAGGCTCCAGGTTCTAATAATCTATTCTAATTGGATTATCCTCGGCCTCAGCTCCGGGCCTCCTAAAAAGGCTGAAAAGGCTGAAAAGGCTGCTCACAAATTAATTTTTAACTGGAGGTCAAACTTTCAATGCATAGCCATAGGCCATAGGGCCTAGTCTTTTTAACTGCCTTGAGCTTTAAAATCAAACATAAATACATGTAAACCATTCAAATCAGATCAAGGTATATTTGAGATACGTGTGGCAAAATACGAGAGCATGAACATTGAAAAGAACATTGTCAGCGGATATGTTGTGTACAGTATCGAGTTCGTCATCTTCTTACTGCTGCGCTGCAGCTGCAGAGCTGAGCAGAGTGGCATTCAGTTTCACCGGTATGATGCCGGTAACTTTCCACGGCTATGACCGGTCTTTGACTTTGCATCTGATCACTTTTCATCCACGATAAAAACTCACCAAACACCACATTTATCTTGTAATCATTATCCACATCATACATACCTGTCTGCCTGACTTTCCAATAGATTTGATCACACTGGAGAAAGCCATTTCGATGATAAACAGTCGGAATCTTAGATCTCCAATCAATTTGTTGACGTAACGTAGACGTGATATCGCACGAGAACGAAAGTTGTAGCTAGCTATACGGGATCTCTGTGTAAACCGGTACCGGGTACTCTCTGCTAGCTAGCTAGCTGCACTGTGAATTGTGTGTGTGTGTATAACTTGAACGAACGGCACACGTACTTGAGAGACATCATCTGTGACGCAATACTATTTCAGTTCATGTGGTCACGAAACAGGATTTTAATACGGATGGGATAAATAAATATTTTCTAAAAAATTATGTAAACAAAATTAGTGAGCCTAATCCTATGTTTCTATGATGACATTTTCCCCATGTGGCATGAAGTAAGTTGGTGAGAAAAAATTTAAGAGGGTCTGCATGGGCATATATTTTCTTTTAAAGTCGTGTAGACCTATTCTCCCTTTTTTTTCTTCTTCTTCTTCTTCTTCTTCTTCTTCTTCTTCTTCTTCTTCTTCTTCTTCTTCCTCTCTTTCTTCTTCTTCTTCTTCTTTCTCTTCTTATCAGTCTTCTTCAGCATCTTCTTCTTCTTCTTCTTCTTATTCTTCTTCTCCCTCTCCTCCTTCTTCATTCTTCTTTTTCTTCTTCTTCTTCTCCTTCAGGCTCCCGAGTCCTCCTTCTTCTTCTACTTCTACTTCTCGTTCTTCTTTTCTTCTTCTTCTTCTTGTAATTTCCAAAGGGCTCCATTTAGATAAATTCACATTAAAATGCAGGTGGCATTTTGAGCATCTTGCATTTCGCTTGACTGACCAATTGATTTTTTAAATCGATCGCTATGAATACTGGTCTGGAGCTTATTTTGGTTGATTGATTTGTTCAGTTAAATATCGATAAAACTATCTCGCTTGTCTAGAACTTAGAAGATTTCACCAAGTGCACTGTAATGACACAAAAATATTTTATAATAGGCCTAACTTAATATGCCCATAATTTATAATATGCCCATAATGTGATTCAGAAACTAACAAATGAGAGAGAGATCAAGTAACAGAGAAAGATGAGCGTGAGACTGAGATTGACGGATATATAAGAGAGAGAGAGAGAGCTGAGAGAGGGAGAATACAATGAGAGAGGAGAAAGAGAAAGACAGAGATATAGACAGAGAAAGGAGGAGTAAGAGAGGGAGAGAGAGAGAGAGAGAGGGGGTGGGAGCCTGGGGATGGAGTGGGAAAAGAATTTCAGAGCATTGGTATATGCCCCCCCAAAAAAGTCTGTACGAGAAACTGCGAAAAAACAGTGTGAACTATATTTTCATTCGTTTAAGTTTGTATTCTTTTATTTCCTTTCATTTTTCCCTTCTTTTACTTTTTTCGTCCTTCTCTCTCTTTTTTTTTTTTTTTTTTTTTTACCAAACATGCACTTTTGTCTACTTTGCGATAACCCGCCAAATCAAATAGTAATAAACTTGCAGACAGGCAATCGTGACGTATTGACGAGCCCCCAAGATAGCAGCCAATCAAAAGGCACAAAGCCTCATTATAGAGCCGACACCTCTTTTTTCCAGACATATCCCTCGGCAAAACCTTCCAACCGTGATGTCAGCTATTCTAGATCGCAGACACAAATTATTTGAAACTTCGAAATTTATATCTATAATTTAACAGTAGCTAGACTGAAATATTTTTTATTAATAGGCCGTTGAATAAATAAAAAAGAGTTTTATTATTACGACCAGTTTAAAAATTGGGCGAACGTGCAATTTAAAATGTAACCAATGATCGATGGATTTGACTGAAAAAAGACTAGTTTCTCGATAAGAAGGTTGCTAAATGCTTACTACGCGGAGCGATTACACTGTTTGCTCAACATGTTGCCCTTACACTTGAAAATTTTCCATTGACGCCGCGTGTTTCTTGTTTACATAATGTGCTGATCGGTCCATGATCTAACATCCTACTGAACCCTAACGATGCAACCGCCGGAAAATCTCATTATTAGCAATATTGTCATTTAAAATTAGAGGACTTTTTATGATTGTTGTGTGGTATGGGTTTATGCGTGTGGTTTCGGGAGGCAAAGATTAAACTTCCTCATTAGTCAAATATATTGTAACGATCCGCTCCGCGGTCGTGACGTAACAAAGAGGCCTAACTTAAATGATTGTTGTTTTCAAGCGCGTCATCATACACCGACGCACAATGTTTACGTTAATAATTTGCATACGAGCGATTGACATTTGGATCCATTATTGAGATGCTTTAAGATGTTATACTGTAATTGTTTATCAATCTATCACATGAATTTGGATGGAAAGTTGTTTAGACAATGTAACTTGTTAATATTTACTGCAACTATGTCATTCAGAGTGTTGTATATAATTAATGGGAAAATAAGAGATTTACTTAGATATTTTGCTCTGAACTAGCACAGTCTTCATGTTAAGTCCATTTTCGCTGCGCGTGTGCTTTCCAAGATCGCTTAGCGCATCGATTTCCCCCACGTCCGCATTATGCCTTTATAACCCGTAACATTTCTGAAACGCGAGGAGTTGGAATTGGACGCTCGTCGGAATCAGAACTATTAGTCTCTCCCTGGAAATCCCCCCCCACCTAAGGACTTGTATTGGAATTGGGCGCTCGTCGGAACCGGTACCACACATAAGATCTCTCTCCCTCCCTGGAATATAAAGGTACACAAGGAAGCTGGAATTAAGATGCTGGAATTAATGAACCACTATAATTAAGATGCAGGAATATTCTAAGTCCACCTCTCCCCCTATGTCGCTATGGAATTAAACTAAGAGGAAAACTCCCAAGTCCCATAAATCCCAATGAATCATTGCCTTTACTTTATTACATGTATCCGAATATAATAACGACAATCGTATAAATTCATTAAGTATAACTATATGAGCACAAGGTATTTGTGACAGTGGTGATATAAAGATGTTGTAAATATTTGAAGTACATGCATTAATAAAAATTGACCATTTTCTTTTGTCTTGAAACTGAAATTATGAGTCTATAAACACTTTGTCTTTCTTCTTGACTGGTACTCCTTCATAGTCGTATATTTCGACGAAACGAACGTAAATAATGTGAAGAAATACCCCCCCCCCCCCTGTTTTTCCCTTAATTTTCGTTTTATATTTGTCATTTAGCAATACCAGGACTAGCCTGATTTTATCTTTTATGAAATAGGCGTAAATGATTGTTTACTACAGCGATCAATGAGCGTAGTAACGGCAGCCGATTAGTGCTATTTTTAGATTCATTCAAATACACAGAATTTGCTATGTGGGACCGGGTATCTGAAACATCGTGTGCGATGTTGAACTAAGGTGAATAATTCGTTTATGTAATCACTTACCTTGTCAATGTTTCCTTAAATAGTTGCTTGGTGTCATATTTTCCCTTTTTCTGATAAGACTACTTCTTAAATAATGTAATTTAGTTCACTAAAAGTGAATTCCACCTATTGAAAATGGATTAGCCGGTATTTTTGGACTTCGCGCATAGTGACGTCACCAACTTTTGACCAATTAAAATTGCGGGAGGCTGCAGTATTTTTCTCAGCCGATTTACGGCCCGGGGTCCCAGTATAAAAGGGGATGAAAAATGTAACAAATATTATACTGCATCTCAAATTCAACATTGTAAGACGATCCCTAGTCAAGTTCAATTTCAAGTTCAATTTCAAGTTCCATCTCGTTTTCCATCTCGTTCCAGACAGAAAAAAAGAGTGAGTTATGAAATATATTTCTAATATTCATCTCTTGTTATATTATTGCATAATATCTATTCCTATTTTATATAAAGGGAAATTTAGAGAATTTATCCACAAAGAATATTAATGATGAATCTATTTGGGGTTAAGCCCGACTTTGTATTTGATTGTTTGATCAATTGCTTCATGGAGTGGGAATTATTATCGAATGTTATTATTCGCTGGCTGATTTTAAAAATGTATGCGGTACCAAAAAAAAAGGAACTAAAGCAGAATTTTGTTTATTTCTATTCCCTTTTATTCATTACGAAGTTTAACAAAAAGAACACAAAATGAAACATCCGGAGAGAGTGAAAGAAATAGGAGTGACGTAGTCACTCAAGGGTGCCTCATAAATAATGTAGTCTGTACTTGTAGATATTAGACAATAAGCTTTGAAGACTTGAGTTGTACTCGTAGAATTGTACTTGTACTATATTAGATAATAAGTAGACCTTAAAGACAGTAGAATGTGGAATTGTAGCTTGTAGATATTAGAATTGTACTTGAAGAATTGTACTGTACGAGTTGGACAGTAACTAGTAGAATGTTGTACTTACAAGTTATATACGAAGTACACTGAACATGAGTAAAGTACACTGTACAATAAGTTTTTAAGTGTAGGCCTACATCTACACTAGATAATAATTGGATTATGCTACTTATATTATTGCATGATTAGATTATAATGTTATACGAAATGGTAATGACATAAATGTAGATTATTACAACTTTTGAGAAGTTGTATTGTGCATGAATGTTACCCCCCCCTCCCCCCTTTCCATTTCTGCTTGGCTGTGGTTGGAGACTATCCACCGTAACAATCTCGAATAGAGAACGTTACGGTGGATATGGAAGCTTGCTACCTGCAACAGTTCAATCCTGAATAAGGAACGAATGTTATGATCGAGACCGTGAGCCTACATGTACCTTACGAGCCTACCTTTTAATGACCCCTTTAGATTTCCTATTTCTGTAACTCATTTATTGACCACACACATGTATCCTATTGTATTTATTACTTCTATCGTAAAATGTTGTTAACAGTTGAACAAGCTTATATTAAGACTTTGTTAGTCTAATGTTATAGGAGATAAAATCTCGAGGCTATTTCATTACAACGTAGATTCGGGGCAGGAAAGAGGCCGGGGTGGTAGAGAGCCAGGAACATAGTAGTGGCGGAGTTGGCGGGATGCTTAGCCAGATTGAGAAGTTTATTAGGGAATGGAATGTACCGCTATGCTGGCATAGGATATTAGGGTGAGAAGAATAGAATAGAACAAAGGTCTACACTTATATATTGCTTGGATCTGTTAGTGATACTGGTATTGGAAGATTAATATTTATACATTTGAGACACTTGCTCTTATCCCAGTCATTTCTGGACAAGTAGTGGCAAACCGTAAAGTTAGTTAATGTAAAACTAATAAGTGTACACTGTACGCATAGTAGATTTAGTGACGATTAAATTGTCGCTATACACTGTACTTATTTCTAAAGGACATCCATGTAACCTAGGATCGTAGTTTAAACATGTACATGTAAATACTAAGTTATAAATAGTTATGATCGAACAGGTCACTTTTACTCTTCACGCGTTTTGAATTGCTGAGTTTTACAATGTTAAAGATTGTTTACATTAATAAATGTTTTGAATTGGGTACAACCCGAATTTATGGTTTCCAAAACGAGAAATTACTTAGGCCTGGTTTAGTTGCACAGATGCCTGAATGAACTGAATATGACTGTTGATGTGATTGAGTAACTTAAGTAACTTAATAAGAGAGTTCGTATATTTCGAACAAACGTTCCCGTCATCGACGCTCGACAATAGAATATTCTTACCATGCTACTCGTGAGACAGGAGGCGAGAATGAGTGGGAATCAGAAGTATGTGAGATGAGCTGAGCGTCTGTGTTATTGTTGAATGATTGAGGTTCACTGAACCACTGCCTGATTGATGATGTTCACTGTTCATGTGCGAGTACGAGTGCACTGAACAACTGCCGTTGTTAGGCCAGGTGTTCACTGTACACGTGCGCGCCCATGTACGCTGTACTTATGCAAGAGATGTTCGCCGTACACATGAGAGTGCATGTTGTACACTGTACAAGTTGTATGTGTGCAGGCCGGAGTACACTGTACGTTGTCTTGGATGAGAGCTGAGATGTATACTTGATTGAATGTTGATGTGGCCAGTTAGTATTCAATTAGGCTTAGTAACTGAGATATTAGATGGACTTAATAGTTAACTTACCAGTCATGTCCTGGATGTTTGACGTGCTGGTCAAGTGGGAAAGAGATGATGTATCGTGGTCGGATTAGGTGGTCAGTCCGGTAGAGAGCAGTTGAGTAGTCAGATGTGTGTATGATTGATTGTGTGTCATGCGCAGTGCAGTGTTCAGTTTACCCTCGCCCCTAGTGAATTACCCCCCCCCCCTTTTTTTTGTAATCGCAGAGCTCATGTGTTGTCTTACGTCACTTTGTATTCCCGTACAGTCGGTTTGATTATCAGATCGTCTGTGAGGGTTCATACCCCTATAAAAGTATGTGGTGGCAGCATTTACCAGTTTGGTGAGGAGGGTCTCACGTCACATTTTGGTGGCAGCCGGGTGGGATTCTCTGTCTTTTTTTTTTAGTAGTGTACCAGAAAACTTACATTTTCTGACAGAGGTGGTGGATAAAACTCTTTTTGAAGTGTACCAGTAAACTTACATTTTCTGGTGGAGATGGTAGAATCATGACGATTTTTAGCTGGGTACAGAGCTAGTATTTAAATGCGAGGAATTAGTTCCGCAAGTGTGAATCTGATGTTATGGGTCTGAATCGACAAGGTTGGAACTTTTCTTTGGAAAATAGTAAGAGTCTGTTTGTCTGAAGTTAGGTTAAATTCAAGTAGTACAGTGAAATGGTGATCTGTGGCTGCTTTGAAGTTGGGTGTCGAGTTCGGTCTTATAAATCAGTTACAGTGGATGTGTGCTTTGTAAACCAGGCATTAGATCAATTAGAAATTCAATTACGAACGTAAAGTAAGAGTGACATGTCTTACAGTAGTAGTACCTAAGCTTACATTAATAAGAAACACTTACGAAGTAGTGAATAGTAATAAGGTAATTAAGGAGATATACTCCTATACTTTAGTTTGTGAGAGGTACCCTTGGCACTTAAAAAAAAAAAAAAAAAAAATAAAACAACTTTTGATAACAAAAACTTCCTGGCTATTTTCTAAATCTTACGCTACAAAAACTTAAACATTAAGTTTAGAAGCTCAGGATGAATAGCGAACAGGGAAGCGTAGCAGCTGAGGCTATGTTGGAGCTAGCAGCTGGTGGTGATCAAGCAGCCTTGCCATCACGCTGGGCAGTGGAGACGGATGATCCCGAGATAGCCGTTAGAGAAGCTGGAGATATGCGTCAAAATAGTGGACAAGTCTATACGCCGCATGGATTCAGAGAAAATCCCAAGTACGTCTCCAGTACTCGAAAGACTGATGTGAGGCAAGGCAGCTCTGGATATCGGAAGGATGTTCTACCAGAGAAGTTCGGAGGGAAGACGCCGTGGGGAGATTACAAGAGACATTTCGAGGTCTGCATGCAGCTGAACGGTTGGACTGATTTAGAAGCTGGGCAGTTTCTGGCAACAAGACTACAAGGTCCCGCGTTGAGGATTCTGAGCAACTTTCCAGTCAGTGGACACATCTCATACAGTGAGCTGGTATTGCATTTGGAGAGTCGATTTGGCCCTGGTGAACAAGCAGAGAATTTCCTGCTGGAACTACGAATGAGACGTAGACATAAAGACGAATCTCTTCAAGAACTTGGACAGGCCATTCGCGACCTCACTTGCCTTGCATATCCGGAACTCAATACAGATGCTAGACATCGACTCGCAAAGGGGCATTTTTCGGACGCTATAGACGATCCAGAGACCCGCGCCGGTATTTTCAGAGCCCATCCACAGACGCTAGATGACGCTATCAGAGCTGGACTGACGACGGAATCCTTCCTCAGGGCCGAGAGAGCTAGAGAGCGAAATAGAACTTCTCGTCATGTTCGAGCAGTGGACGCTTTCCCCAACGCCCAGCCAGCACCTATGGATGAGAAAACAAGAAAGGAAATTGAGGAGTTGAAGATGAACATGAGACAGCTCACTACTATGATCGAAAATATGGCTACTAATCGAACCCAAAACAAGGATGACAGAGCGTGTTACAACTGTCAAGAAGTAGGTCACTTTGCAAGGGAGTGCCCTCATGTGAATACAAGGCAGGGAAACGACAACCGGTCTTCCCGACGGACTGCGGCCAGGCCGAATTTCAGACAAGGTCCACGAGTATAGGTCAACGTATAAGATCTTCACTTCAACATGATATAGTAATTTGTACTATCAACGAGACTGATCAGAGCATGTTCATAACAGGAGTTATTGAGAATCAGAGGTTACAGCTACTTATAGACACTGGGTCAACAATCACCATATTATCCAATACAGCATACAACAGGATGCAAGAATCCATCCAGCTGAGTGAGACAAATGTCAGATTGCTACAGGCTGATGGCACACCTATTGAAGTAATTGGAGTGGCGTTCCTTGTGATGAAAATTGGGACATCATTTCACAGAGTCAAGATAGTGGTAGCAGATATCGAACATGATGGCATCCTGGGAATGGATTTCCTACAAGAGAAAGATGCAAGTATCAACTGTAATCAGATGTTTGTTAGAATCAACAATGAAATCGTCTCATGTACGGATCGGAAGGGAGAAAGCCTCAAGTCTTCGCATCGAACAGCAGCTGTCAACCAACTCACTAAAGTGCCAGATCATCTTCAAGACATCTATGAGAAAACAAAGAGCAGCATAGGAGAGAGACATGAAAATCAAATCATTGAACTTCTTACCGCCTATGAAGATGTGTTTTCCAAGGGAGACCATGACATTGGTAGAACTGATAAAGTACAGCACAGCATTCACACAACATGTGCAGCACCAATCCGTCAACGTCCAAGGCGTCCACCTATGGGTCAAAGAGGAGAAATAGAAAAACAAGTGAATGACATGCTCGAGCGAGGTATAATTATCCCATCAGCCAGCCCATGGTCCTCACCTGTAGTGCTAGCAAACAAGAAGGATGGATCGAAACGATTTTGTATAGACTACAGACTACTCAATAAGCATACAGTCAAGGACTCGTTCCCCCTCCCCCGCATAGACGAATCAATCGACTCTCTAGATGGAGCCAAGTACTTCTGCACTTTGGATCTCGCAGCAGGCTATTGGCAGGTGCCCCTAGATGAAGAGGCGAAGTTGAAATCTGCTTTCGTAGTTCCCGGCGGCCTGTATCAGTTTGAAGTAATGCCTTTCGGCTTATGCAATGCACCTTCAACATTTGAAAGGCTGATGGAAGCAGTGCTCTCTGGTTTGCAGTGGAAAATACTTCTCATCTACTTGGACGACATCATAATTTTCGGGTCATCAGCAGACGAAGTGGTGGAGAGACTGAGAATTGTGTTAGATCGACTGAGGTCGGCTCACCTGAAACTCAAACCGAAGAAATGTCACTTATTCCAGAAAAAGGTGTTGTACTTGGGACACGTTGTGTCAGAAGAAGGGGTTAGCACGGATCCAGCAAAGATTGAAGCTGTGTCATGCTGGCCTACACCTACCAACCCAACTGATGTTCGAAGTTTCCTAGGTCTAGCTTCATATTACAGGAGGTTCATTAAGAAGTTTTCAGATGTTGCTAAGCCTTTAACTGCTCTCACTCAGAAGGATCGCCCTTTCGAGTGGACAGAAGAATGTGCAGCTGCATTTACTACACTGAAGGAGAGGCTAACTACAGCACCCATACTCTCATACCCAAGGATAGGTGTTAAATTCCTGCTGGACACTGATGCAAGCAAGTTTGGGATTGGAGCCGTTCTATCACAAGAGAAGGATGACAAGGAAGTAGTAACAGCATATGCAAGTAGAACTCTAAACCGGGCAGAACAGAATTACTGTGTGACCAGAAGGGAGTTGCTTGCTATTGTCACGTTTCTGAAACATTTCAGACACTATTTGTATGGACAGGAGGTAACAGTTCGTACAGATCACGGAGCTCTTACATGGTTGATGCAATTCAAGAATCCAGAAGGTCAACTAGCAAGATGGTTAGAGGTGGTTAGCCAGTATAGACTTACCTTAATTCATCGTCCTGGACGGGTGCACGTGAATGCAGACGGATTGTCGCGTCGCCCCTGCTCCCAGTGCGGTAGATTGGAGGATATCTGCAAATAGAGAGGAAGAATTAGTTTAAGAGTTACAGTAGGAATACTCTATGTTGTGTTATATTTTTTAATCATTGTAGAGAGACTGATGGATGGAGTCTGACATGGTGGAGAGAATTCAGGCAATCAGCCTTTCACCAAGCATAACTAATCCTGAAATACGAGAAGCACAACTTCATGATGTTGATGTGAAACATGTCCTTAATTGGAAAGAAGAATTGACTCAAAAGCCGGAGTGGAAAGATGTATCGAGTCTGTCTTCCGCCACAAAAACATATTGGGTCAACTGGGACTTATTGACGATGAAAGATGGCGTTCTGGTCAGGAGGTGGGAATCCAGCGATGGAAAGGAGATCAGCTGGAAAGTAGTGCTTCCTCACTCACTTCGTCATACAGTGCTAACAGAACTACACAGCTCCAAGACGGCATGTCATTTGGGAGTAAACAAGCTGCTGCACAAGGTACAGCAGAGGTATTACTGGGTGGGATTGGCAGCTGATGTCAGATCACTGGTGCGGAAGTGCGACGTCTGCTCGAGACTGAAGAATCCACCCAAGAAATCAAGAGCCCCATTACAGAAGTACCGGATTGGTGCCACCCTCGAAAGAGTAGCCATGGACATCCTAGGTCCTTTACCTGAAACTGACAGAGGCAATCGATATGTTTTAGTAATAGGTGATTACTTCAGCAAATGGATAGAGTCCTATGCACTTCCCAATCAAGAGGCCAGGACAGTAGCAAGAGTTGTGGTTGAGGAGTTTATCTGTCGATATGGCATTCCTAGGGAGCTACATACAGACCAAGGGAGGAATTTCGAGTCTAACCTCATGAAGGAAGTGTGCGAGATGTTGGGGATCAAGAAGACTAGAACATGTCCACTGCACCCAAGGAGTGATGGCTTCATAGAGAGATTTAACAGAACTTTAATTACCATGGTGTCTTCGATTCTAGATCCGGACCGCCATCAGAGGGACTGGGATGAGCGAATTCCATATGCCATGTTGGCGTATAGGTCAGCAGTCCAAGAATCCACGGGCGAGTCTCCCGCAATGATGATGTTAGGCAGAGAAGTAACACTGCCGGTAGATGTCATCTTCACTCAGCCGTCAACTGTCGAGAGAGAAGAGGAGAGAGGGGATTACTCAGAACAACTTCGAGATAGAATAAGAGATGCACACGAAATGGCTAGGAGTAAACTTGAGTTAGCTGCCGAGAAGCAGGCTAGGATGTACGATCGTAATACCTCACTTAGAAGATTTAATAAAGGAGACTGGGTATGGCTACATGGTGTGCAGCGCAAAAGAGGGGTATGCCCAAAACTGATGTTTAAGTGGACTGGTCCTTATATGGTTATGGATAGATTATCAGATGTAGTGTACCGCATACAGCAATCAGCCAAGTGTAAGCCCAAGGTGGTTCATCTTGATCGTTTAAAAGCCTACACTGGTCCCGAACTTAACAACTGGTTAATGAACAATCCACAGCCACCTCGCAGAAATCCGGGTAGAGTGAGGTTACCTCCAAATAGGTTTCGGGAGTAGAGAAGCTACTAACACATGAACGTGCCATTCCTTTTATTCCAATATTTTCACAGATGTTCAAGTGCACTGTTTGCAGCGCAACAAGAGAGAGGGCGAGCGACTTGGATGCCCACATGGCACTTACACACAAAACTGAGCTGACACTGAGCTGCACTCATTGCACGTTTGAGACGTTGGGAAGACCGGAGGTGGCACGCCACTATGGTAGGAGCCACCCAAGTCACAGAGGAGAGGCCAAGTATTTAAATTTTAAGGTGGCCTCTCGGCGGTATCTAGAGAAGAGGAAGGAGGACGAGAGGAGAAGGAAGGAGAAGCTAGAGAAGGTGAACGAGAGAAATGCGGAGGAGGAAGAGAGAAGAAGGAGGGAAAGGAGGAAGGAGGAGGAGGAGAAACAGGACGAGAGGGAGAGGAAACATAAGAGAGAAAGGAGACTGGAAAAGGAGAAGAGAAAGCTGAAGGAAGGGTTGGAGAGAAAAAGGAAGGACCAGCTACAGAAAGCTCCTGAGATCGAAATACACCCAGAGACGGAAGAGGAGGACGAGGCGATGGAGACGGTGAAGGAGAAAGTGGAGCAAGAGGACGAGGCCATGGAGACGGTGAAGGAGAAAGTGGAGCAAGAGGACGAGGCGATGGAGACGGTGAAGGAGAAAGTGGAGCAAGAGGACGAGGCGATGGAGACGGTGAAGGAGAAAGTGGAGCAAGAGGACGAGGCGATTGAGACGGTGAAGGAGAAAGTGGAGCAAGAGGACGAGGTTGAACAGACGGTAGAACCAGCATCAGTATTGATTGACAGTGAGAAGAAAGAGCCGTTGGAAGTCGTGGTCAAGGTGCGAAGGCCAAACCACGGATACATTCAAATTTCGAGGGTCGAAGTTTATACGACCACGTATATCGTGACCAAGGGAAGGAAGCGGTTGCATGAGGAAAAAAAGTCTATCCACTACTTTGATGAGGGGCTCATTGAAGAAGATTGAATAAGTTGTATAAAAAAAATAAGTAAATAATAATAATAACATGTATTATTGGCATTAGTACGTAAGCTTGAAGTTTAAGGATAAGTGTATTTAACAAAACAAAGCAAAATCTATACACATGTACATGTATTAATAATTTTGTTGTTGTTGCATGAATTAGAATATGGAATGCATTTAATTTAAAAAAAAAAAAATTAAAAAAAAATGCACTCTTAGAATTTTATCGCTGGGACAGCGATTAGGAAGAGAGGGGACAATGTGAAGAAATACCCCCCCCCCCCCTGTTTTTCCCTTAATTTTCGTTTTATATTTGTCATTTAGCAATACCAGGACTAGCCTGATTTTATCTTTTATGAAATAGGCGTAAATGATTGTTTACTACAGCGATCAATGAGCGTAGTAACGGCAGCCGATTAGTGCTATTTTTAGATTCATTCAAATACACAGAATTTGCTATGTGGGACCGGGTATCTGAAACATCGTGTGCGATGTTGAACTAAGGTGAATAATTCGTTTATGTAATCACTTACCTTGTCAATGTTTCCTTAAATAGTTGCTTGGTGTCATATTTTCCCTTTTTCTGATAAGACTACTTCTTAAATAATGTAATTTAGTTCACTAAAAGTGAATTCCACCTATTGAAAATGGATTAGCCGGTATTTTTGGACTTCGCGCATAGTGACGTCACCAACTTTTGACCAATTAAAATTGCGGGAGGCTGCAGTATTTTTCTCAGCCGATTTACGGCCCGGGGTCCCAGTATAAAAGGGGATGAAAAATGTAACAAATATTATACTGCATCTCAAATTCAACATTGTAAGACGATCCCTAGTCAAGTTCAATTTCAAGTTCAATTTCAAGTTCCATCTCGTTTTCCATCTCGTTCCAGACAGAAAAAAAGAGTGAGTTATGAAATATATTTCTAATATTCATCTCTTGTTATATTATTGCATAATATCTATTCCTATTTTATATAAAGGGAAATTTAGAGAATTTATCCACAAAGAATATTAATGATGAATCTATTTGGGGTTAAGCCCGACTTTGTATTTGATTGTTTGATCAATTGCTTCATGGAGTGGGAATTATTATCGAATGTTATTATTCGCTGGCTGATTTTAAAAATGTATGCGGTACCAAAAAAAAAGGAACTAAAGCAGAATTTTGTTTATTTCTATTCCCTTTTATTCATTACGAAGTTTAACAAAAAGAACACAAAATGAAACATCCGGAGAGAGTGAAAGAAATAGGAGTGACGTAGTCACTCAAGGGTGCCTCATAAATAATGTAGTCTGTACTTGTAGATATTAGACAATAAGCTTTGAAGACTTGAGTTGTACTCGTAGAATTGTACTTGTACTATATTAGATAATAAGTAGACCTTAAAGACAGTAGAATGTGGAATTGTAGCTTGTAGATATTAGAATTGTACTTGAAGAATTGTACTGTACGAGTTGGACAGTAACTAGTAGAATGTTGTACTTACAAGTTATATACGAAGTACACTGAACATGAGTAAAGTACACTGTACAATAAGTTTTTAAGTGTAGGCCTACATCTACACTAGATAATAATTGGATTATGCTACTTATATTATTGCATGATTAGATTATAATGTTATACGAAATGGTAATGACATAAATGTAGATTATTACAACTTTTGAGAAGTTGTATTGTGCATGAATGTTACCCCCCCCTCCCCCCTTTCCATTTCTGCTTGGCTGTGGTTGGAGACTATCCACCGTAACAATCTCGAATAGAGAACGTTACGGTGGATATGGAAGCTTGCTACCTGCAACAGTTCAATCCTGAATAAGGAACGAATGTTATGATCGAGACCGTGAGCCTACATGTACCTTACGAGCCTACCTTTTAATGACCCCTTTAGATTTCCTATTTCTGTAACTCATTTATTGACCACACACATGTATCCTATTGTATTTATTACTTCTATCGTAAAATGTTGTTAACAGTTGAACAAGCTTATATTAAGACTTTGTTAGTCTAATGTTATAGGAGATAAAATCTCGAGGCTATTTCATTACAACGTAGATTCGGGGCAGGAAAGAGGCCGGGGTGGTAGAGAGCCAGGAACATAGTAGTGGCGGAGTTGGCGGGATGCTTAGCCAGATTGAGAAGTTTATTAGGGAATGGAATGTACCGCTATGCTGGCATAGGATATTAGGGTGAGAAGAATAGAATAGAACAAAGGTCTACACTTATATATTGCTTGGATCTGTTAGTGATACTGGTATTGGAAGATTAATATTTATACATTTGAGACACTTGCTCTTATCCCAGTCATTTCTGGACAAGTAGTGGCAAACCGTAAAGTTAGTTAATGTAAAACTAATAAGTGTACACTGTACGCATAGTAGATTTAGTGACGATTAAATTGTCGCTATACACTGTACTTATTTCTAAAGGACATCCATGTAACCTAGGATCGTAGTTTAAACATGTACATGTAAATACTAAGTTATAAATAGTTATGATCGAACAGGTCACTTTTACTCTTCACGCGTTTTGAATTGCTGAGTTTTACAATGTTAAAGTAGGGTGTCTGAACGATTTTTCAATTTTCAATTTGGGATCGTTTTTCACCATTTTTGTTTGATATTTGAATAAAAAATGTTATCAGAATAATACATTTCAAATTTCAAGTCTCACCGATGTTTCTATCAAAAGTTACAGCCCCTCCAACACGCTGGTATATTCATATCATTTTGGTCAAAATCGACGAAAAAGACGTCCACGCAGAGTGATGTTGTTTTGCTAAATTTAGCCAAACAGCTGTATCGCGCGATATGCAAGCGTATGCATATCGTACGCATGCTGCTAAGCCAATCCGCGACTTGCAGCTTGAGCTACGCTGTCTCCGCGACATGTGCGATTGACTAGTATGGTTGGCGTTCGTCGCACAATAAACCCGGAAGTGAATGCACGTTATAGTCAATGGAAATATCGCGGAGACAACACACGTTGTCTCCGCGATATTGCCATTGACTATAACGTGTATTCACTTCCGGGTTTATCGAGGGAATTGCCAACCATAATTTCAGTCACTATAATGTGTAATTGAATTTGGGGTTTCGTTCGTGCGCGGAGATGTTACGCGATGTAACCATGGTTTGGACTGAGCGGAGCGCACGCCTCCTAATTAGCTGATCCACCAAATAGCGAGAAGGGTATTTTTAAACTGTTATCAGTTGTGATCCCTGGGGGCTAGCGAAAATATAATCACATAGAATTGTTCCTTAGGACTGGGACTACTTATCGATCGGGGCGTCATATCTCAAAAGTGACAAACCTCAGAGTTAGCCAGGACACAATGTTTAAATTGCTGTTTTGACCAAGATATTTTTAGAATTTCGGGGGCTACGCCCCTTTGGAAATATTGGAATTCACCTGCTCTTTCATATGACACCTCATTCATTGATTATCACCTTCAGGATCACAACTGATAAAGGTTTGAATCTCGATTTGAAAAAAAAAAATTGACTTTTTTTGCATGGTCGCGCAATGCACGTAGGCTGCATAGGGATGCGTGTAATCTCTATGGGAAGAATTTTAGCACACAACATCGGGTGCGCGATCAGACACCCTAGTTAAAGATTGTTTACATTAATAAATGTTTTGAATTGGGTACAACCCGAATTTATGGTTTCCAAAACGAGAAATTACTTAGGCCTGGTTTAGTTGCACAGATGCCTGAATGAACTGAATATGACTGTTGATGTGATTGAGTAACTTAAGTAACTTAATAAGAGAGTTCGTATATTTCGAACAAACGTTCCCGTCATCGACGCTCGACAATAGAATATTCTTACCATGCTACTCGTGAGACAGGAGGCGAGAATGAGTGGGAATCAGAAGTATGTGAGATGAGCTGAGCGTCTGTGTTATTGTTGAATGATTGAGGTTCACTGAACCACTGCCTGATTGATGATGTTCACTGTTCATGTGCGAGTACGAGTGCACTGAACAACTGCCGTTGTTAGGCCAGGTGTTCACTGTACACGTGCGCGCCCATGTACGCTGTACTTATGCAAGAGATGTTCGCCGTACACATGAGAGTGCATGTTGTACACTGTACAAGTTGTATGTGTGCAGGCCGGAGTACACTGTACGTTGTCTTGGATGAGAGCTGAGATGTATACTTGATTGAATGTTGATGTGGCCAGTTAGTATTCAATTAGGCTTAGTAACTGAGATATTAGATGGACTTAATAGTTAACTTACCAGTCATGTCCTGGATGTTTGACGTGCTGGTCAAGTGGGAAAGAGATGATGTATCGTGGTCGGATTAGGTGGTCAGTCCGGTAGAGAGCAGTTGAGTAGTCAGATGTGTGTATGATTGATTGTGTGTCATGCGCAGTGCAGTGTTCAGTTTACCCTCGCCCCTAGTGAATTACCCCCCCCCCCCCCTTTTTTTTGTAATCGCAGAGCTCATGTGTTGTCTTACGTCACTTTGTATTCCCGTACAGTCGGTTTGATTATCAGATCGTCTGTGAGGGTTCATACCCCTATAAAAGTATGTGGTGGCAGCATTTACCAGTTTGGTGAGGAGGGTCTCACGTCACAATAAGTATTGTAGCTTCCCCCGTCTTTCCTCAAATAAAAGATAAGATCTAATTACTCTAACCGCTCGGACATTATAAATAATGTCGGCTGACGAATATCCTGACAGATATAAAGAATCAGTTTCCCCAGCTGGGAAAGAGAATAATCCCGACGTAGAGGTCGAGGTTGGAGACGGAGGCGGGGGCGGCCGCCACAAATTTGGTGTCAGAAGTGGGATTATTAATATGGCGGAGGTACCAAAGTCTAAGAAAGAAATAGATGAGCTAAGTTGCTCCTCAGATGAGACAATGTCTAGTACAAAAAGTTCAAAGAAAAAGAAGAGTAGGTCAGAGAAATTACAAAGTCGGATATTAAGTCAACTAACGAAGTTAATGGGGCAAATGATGAAGTTGACAAAGAAACCTAGGAAGAGGAGTGTTGGCTCAGACTCCTCCACGGAAGAACTATCTGATTCTTCAGATGATGAAGTGGAATTCAACTCCAAACCAAATAGACGACTGGAAGGAATGAAAGTCCAAAATAGAGACGAGGAAGGAATATCTCATGTCGAAGAATCAAAGACGAGGAAACTTAATGAAGAAACTAACCAGATGGAAACACAAAAGAAGAATGATGATATTCGCTATGCCAAAGAAGATAGAATTCGGGAAGCTACTCATCGACCACTGATCATGCCGGACAAGTATGATGGAAGTACCGACTGGAAAGATTACGCTTCGCACTTTGAATCTTGTTGCGAAATCAACAACTGGAAAGATGAGGAATCTGCCAGGTATCTAGCTGCTAGCTTGAGAGGTCAAGCTCTGAGATTACTAGAAGAACAAAGAGGCACCAAGTGGAACTTTGAAGAAATACAGAGTAAACTGTCATTTAGGTTCTCTTCTGCCAAACAGGCAGAAAGCTATCTGTTGGAACTGAGGAATCGTAAGCGACGACAAGGAGAATCACTCCAGGAACTAGGACGTCATATTAGGGAACTAACTGATAAGGCATATCCAAACTTTGAAAGTCAAGGGGTCGATAGACTAGCTAGGATTCATTTTACTGATGCTATTCGTAGTAGTGAGATTCGTATGGGAATATTTCATGCTAAGGCAACAAGCTTAGATGAGGTGATTCAAGCAGCAATAACCACTGAGACATTTCTACAGACGGAGACTGAGAGGAATGGATGGAAGGTTAAGCCTACTTACAATAGAGGAATCGGCTCTGAAGTGGATCTAGAGAAGATGATCAAAGATGAAGTCAACAAAGTCCTAGGCCAAGCTATGGAAAGTCAACCTAACAAGGAAAGATGTCAGGGATATGTGAAAAAACCAGGAACTAATCAAAGACCAAGCCAAACAGCGCAAGAAAGATTTGATGTGAAAACCCAAACATGTTTCTATTGTGAGAAACCTGGCCATTTCGCGAGGGAATGCCGTGAGAAACAAATGGATCGAAGAAGAAGGAACTATCCAAGTGATGAATCTAACTGGTCAAGACAAAGATACCAGCGTCAGTCAAACGACAAGTGGTCGCCCCAAAGGGTCGTGGCGCGGCCAATCGTCCAAAATTAATTGAGACCCAAACTAGCAAAACAAAGACAAGTTTCATACCCAGTATAAATCAAAATGTTGATGGTCTTTATGTTCCAGTGCACATTCAGGACAAGGAATACAAATTTCTAGTTGATACTGGTGCTTCAGATTCTTACATTTCTAGACGATCATATGAACAATTAGATGAAAAAGATAGACCCCCTCTGCAACATCGTAGCATAAGTGCACAATTAGCAGATGGTTCACCATTAGCCATTTATGAAGCAATAACTCATGAGATGAATATAGGACCAAATAAAGGAGTAATTACGGTTTTGGTAGCAGATGTGAGTAGTGATGGAATCCTCGGCTTGGACAATCTAACAAGAATGGGGGCTAGCATTGATCTGACTAATTTCCAACTCACCACAAAATGGGGCAAAGTAGAGTGCAAGAATGAAAGTGGAGAAAGACTATCCTGCCGCATAACTGCGTCAGAAACTACTACAATCCCCGCAGGACATGAAGCTGTAATACTTGGATCAATGAAGGAAGGAGATCGAATTAAATCTAACACCCTAGGTTTAATAGAGGCTGGAAATGTTCAACAACAATTAGTGAAGAAAGGACTCATTACAGCTAGAACTCTAATCAAGACAGGGGAGGAGTTAGTGCCTGTTAGAGTATTCAACCCATCTACTTCCAACAAAGTAATAAAGAAGAACACACCAATCGCTATGATGACCGTTATAGATACAAGTGAAGTACAGGAAGTCCCTAAGTACACCACTGTTGGTGATGGAAAAGTTCCGGAACATTTAAGGGATTTGCTAAAGAGAAGTACAAAAGGAATACCAGATCAGTATCGCCAAGACGTTGGAAAGTTATTGACGGAATTTCAGGATGTATTCTCAAGAGGAGATGATGATATTGGAAGGACTAATTTGGTACAACACAAGATAGATACTGGAACTCAGCGACCAATTAGACAACGACCACGCAAGCACCCTTTTGGGCTGAGAGACGAAATCAAGGAGCAAGTGGAAGGGCTACTACAGAAAGGTCTTATTGAACCAACTGATAGTCCATGGGCTTCAAACATTGTACTCGTAAAGAAAAAGGACGGAACTCAGAGATTTTGCGTGGATTATCGGCAACTGAATGCTGCCACGATCAAGGACGCCTACCCCCTACCTCGTATAGACGAAACATTGGATGCTTTGTCAGGAGCGCAGTGGTTTTCAACCCTGGACTTGGCAAGTGGATACTGGCAAGTAGGCTTAAGCAAAGATGCTAAGGAAAAATCAGCTTTCGTAGCTGATGGTGGACTCTACTCATGGAACGTGATGCCTTTTGGACTTTGTAACGCCCCAGCCACTTTTGAGAGATTGATGGATAAAGTACTAACCGGATTGCATTGGGAGACATTACTTGTCTACTTAGACGATTTGATTATCTTTGGTAAATCGATACCAGAGGAACTTTCACGGTTACGTCAAGTATTCTATAGACTACGACAAGCCAACTTAAAGTTAAAACCAAAGAAATGCTTTCTGTTCAGGAAGAAGGTGTCCTATCTCGGACACGAAGTATCAAGCAAGGGAGTCTCAACACAGCCAGAGAAGGTTGAGTCTGTAAAAACATGGCCGACGCCGAAGAATGTGACGGAAGTTAGAAGTTTTCTCGGTCTTGCATCCTACTTCAGACGTTTTGTTGAAGGTTTTGCTAGTATAGCCAAACCTCTTCATCAACTCACGGAAAAGCGCCGTGCCGGACAGTTCGAATGGAGCTCTGTCTGTCAGGATGCGTTTGAAGAGTTGAAAAGAAGATTGATTACTGCACCTATTCTGGGATACCCGAATACGGAAGGTGCATTCATTCTTGACACAGACGCCAGTAAGGATGGGATTGGAGGAGTGTTGTCACAAGTACAAGATGGAAAGGAAAGAGTAATTGCTTACGGAAGTAAAGTGCTAAGTAAGGCAGAACGGAACTACTGCGTTACAAGAAGGGAACTACTTGCAGTTGTAGTTTACTTGAAGCATTTCAGACAATATCTCTACGGTCGACATGTAACGGTGAGAACGGATCACGGAGCTTTAAGGTGGCTAACAAATTTCAAAAACCCTGAAGGACAGCTGGCAAGATGGCTTGAGGTCATCGCAGCTTATGATATAGAGATCATTCACAGGGCTGGTAGAAGTCATGGGAATGCAGATGCATTGTCGAGAAGACCATGTGGCCAGTGTGGAAGAGGACTGGAGTGCGAGTTCAAGGAAGAAACAGCCAAAGCACGTGTAATAATGATGACAAATGAGAAGAGACTGTCTGAGATGAGGAAAGATCAACTAGACGACCCAAATATAAAGCCTGTGCTAGAGGCTATGGAAATGAAGACCAGACCACCAAAGGAAGAAGTTTCCGCAATGTCTAAGAAAGTTAAAGTCTTGTTAGAGCATTGGGAACAACTTGAAATCAGAGATGGAATACTCTACCGTAGATGGGAATCAATAGATGGCAAAGAAGTGAAGTGGCGACTAGTATTACCTGGAAGGAAAATAGATGAAGTTTTGAAAGAACTTCATGGTAGTGTTTTAGCTGGTCATTTGGGAGCAACTAAGACACTGAAGAGTAGTCAGATGAGATACTACTGGGTAGGAATGAAGGCAGATGTGAGGTCTTTCATCCGTAAATGTGAATCTTGTGCTCGACGGAAGTCAGCTGGTAAGAAGAGACGAGCACCTCTACAGCAGAGAAGAAGTGGAAGTCCGATGGAACGGATCGCTCTTGATATACTAGGACCTTTGCCAGAGACGAATGACGGAAACAAGTACATAATGGTAGTAGCCGATTACTACACTAAGTTCGTAGAAGCTTATCCCATACCTAATGAGAAAGCAAGTACTGTGGCACCCAAACTAGTTGAAGAGTTTATATGTAGATACGGGGTTCCAACTGAGATTCACACAGACCAAGGAAGGAACTTTGAGTCACAGTTGTTTAAAGAAGTTTGCCAGATCCTGGGAATAAAGAAGACAAGGACGACGGCATATAACCCTAAATCAGACGGTATGATTGAACGCTTCAACAGAACATTGCTCGATATGCTTGTTACGCTAATAGAGCCTGGAAAGAATCAGCGAGATTGGGACAAGTATGTACACATAGCTACAACGGCATACAGAAGTTCAGTTCATGAGACAATAGGAGAAACGCCAAACATGATGATGTTCGGAAGAGAACTGAAAATGCTTTCAGATCAGTACATGATCCAACCAGATATGGAAGTTGGAACAGACTACGTCGAGGAACTACGAGACAGGATGGATAAAGTCTATACAAGGATTACTGAGCACAGTCAGAAGAATCTCCGAAGACAGAAGAGAAACTACGACAAGAAGATTACTGGAAGTAGTTACGAAGAAGGAAATTTCGTTTGGTTACGAAATAATCAGAGACACAAAGGCATCAGTCCCAAACTAAGTTACAGATGGAATGGCCCATTCAAGATTAAGACGAAGCTGTCTGATGTGACATACAGAATCCAAAAGAGCCCTGGAACCTTGTGAAGGAGACGAGCCAATGGAATGGAAGACAGCTCATACTAGACGGGAAGACGCTGGAAGTGATGCCAGAGAGATGGAGTCCAACTCTGAAGAGGTTGATCAAGATTCAACGCCTGACGTGACTGTAAATAGAAGACAAGAAGATACTCGACGCTATCCACTGAGGAATAGAAGACCCGCACATTTCTTTTATTAGAAATGGTTTTGTGGAAATAAAGTTTAGAATAATATTTGTTTTACTTTGGATCTGTTTCCTTCTCCTCTTTCCTTCTCTATAACTTTCTATCTCACTTCTTTCTTTCTTCTATTCAACTCTGTTTTCTCATCTATATCTCTTTCTTATACAGATTCCATTGCTTGTATTGTATATACATGTACATTATTGACATTGTAACACCACTGAGTAGGTTTAAGAATTAGAATTTATTTGTGATAGGTAATCTAGGGCGATGAAAATTTAAGAATATATAAGTGCACGTTCCATGTTGCATAGGAACAGAGAATTGACAAGTTTTGGAAGAAAAGCAGATGTCTTATGTTGTAGATGTATATTTGATTGATGCTGGTGTTGATAGAGAGATTGTGATGTAACAGAGAAGGAGAAGATTAAAGTGGGCAAAATAAGACAAGTGTTTTCTTCCAAATGTCACCTACCTTATTGGTAATAATATTGAGTGAAGTTATTGTTGTTTTTGTATATACTTGCAATCGAAATTAGACAAGGTTGCATCGTAACAAGTTATCGCCCAGGAAAACCTAATGTCTTAAATGCGAGGACGCATTTTGTAAGGAGGAGGGCTGTGTAACGATCCGCTCCGCGGTCGTGACGTAACAAAGAGGCCTAACTTAAATGATTGTTGTTTTCAAGCGCGTCATCATACACCGACGCACAATGTTTACGTTAATAATTTGCATACGAGCGATTGACATTTGGATCCATTATTGAGATGCTTTAAGATGTTATACTGTAATTGTTTATCAATCTATCACATGAATTTGGATGGAAAGTTGTTTAGACAATGTAACTTGTTAATATTTACTGCAACTATGTCATTCAGAGTGTTGTATATAATTAATGGGAAAATAAGAGATTTACTTAGATATTTTGCTCTGAACTAGCACAGTCTTCATGTTAAGTCCATTTTCGCTGCGCGTGTGCTTTCCAAGATCGCTTAGCGCATCGATTTCCCCCACGTCCGCATTATGCCTTTATAACCCGTAACATTTCTGAAACGCGAGGAGTTGGAATTGGACGCTCGTCGGAATCAGAACTATTAGTCTCTCCCTGGAAATCCCCCCCACCTAAGGACTTGTATTGGAATTGGGCGCTCGTCGGAACCGGTACCACACATAAGATCTCTCTCCCTCCCTGGAATATAAAGGTACACAAGGAAGCTGGAATTAAGATGCTGGAATTAATGAACCACTATAATTAAGATGCAGGAATATTCTAAGTCCACCTCTCCCCCTATGTCGCTATGGAATTAAACTAAGAGGAAAACTCCCAAGTCCCATAAATCCCAATGAATCATTGCCTTTACTTTATTACATGTATCCGAATATAATAACGACAATCGTATAAATTCATTAAGTATAACTATATGAGCACAAGGTATTTGTGACAGTGGTGATATAAAGATGTTGTAAATATTTGAAGTACATGCATTAATAAAAATTGACCATTTTCTTTTGTCTTGAAACTGAAATTATGAGTCTATAAACACTTTGTCTTTCTTCTTGACTGGTACTCCTTCATAGTGACTCGTATATTTCGACGAAACGAACGTAAATAAGTATTGTAGCTTCCCCCGTCTTTCCTCAAATAAAAGATAAGATCTAATTACTCTAACCGCTCGGACATTATAAATAATGTCGGCTGACGAATATCCTGACAGATATAAAGAATCAGTTTCCCCAGCTGGGAAAGAGAATAATCCCGACGTAGAGGTCGAGGTTGGAGACGGAGGCGGGGGCGGCCGCCACAATATACTACATTATTCTTTTTGTTGTTGTTGTAATTGTTACAGTTCAGGTTTTTTGAAAAATATATATTATCGAAAAAAATTATTATCTTGACTAAGTCTGCATTCAATACAATTCCAAAGCAAACAATCGGCCTTCATAAAAAAAATTATACAGTATTTATAGTCATTATATAATTTTTATCAAATTTTGCTCACCAGGCTAATTTTATTGCACTATGATGCAGTGATTCTAAACTTGTTTTAATATAAATAATTGTTGCACATCTCTTTCTTATATTTCAGGGGCGCGCCTTTAGATTCCCCCGAGAGGCCGGGTCACCAGTTTGCATCGGGTGAACAGATTGAGTCCCCCCCCCCCCCCTCCAAATAAATTTTCTGCAGGGGCGTTGATAGAGCTTTTGAAAGGAGCGGGGTGTCAAACACTGGGGGTACTCACATAGTAAGACATACGGGGGTGCCGCCCTAATGGGTCATTTTGTCCAGACAACGTACTTGAAATTTGAAATAGAAATTGTACTGGCCTTCTTTCAATTTTGCAAGCTTCTTTGCTTTGGATATGTCGCCCTCTATACTTATATTTCAGTCCAACCTTCCTATGTAGGCCATTATATAAACAGAGAAAATCCACTGGGGGCCAGAAATTTGAAAATCGAGCAGACCATTATTTTCGCTCAACGGAGGAGGGGGGGGGTAGAGCACACAAAAAAGTAAATTTGTGGTAACCATCTTTTTTTTAAACGTTTTCCTTGGCCAGGCCAGGCCGGGGGCGTTTTATTTTTTTGTATACGAAAAAATAAGACGCGGCCGGCGTGGTGGACCGCCCCCCCCCCCTCACACTACGGGAAACGGAGGTACGCACATGCGTGTTCCAAAAATCTCCGGCTAGTAACAAAAGAAAAAGGTCTACCCGTATTGACTTTACACACAGGACTTATGCTGAAAGGGGGGGGGGCTGTTGGGAACACGCATACGCGTACCCTAAATAACTCTGAGTGCATGGGGGCCGGGTGTGCAGGCACGTAGCCAGAGTTTGATGTTTGGGGGGGGGGCACATACATGTAATCGATCGATGTCAAAAAAGGGGTCTACAAAGTACAACCGATCTTGGAAATTTAGGGGGCACGTGCCCCCCCCCCCCCCCATGGTTACGTGCCTGCGGGTGTGGAGGCCCGTCTCTTTTTTAAAGTTTTTTTTATGCCAGGGGGAGAGAAGGGGGAGGCGTGGATCCGCATTTGGTTCTACCCCATATTTCTTTCTCAAGAGAAGCAAAATACATGAGGTGGCCCTATAGATAGATGACCGCTAAGACAGATAGGTTTGGTCGTAAATATTCTTCTACAGTCCTCGAGGCATTCCGGCGCGTGATGTTCAAGTAAAATTATGTTAGACGACACCAGTGGCATTAACAATTATTATTGTATCCACCGAAAGAGAAAAAGAATCCTTGTTATGCGAATTGTCAGCCCCAATTTTGTTAGTCATGTAATTTAAGACAGTTACTTATGTCTACTGAATTGATTGCAATCACATTAAATGATTTAACTCAAGTCTCGTTCATAGATGATATCTAGACTTTAATTATAGTTTAAGGGGAATCAAACTGCCCAATAACAAATATGATAACCAAACTGGTGAAAGTTTTAACAAAATCAGACAAAACCGAAGATAGAAATCAATAATTGTTGAGTTGTAATCACAGTACAGTAAAGTACAGTTAATTCACATTACCTGATAACAGCCAGTACAGCTCCAATGGGGAAAGGGAGACAGAAAATAATAGAAATAAGTTGAAAGTATAAATAATACCAGGCGCGTACGCAGGATTTTTTCAAGGGGGGGGGGGGGGGGGGTTAACATTTATAATCGGGCCGAAAATTTCGCAACCACTCAGCCAGCCGCTGAATTAGCGGGGGGGGGGGGGGGGGGTTGGGGGTAAGAGGACATTTTTTAATTTTTTTTTTTTGTCCCCAAAAAATCGCAACGACTCAGCCCACCGCTGAATAAGCGGGGGGGGGGGGGGGTTAGGGGGGGCCGGGGGTTTACACACAACAAAATACCAAAGGGGGGGGGTTAACCCCCAACCCCCCCCCCTTGTGTATGCGCCTGAATAATACTATAGTAGTAGTAGACTTTATTAGATAGTTTGTTTCAAAAGCATACGGCTTTGATCGGCCTCAAGGTCTTCCCCTGCTGAAAATGCCAAAAGAGGAAAGGGCATAAGTTCGGGAAAGGGGCGGGGGTGGGGGTGAGACCCTTCACACGTATACTTTTCATTGTACTTAAACTTATTACTGGATTTTCTCTGGACTCAAGCCAAACATGGTCAATATTATAGTTCAGTTCAGCATTATAAATGTGATATCGAGGACTCCATAACGGAGGACATCTGAACAAAAAGAAAAACATATATAATTAAAAACAAACAAAAATATAAAGCACAAATAAAAACAAAACAATGCAGGCTAGACCAAACACACAAAATAAAAGAGCGTCCCATTCTAAATTGCAACATTTTGATGATTAGTAAAATAGCGAAGTGAGTTCATGTATAGCCTATACTGGAGAGGCAATATTATGAAAATAATGTTACCTTTTCAGTTGGCATGATAAATATGTTTGTCCATAGAACTACGGTGTTGGTAGGTCTATGGTTTGTCTAACAAATCTGAACCATGCAGTATAGAGTCTAATGACTGCAAAACACGCCTAAATATAGACCTAGAACACCAATAAATGCTTAATCCACTCAGTTTAAATTTGTTATGACAATAATATTAGGCCTAAGTATATACTTTTTACCTTGATCAAGTTATTTTCAAAATACGGCCCCTCATTATCAGCATCAAAAACTCGCCGGAAGACAGGGCTTTATAATTAAGCAAGATTATGAAAATTATAATTTTTATTCTTCAAAGTACCCGACTGGATTGGATAATAATAAGTATCAAGTATCAAGTGTATTTGTCTTCCAGAAATCACATGTAACAAAATGTAATATATCATAACAGTACAATATAGAATAAAGAAAGACGAGACCTCGATCGGTATAAGAAAATTATTTCGAGAAGAACACATTCAAAGCCAACATGGATAAGTTTTCTTGTGACACAGTGAACTTAGTCAGGAGATTATGAACTGGACTATTTGAAGATCACTCATCTGTGGATTTTATTAATTTTTTGCAGTTTGTCACAGCGATATCGACCCATTCTTTTTATTTGGGTCAAGGCATTTTTGTAATGCCTGGAATCCCAGGACAGGACGACAGGTGCGCTGCTCAATTTCCTGCGACCCGAGCGCGACAAAAATACGAGATAGTAGCCACATACTTGAAGTAAATAAACTGTATATTCAATAGCATTTGGCGCCGCTTATTTTTCAAAGAAACGAGTTGTGTCTGTATCACATGATTCAACCTCAGAAATACGTGCATGAACCGTGTACACAAGTTTCGCAATCTCTTCACATGCCCCGAGATCACAAACATCTCGCCACAAAAGGTTTCGGTAATAAATTATTCGCCAACAACATTTACTGAGTGAAAATATTTGTTTTGTTTGCCCCCCCGCAAAAAATAAATGCGTAAGTACTTATACTTTTGCTCAATTTTCATGAATTATATATAATTTTGAACATATTTATACAGAATTTCTCAAAAATTCATCTGTAAGATAACGTATGACGAATATTTGAATGGTGGCCGTAAATACTGTGGCCGAAATGTTTAGTACCTTTGCTGACGAAATAAATCAGCTGAGACTTCGAGCGCAGTGTTGACGACAAAATTTGATGGAAGTGCGATTTATTTATCAATAATTTACTTAGATCAGCAAGCTGAAAGGGTAAGCATTCATGTTTTATGATCATCTTTATAATGCATTTGATAATTATGAAGCTAGAATGAGTTGTATAACTTAAGAGCAATAAACAGTGAGTGCTGCTGAGGCTAACTAACTTTGAGTTTGAGCTGACTAATTTTGTTTTGGGAGTGATCAGCTACTGAGCTGAGCTGGTGATAGAAAAAGTGATACACACTCAGACGGAATGACTAAAGAATCTGCATGCATGAGAGTTATCATTGACTTCAGTGAGAGTGAGCAAATGGTTTGATCGAGATCTAAATTACTCGTACTACTGCCAGTACTGGTGTAGGTGAAACTGAGTTTGTGACTGTGAGGCTGACTTACTGTCAGTGTCACTGAGTCTCAGTTTGGTGAGTCCAATTTTGTTTAAAAATCAAGCACAAGCCAGTGAAGGCAAAGGACAAGCCAAGCTAGGCCTAGGCTAGATTTTGTCATCCAGATTCCAGGCAATACGTTACAGGCTTGCTGATGGGAGCAGTTATGAAATATGATATTGATATCACCCAGCTTTAGACTTGCCTTGTTTGGGTCTGGCATGCATACTTGTAGTACCTGCATGCAGCTGTGTGGAAAGACATGTAAACAAAAGTTTTGAAAATGTAGTGACGGAGCGGAATATAACTTACTGGGCCTAAATCTTAACTATAACTACAAAACCGACTATAATAAGGATTTATCCTACCATAGGCTGTATACTATACTGCTTGAAGTCTGTCTCAAGAAGCGCTTGAAGTGTTGCTCGTTGAGTGGAGCTCCACCGTCGCTAGTAGTAGTAGACCGAAGAGACAGAAGAGACGGGCAATCAACAGTGTTTGTCGCGTGCAGTCTCAGGTTCAATCTGATGTACCCAATAATCGACCCGACCGCGGAAACTACCGCGGGTGTCGCCCGAATGCGGGACTTACGCGCATATAACCGCCAGAGCCGTATTGGCTCTGGCTGAATCACTACATTATTCCCCACTTAATGAGTTTGAAGCCTACTTCTAACTAAAACTAAACTAAAACTAACTTAAAACTACTCCCGTACCGCAGTGCGGGGTCACGCCGTTCCCGCTGGTGGATGGGTCAAGGACCCTCCTTGCCAGCACCAGTGAAGTCTTGGTCTTTCCAGGGGGCGGGCGCCTTTATCATACCTTACAACGTACTGTATTCCAAACTTTGGTACGGGAAATATTATTTAAAGTACAGGTAAAATGCACTGTAAAATGTAAAATGCACTGTATTCCACAATTTGGTATATTTAAGTACTAAATAGGATTCAAGTCCCGGAAATGTCCCAGGGATCAAGAACAGAAAGAAACAGAAATATACCAGTTAACCCTTACCGTGCCGGTGTCACGTGTAAATGACAAAGAATAGCAGTCCTGGCACGGGCGTAAGGGATTAACCGGGGCATTACAGGCATAAAGAAACAGAAATATACCAGTTAACCCTTACCGTGCCGGTTATACATATTACATAATGACAAATTGCAAAACGTCCTGGCACAGGCATAAGGGATTAACCGGGGCATTACATTAAATTCCCAAGGTGACCGAGCATGAAAGTGTGAGTGATCAACATAAACGATGAATGGCAATAAGTGTGCAGAAAAGGGGAAGAGCCCGATGGCTCTCCATTCCCCAAGTGCAGTTTGGATGGTACAATGTCCAGAAACTGGGCAGTCCCACATGAGAGCCAAACGGCTCCCTACAGGCAGTCCAAACGGTGCATATAGGAAGTATTAGAATGATAAAAGCAGATCACTGAAATCAGATGGAAAATGATATAGAAGGTGAAAACACTTCCAACAAAATAAGATTACATTCTCTGGGCCACTCGGCACCCGGGGGCACAATAGCCACTGCCGGCAAGTTCCTGATATCATTCAGGGCACCCAGGCCCGTAACACCATCAAGCAAATTCAAAAGGCTTTTGTTGATCCAGAGGAATTACTCCAGAGGAATTACTCCAGAGGAATTACTCCCCCAAAACATGATCATATTCTGACTTATTATTGGAACCAGTACCACGTAGTGTCACTTGGGAGATATCAAAAGCCGGCCGTTTTATGGCCTCGAACACACATGAGTGCTCTGTCTCCCTGTGGAAAGAATGCTTCCTAGTCAGCTCTTAAAGCGGAGCAGCTAATTCAGCATAGATAACTCCGCTAACCGAAGCAGAAACTTTTCAGTTTTATTTAATTGTTATCTATTCAGTTTAAAAACATCAACACTTAAAGTTCAGGAACTCAGAATGGACGATTTACAATGAAATTAAACAGTGTAAACAAAAGTGAACTAAAATATATATATTTAAGACAAACATATTATTTCCCAGGAACAGGAACAGGCACCATGTCCTCGCGGACGAGCCGTTGTGAATGGCTTTGATAATGAACCATAATATATATACTTAACATGTTATTTCCCCCGATCAAACACGATCCGAGGAATCCAAAATGGGAGCCTGTGGGTGGGCTGGAAAAGGAAAAGGTCCTTACTCTGGAGCCCTGGACTCCCAACAACCTTACATCCTACCCGCTTCCCACTAGAAGGAGGCACCACGGCCGTCCTAGCGACTACCTGGACAAAGGGACCGACCGAAGAGTCAGGCGGGTCACTAACATTATTTACCTTGACAAAGGGACCGACCGAAGAGTCAGGCGGGTCACTAACATTAACTACCTTGTCCAAGGGACCGACCGAAGAGTCAGGCGGGTCACTAACATTAACTACCTTGTCCAAGGGACCGACCGAAGAGTCCGGCGGGTCACTAACATTAACTACCCCAGTATTTACCGATTGTAGGCCTCTCGGTTTCCAGATCGGAGATCGGCCTCGCTCTCCGACCCCTCCAGGTTTTCCGGAACACCAGTAGCCACGGGAGATAGAGGGCGGGCATTGGAAAGCATAGAAAACTCCAAAGACTTAACAGTCTTCAGTATTTCTTCTAGCATACAATCGGTATTGTACGCATGCGTCTTAAGACTGGCGACTTCCTCTTTTAAATAGCCAATGTCATTCCTGGCCTGAACTTCAAAAGGCGTTGTGACCTTCCCCCGGTCCTCCACAGGAGCCGGACGGGGAACATCTTGACCTTTGGAAACTGTTGGGGAACGATTTAGGGGATGGGGTTGCCTATGATGATAAATTACCGTATCATACCTGTCCACCTCCTGATCGTACATGCAAGTCTGCTGCACCTGCTGCCGAGAAGCCGAATACGTACGGCGAGCCTCGCTCCCATAAACAACACGTTGGGTATGTTGCGCCCACCTGATGGCTTCCAGGGCCTCCTCGACGGACTTCGGGCGCGTATTGAGAGCTGTTAAACCCGCCGCCTTATCCGTACAACCCTGGCATAACTGCAATACCATTTGAGTGCTGTCACCCCGTTGGTCCCACCCAAAAGCTTCAAAGGACAATGCTTGGAGCCGGTCGGACCACCCAAGGAGAGACTCCTCCGGGAGTTGGCGAGCCGTTCGAAATTCGGCTATGGCCTCCTCCGGAAATCGGGTAGCCCCAAACCGACGCCCCATCGCTGTTAACATATGGTAATAAGAATTAGTGCCCATATCCCTAAGGTTCGAAAAACAATCTGAGGCCGACCCCTCCACACACCAGCCTAGCGCATCCAAACACTCGCTTGGACTCCACTGACACGATACAGCATAACTGGTGAACTTCCTGAGAAAGGAATGCCAACTTGTTCGCCCATCGTAATTAAGTGACCTCGGCAGACGGGGGGGCCAATCCCGGCGCCCCTGCGACCGGTACTCTCCCTGACCCACAGGTGAGGATTCCCTGGGAGGATACTGAATGTCAGGTCGGGATTCCCCAGAAGGGGGATATACATAATCCCTACGTGGGGGTTCCCTGGAAAGCGGACCACAATTACTAGAAGGGGATTCTCTAGACGGGGGATAATAATAATCCCTACGGGGGGGTTCCCTGGAAGATGGACCATGATTATTAGGAGGGAAATCCCTAGAAGAGGGATAACAATAATCCCTACGTGGGGGTTCTCTGGACGGGGATTCCCTAGGAGGATAAGACCTGTCGGGCGGGGATTCCCGGGACGGCGGACAGTCAACGGCCCTAAGCCGATACTCGGCTGTGGGCTCGGCTGGGGAGCTGGCCGGTTGCGGCGAGCTCCTCCCCTGCTGTTGCTCAGCCGTAGAACTAGCTACAGGCCCAGCTGGGCCTCCATCTGTAGGTTTAACTATCTTAGCCTGATAAGGCTCAAAATCAAATAAACGTAAAAGCTCCTTGGCTTCATGGAGACGGGGACACTGCAAAAATAATTCCTCTGTTAAGTTACCACATTGCTCCCTCCAACTAATAATTTTGCCAGACTTTGTTTTATCGACAACGGCCAGTAAAGCCTCCTCAGTCCCATAATTCACTTTAACCTTCTCTGAGGCCATAACCGGCTTTAAATCAGCAACGATTAAATAGCCAAATGATAAAATTAAATACACAAACACTCTTTCCTTCTTGCTTACTTAATAATACCCTACTTAGTTTCCTAATTCCTTACTAAGTGCTTGACAGGTAAATACTGAAACCCTAAACCTCACTGAAAAACACCGCGGAATTATCTCCACGGTGAACAGCTTCAGCGAGCGGGCCAAAACTAAACCCTACTAAGTAACACTAAAGGACTACACTTAAACCGGCAATATACCTCACCGAAAAACACCGCGGAACTATCTCCACGGTATAATGCTCGGCGAGATGGCCGTACAATATTAGTAATGATGAAATGAAGATGAAATTAAATACCACCCACGATTTAACCCAAAATCCACAGATATCCAAAACAAGACTGACAGTCAAAAAATGCCACTTAGGTACCTACCCAATCCTTCCTTCTTGCTTACTTACTAACGTACGTAGTTCCTTCAAGGAAAATACTTCTTGCTTAGACTACTTAGTTTCTTAAAGGAAAATACTTGCTTATTTAGTTTCTTACTTAGTTTCTTACAGGAAAGACCTATTGCCTACTTAAAAAGTAAGAACTTACTTAGTTTCTTTCCAAAATCTTACTTAGTTTCTTTCATAATCTTACTTAGTTTCTTACTAAAAAATTCCTACTTAAACAACCCTATACCCATAGTATACCTCACCGAAAAAACACCGCGGAATTATCTCCACGGTAATAATACCTCGGCGAGAGGGTTGAAACTAAATTAATTATACTCCTACTCACTAATTCTACTCCTACTTAAACAACCCTATACCCATAGTATACATGGTATACCTCACCGAAAAAACACCGTGGAATTATCTCCACGGTAATAATACTTCGGCAAGAGGGTTGAAACTAGTCTAAATAGAGCCTACCCCTACTTACTAAGTTCTACTTAACCGACCCTATACCTCACCGAAAAAGAACACCGTGGAATTATCTCCACAGTATAAAACTCTGGCGAGAGGATCAAAACTACGAGCACGACAAAAAACGGCTGTACAACTAGTCTAGTGAGTAGAAAAAAAAAAAAAAACGAGCAAATTTAAGTACAAAAACTGACCGAAACCGATGTCAAAATCGAAATACGGCCGTAAAAATACCAACGAGTCCCTAAAAAACTATCCTACAACCCTAAGTAGACAAGAAATGAAAAAATATGAGCTTATAAGGCCCTACGAAAAAAGTTCCAAAAATAAAAAATCCCTTCAACACACGAGTCAACGTATCCAAGATGGCGGCTCGGACATGTGCGCGACCACAAAAAATTATCCCCAAAACACCGAAATGAGTACCCAAAAATCGGAATACAGCACTGAAAATACTCTACGAGTCCCTAAAATACTAATCTACAGCACTAATCAACTACCAATAGGGAATAAACAAGCTTACAAGGCCCTACGAATGAAATTACGAAAATAGAAAATCCCTTCAACACACGAGTGAACGCCGACAAGATGGCGGCTCAAAAACGTGCGCGATAAAAAAAAACTAGCCCCTACAGGTCCGAAAAAGAGCGATTACGCCATTGTAGTGACGGAGCGGAATATAACTTACTGGGCCTAAATCTTAACTATAACTACAAAACCGACTATAATAAGGATTTATCCTACCATAGGCTGTATACTATACTGCTTGAAGTCTGTCTCAAGAAGCGCTTGAAGTGTTGCTCGTTGAGTGGAGCTCCACCGTCGCTAGTAGTAGTAGACCGAAGAGACAGAAGAGACGGGCAATCAACAGTGTTTGTCGCGTGCAGTCTCAGGTTCAATCTGATGTACCCAATAATCGACCCGACCGCGGAAACTACCGCGGGTGTCGCCCGAATGCGGGACTTACGCGCATATAACCGCCAGAGCCGTATTGGCTCTGGCTGAATCACTACAAAAACATGAAAATGATGAACATGAAAAATATGATTGTAAATTTGTAATTACACACAGGCCTTGCAGATTACTTTTCGTAATCGATTCTTCTCTCTAACGGCCAAATCCATTCATGCATCACGCGTTGAAAGTCGGTGAACAGATTTTTAAACAGAAGTCAATTTTTGTTACAGTCACATCACAGGGCTTTGCTTATCTTGCTTGTAAATCCTGTTTATGTTAACTGACAAGACATACCGTAATTAACGTTTTATAAACCGCCCTCGTGTATTAAACTCACCCCTCTTTTACAGTAGAGGACCTAGGATAGAACCTTGTGGTACGCCATGTAACAGAAGAAAAATTGGAGGAATTATTATTATGAACTACATATTGAAATCTAGTATCAGAAAGATTACTTTCAAACCAAGATGACAGACAAATTTGAGTGTTGTTCTTGTTTCCGAGTGGTGAGTCAACACACCATTACTGAGCTGGGAGACATTGCCAGGCATAGCGCCAGATGGAGGGGCATAAATCGAAACTTTAAAAAAAAAAAAAAAAAAAAATTTGGCGGCAAAAAGGTGCGCTTTATACACCGTTAATTTCGGTACATGTGATTGACATGTGATTTTCATGAAGAAAATAAACATTGACCCCTGCCAAGAGCTTGTGATGTTGATCATGCATTGCCAGAATTTAATGCAAGTAATGATCCGGTGTAAAAATTGGAAAGGCTGATTATGCGTTGCAAATTGGATGCTGATGACAATAGGGATTAATGTATTTAGCGACACTCCAAGCACATACCTTTCTCATATTATCTCTACAGTGCTCTTTCATTTGCTCTGGCTACAATTGCTCTGGGCTTTATTTCGTCAAATGTCCAGGGTTAGGTTGCAGTTAGGTTTTAAGTTGGGTTTAGGAAACTTTAGGGTTGGCATTGGGATCAGGTCCGGGCTGAAGTTAGCAATTTGATTAGTGTACATGTAGGAGAATAATTCATTCATTAAAAATGTTTTTTATTTCAAAGAAATTAATAAATCATGTGTCGCAACATAAAGTTGAATTTTGCATGATTTACAATTAAAATGATAAAATATAACATGAAACATATTTATACAGTAAAAAGAATAATTTACATGAGTGATGGTTGAAAATAACATTAATAGTATACCAAATATAGGAGCGAAAGAAAAATACATTACAAAGATAAATTAATGTATTCTCTAACATAATAACAGAATTTTCTCATTGTCATGGTAAAAATGTATCACACAATCAATCTAATACCTATGTGAAAGGCCCCTGAGTGTTTTGTCTTGTAATACATTTTACGTGAAACAATTTGTTTCCCCGTGTGCTTGTAGATCATGGGCAAACTGACATGTGAGTGTCTCAACATCAACATCCACACCAAGGGAGAAGACCTCCAACCCCTGGACCGCACCCTCCTGGGTCTATCCATCGACCAGCTTAGGGAGCCCTTCTTTGAACGGGACATCGCCGAGGTGCAGCTGGATCTGGGTGGAGTCACAGAGGTAAATACGCTGGTTCATAGTTGCAGTCTGAGCATGAGCAGATAAAGGTCATTGCAGACCAAATTTGAAATACACAGAAACAAAATACTGGATACGTGCTCATGAAAGTTATGTTATCATTATTCATTTATGCACTCCATGATACACAGGGGAAACAAAGTTTATTTATGTAGCACCTCCATCGCTGTAGGAGTGATTATTTCAAAATGTACAAAGTGGGACCTCTTCATTTTTCAAATATCTGTGGATATTCAGGTTCACTTGGGACAAGTGCTAACCGTGAACTGGTTTATTTTTGATGATGGAGGATTATTGGATAAAGGATAGGCAGTTCACGAAGGGATGTTTCCTCTCAGAAATTCCTTGTGACAAACTTTCAGAAAGTTTATGGAGAGCCATTGCCGAAAGGTTTCTGTCAGTAAAAAACTCTTCAGATGCTTTTTCTTCCTAATATTTGCATCATGGATTCTCAGTTCTAGATCTCTGTCTTGCTAACATATCTCGTGTTCCAGTTAGCATAAGTGTACACGTGGGACTACACATGTATCAGATCTATTCATATAAAATTGTAAGATTTGAAAAGAAAATAGTTTCATCATTAACTGGTGTGTAAACCTACATTATTTTATATATGATATACTACACATTTCAGATAGTAAATATACAAGTCTAGTGTTTGTCTCGCCTGCGTAGCAAAAAAGGGAGACATAGGCGCCGCTTTTCCGGTGACGGCGGCGGCGTCAACATCAAAAACTTAACCTAAGGTTAAGTTTTTGAATTTTTGATATAATTTTGAAAGTATAAGTCCTTAGTCAATGAAACTTGGACTATAGGGTTATCAAGTATCCCCAATCATGTGAGCTGAAGCGCTTCCCTCGTTTAGGATTATCATTTTGTCAATTGTGTGTAAACTCACATTTTAATGTACATTTTGGACTACACATGTTTCATACAGAAGTTATGTGTAGTTGATCTACTGTACAGTACATGTTCTTTTAAAACTAGTTGGACAATGAGTACACAAATCCTTCAGCGTACATTTTATGGGAGTAGAAAATGGCATGCAGTTTTATACCAGCTAACCAGGCAGCCACATGTGTTCATGTCCAACTGTGAAACATATTTCCTGCCTGTTATAGCTGTTATCCTCTTCCTGCTCGGGCTGCTGTATGGAAAATTTCATTTTCAACTTTTGACATGTCTGGTAGGCTACTTCTAAAGTGCTCTTTGTTCTGAAATTGCAGACATGCTACATGATTATGTTGAAGAAATTATACACTTGTTATAACATGTATAGAGCTTTTAGATTAATGTAACTTGCAAATGGTTGAAACCTCCTTAACCAGTGTTTCTTAGATGCTGTATGTGTATATTAAAGCTGTTTTTCAGGGGGGGGGGGGGGGGGGTTGAGTTTTGTAAATCTCTCAGGACTGCAAATTTAACACAGCATGTCATCAAAATGTCTTTGGGCCTATAATTTGTGAACATATCCATACGCCATAAAATCGGCTTACACTGTAGCCTGTTGTATTCTTTTATTTTATTTTATTTGCACACTAATTAATTTTATACACCTTTTTTACACTACAGGAGCAGAAGTACCTGGTGCACAAGTCTACAGTTGGAGATTGGTGTATCAGGACCTGTGTTAACTGCAAGACACCATCATATGCTACCCATGCTACTAAGGGTTTGGAGAGGGTGTTAGTTAACACCAGACTTGTGGTAAGTTGTACAAGTATGTACTATAAAGCTTAGATTTGGTGTAATGTTGGTGTTTGTTTAAAAAAAAAAAATGAGTGTCAATGATTGGTGTATAACTACCGTAATTAACAGTGTATAAACCGCCCTCGTGTATTAACCGCACCCCTCTTTTTCGACCTAAAAAAAACTAAAAACGACTCTGTCGGCAGCAAGCCAGATCTGTTTAAAAAAACCCACGCGGGAAGGCCTTTCATTTCATTAACTGCGAGGTGCAGCTGAATGTGTAAGATCATTAGTGTAAATTAAAAAACAGTAGAGGACCTAGGATAGAACCTTGTGGTACGCTGTGAAATAGAAGAAAAATTGGTGGAATTATTATTAGAAACTACATATTGAGAACTATCAGAAAGATTACAATCAAACCAAGATGACAGAAAAATTTGAGTGTTCTAGTTTCTGAGTGATGAGTCAACACACCGATTACTGAGCTGGTGTGATGTTGGTGTTTGTTCACATCGTGAGTATCAGTTGGTGGTGTTTTGGGACCTGCAGTAACTGCAATACACTGTCGTACTCTCCATGCCATGACTAAACTAGAGTAGTTGCAATTGAGCATTAAGCATGTGTAGTCAAATCACTGAAAAGTTGCTATCCATCCCATCTATGTTGTTGTATTATCTCTGTCCTATCACCAAACTGACTCCTATCTATCTTGGCCATTTAGACATTAGAAAGTAAATTTAGTTTTGTTTCCTGTTAGGTATGTTGTCGGTAGACCTGGTAAAGGTATTGTTTATATGACTGGAGTACAACACTGGATTAAAGAGCTTCTTCTGGTACATAAAATGGTGCCTGCTTTTCTTCATTTCAAGTCTATGGATGTAGTTTTATCACTTGTTTTGTCTGCATGCAATCAATATTTGTTTGATAAATATAATGAACACAAAATCTATTGATGCAGCTACCCTGGTTAGATTTTCTTTCTTGTCTACGTGCAGTGTGTTTACAGAAAACAAGGTGTTTTGTGACAAACTTTTTTTTGTTAGTGTAGAACATTGCTACCTCAAGTAACGTATGCATGTTGATCTCATTATTTATAGATTTCTTTCGCAGGAATATGAAATCCTGTTGACATTTTGTTTCAGGAGTTTAGTTCCCCCCTGCCTTTCCCTATGTTCTGTCCTATTTATAGATATGACTTTATGAAATCATTTCTAAATAAAAATGAGTTTACTTTAGTTCTTGAGTGTGCATACATGTAAGTCTACTCCCTCGATCTATAGGTAGCGGAAGGAGAGGAAGAATTTGTTGTAGTCTTCTCATGTTTTTTGGAATGCTCAAGTGGATAGACATTTATCCATTAAATGCTGAACGTTACTTAAACATAAAAGCATATAAGAGAAATCTGGCCAGGTTGGGTAGCTATACAACCTAAATTGAATATGAAATAAAGTATCCCAATAATGATACCAACTATGAATGTTAATGGAAGCTTGTACAGTTTTTGAATGAAACAACTAAATTAATGGGTCTTTTAAAAGAGTGCTTTGATTGGCTAATATTTTTCTGCAGAGTCTGACAAACTCTAAGGTCAACATATGTTCTAGTTTTCTTGTAAACACGGCAAACCACACAATGTGGTCCATTGTCTCGAATGACTTACGATAGGTTTGAATGCATTTGTAATATATTTTTATTTCCTCACAGAGCGATGAAAGGAGACAGGAGAGTATCCAGTCATTGGATACGTTCTCATCCCTGTACAAGGTGGTCTTGGGCGACAGCGGAGAAAAATCTAACAGCTCATCATTAGGTGAGTGCATTTAGTTAATGTGTTAATGTGATTTAGCTTATAATTGATTACCATTACCTTTCATGTCTGTACCTTTCCTATCGCACTTTGTATAAATGTATCATGTATGTATTTCATCTTTTGCACAAGCTGCGCCTTGAGCATTTGACTGTCAAGTGGATTTGGCGCCTTATAAATCATATGTATTATTATTATTATTATTATTGTGGTGGAAGGGGGGGGGGGGGTGAAGAGGGGAACGGGTAGAAAAAATTATAACTACATTGTCAGAGCTGCCAAGTAGTACGTTTTTAACGTATTAATACGTTTTTGGGGGGTAAAATACGTTTGTACGTTTTGCTGTGCTAAAATACGTTTTTCGAAAGTTTCGAGTATGGCTGTGCAAACGTGGCTGGCTGTGAGAACGAGCGTATGCAGAGTTGTGCTATTGTTTTGTATTGGCGATTCCTGCAGCGCGCACGCATCCGCATTGCACACAACACAGGGGATGTACACCACTCAAAGACATGCACATTTCCCCAGTCCATGCATACAGTACGGTACATGTACCGAGTATCGAGCCAGCGAATCCAATTGCCATATCCTTAACACACGCAAAATACATACCAATGCATTACACACATTGTCACTCACTAACTAGTACAAGAAAGTCCCGTTGTCACTTCCAAAAATCCATCCTAAAAGCCAAATTTTGCCGTCAAAAATGCGGAATCAGAGCCATATTTCCAAAGCATGCGGGGGCTTAGCCCAGTTATAAGAAACAGTTTCTCCAAAAAAGCGCTAAAAATCAAGAAATCAGTGATTTTATTACAAGTTTTTTCGATTATCGCAAGCCCTTCGAATGTGATGGTATCTTCAAAAAGTCAAATGAAAAACAAACACCGGACCCTGCTGATGCATTGACTTTGTGTACAAATTGATTCGACCCTCATATTCATTGACTTAGCGTTTTATTTTCAGATGTCAATGATTGAACACATTTTTAATCAAAGAAACATAGTTGCAATAGTATTTTACAGGGAAAATAACAAAAAAAAATTAAAAACAGGCAAAATATGTTTTTTCACCTAAAAATATGCTTTTTCAAGTTGAATAATATGTTTTTTGAGAATGACAGGTTGGCAGCTCTGCATTGTTATTAGGTTAGTGCATTCGGTCTGTGTGTGAATGTGGATGTGGATGGTGGGAATGGGTGGAAACAAATTGTAACTTTATATGAGGGCTTTGGAGGGGCGGAGGTAAATGTATTAGAAAGGGAGGGGGGGGGGGGGGGGCTAAGTATAATCAGTAGTTAATAAAAAAAGTGCGGCTAAGGCAACAATTATAACTTTATATGGGGGGCTATAGAGGGGAGGGGCGGAGGTACATGTATTAGAAAGGGGAGGGGGTGGGGGGCTAAGGAGAATCGGTAGTCATTAAGAGAAGTGCGGCAAAGGTCGGGGGGAGGTGCCATGGCAAAAAAGTAGTTAATAAGACAAGTGTGGCTAAGGTCGAAGGGGGGGGGTGGGGTTATTGTAGAGGTGTAAGCCCTATGTTTAAGATGGCGTTAATTAAATCTTCTATGTACGTAAGTCTAGCAGGTCTTATGACTTGGAGGGAAATGATGTTGGTAGGATCAGATGTGTATTTACCCTTTTGTTTGGGGTATCTTTAGATTTTTGCAAGGAAATGCAATTTATTTTCATTTTGGGCTCTATATCATTTTTAAATAATTGATGTTAACTATTTTTTATTTCTTAACAGTACATCCGATGACAGGGAACCAGGAGGTCATAAGAAAGACCGTAGCACAGCTGCAAGATCATCTCAACAAATACATCAGCAGAGAAAAACTAGCCATGGAAGAGAGAATAAGGTAAGAGAAAGAGAAAGAGAGAGGGAAAGAAAGAAAGAAAGAATGAAAGAAAGAAAGAAAGAAAGAAAGAAAGAAAGAAAGAAAGAAAGAAAGAAAGAAAAAAATGGGCCAGTGATGGATGTGGAAAGGGGGGGGGGGGGGTAGGACTTGAAAAGATTGAAGGACTGTAGCGTAGCTTTAAGACCATCTCAAGAAATATATCAGCAAAGAAATAAGGTAAGAGAGAGAGAGCAACGGAGGGGGAGAGAGAGAGAGAGAGAGAGAGAGGGGGGGGGGGGGAGAGAGAGAAAAAACTAAAGAAAGAAAGAATAAAACAAACGAAGAGAGAAAGAAAAAAAGGAAAGCCCAGAAAAGCTGCCATCAAATGTAGAACAAGTGAGAAAGAAAAAAAAGTTTACTGAATTTGTGAGCTTTAAAAAAGTATACCTGTTGAGTTATAATGACTGTTTTTTCTCAGAGAATCCTTGATGCTGAGATATGTATTGAAATGTTATGAACGACAGTATTTGTATGGACAGAATCCACATTGTCAACATGATCTGTTGCAATGTCAGGCAAGTCCCTGATACAAGCTTTCGGTTGTCAACGGCATCTTTTGTCGAGCAGTATGTTTAAAATCTGAAGGCATTGTGCCAACTGGCCTATTGATGTTCATGTACATGTACATGATCTATTGTTAGTTGTTTACAAAATTCCTGTGACCGGTATTCACCTCCATACACATGTTCATGTACGCATCAAAATGCTGCACATGCTATCATTAGCATCTGGTGAAAACATTTTGTTTATTATCTCAAATTCCCAGCATTTTGTTATGTCTAGACTTGCATTGTCATCTGAACAAACAAAGATCTTGACAGAACTTCTACATATTAACCCTCACATCACCTTGATTCAAAATTCTGGATTGACTGAGTGTATATTGCATTAAGTTCTGGTGATGATGTGGTTAAGTTGTTTTTTTCATATCGGAGCAGGGAATTTGGAGTTTGAAGAGGGTAGTTTTCCGTTGTTGACATTGAGGAGTGTATGTTGCATAGTTATGTGTATGTTGCATAGTTATAGGTGTACATGTACATGTAGATTGCAGGAGGCGAGTGACATCTTGTATATACGTGGACTCCTTGTCATTTGATTACATGCAACTTCAATTAAATTTGAGTTACTACCATTGGATGTTGAGGTCTAATATGGCTTCGGAGCATTTCATGTTTGAGGACTACCTGCCCGTGTAAGTCTGAATAATCCAAATTGCCTCAGTTATGGGCCCCTTCTCACAAAACTTTTCATCAGTGACAAATTACAGGTTTTGTTGGAAGCTAGTGAAATCCTTGTTTCTGATTGGTTATCAGCAGATTTGTCACTGTCATTGGAAAAAGACTTTGTGAAACGGGTCCCTCCTTTTCCAGATTTTTTGCTTTTAAGAAGTACACCCTCCTGCATTCAAAGAGCCCTTAAGTTTCATACTTCTTTCATAATTTTTGTGAGACACTAGTGATTTTTTTGGTATTTTTGGATAAAGGGCTAATATTAATACACCCTTCTTTGTTGAAACAGGCCTTTCATGTATATTCCAATTTGAAGAGATAGATATAGGTTTGTTGGTTTTATTGGATGGAGAGCTCGTATTTTATCACTCTTCTTCACTTAAATGTGTCTTACCTGTCCAGAGTAACATACATACTTTATTTTAAACTTTAAGATACTCGGTGAATGCACTCAGCACTACATTCAATGCCTAGAAACCTTTCAGAAACATGTTAAAACGGTTTTATTTATTCAGAGTTACAAATGATATTATGTTGTTAAAATTCTGGAGAGAGATTTGTGTATTTTGTTTTGTATAGCACCTTGAGTAATTAATTAGAAAAGTGCACGTTATAAATATTTATTATTATTATTATTACAGTTGCCAGCCAGGGTTAAGATATCCTAGGTCCTTTGGAAGCGCATGGAGAAGTTATATCATAATGTTATAAGTGCTCTACAAGAACGGAATATTATCATTTCACCTCAATATTTCACTCTTTCAGGAGATACAGCGAGGAGCAGAAAGCAGCATTCAGCAATCTGCAGAAGAGAGCATACCAGGATAAGAATGTCATGGTTGGGTAAGTTTGGAGGATGAAACTGATGTTGAAATGATGAAATAGAGAATGGACAGTTTGCGTCAACATTGGATAGCTCTTAGAATGTAAGGTAGTCCACTTGAAAGCCATTTACATGTAGGAACTAGAGACAGAGAATACATGTAGAATTCTGCTAGATAACAATCTATAGTGCATTAAGGCATCAAAAGTACTAGGTGTAAAAGAATAGAAAGTTGAATAGCACTTTCCAGCACCTTTTCTGGGATAGCCCAGAACTCTGGTTGCCAGCTAACTGATAGAATCAAGTAAAGCATTACATTTTGCCCTTGGTGATTTGTTTTAGTTTTATGGTAGGATCTAATGACTTTTCGTATGTGCTGCCCTCTTGTGGCCAAGAGAGGAAAACTGTATTTTGTTATTTTTGTAAGAAGTAAGAGAGCAGTAAAGAGCAGGAATTTGTATGTTTTCACCATGACCTCATTGGTTTGAGAGTACAGGGTTTATATCATAACCAAGTGCATTGCATTGGGTGAGTGGGATAGTCCAACATCGCAGTGCAATATCTTTCATTTGATGGGATCTAGACGTTTATGATCTTGTGGCAATTTACAGGCTATTGTGTCATTTGTTTGTATCATAGTAGCCAGCAATTTGCTCCTTAGTCTCACCGAGTGGGAGTTTGTATTTGTTGCATTTTCTGGGGTTGCTTATCAACATTCTTGCTCTTTTATTCTACTGAATGAATGGAGGCTCATAGGTGTGCTCGCCTTTGATGAGAAATTCCAGTCAAGACTAATTCACAGATTGAAACGCAACTAACCTTAAAAAGGTGTGCTTTATAAATACACGTAGGTTTTCATCGTAGAGGTGTCTTGGTCGAGTGGATACGTCACCGGACTGTGGATCACAAGGTCTGCGGTTCGAGTCCCGCCTTTGGCAAGACATTGATCTACATTCACCACACTCAACCCAGGTGATGTAAATGGGTACCTGGCAGGATTTAATTCCTTAAATAATAGAGCGCCGTAATGGCAACCTTGCTAAAGCAAGGGTAATAATCAGAAGCACCAGGAGTGTCAAGTCAGACAGATACGAGTGCTATACAAAAACCCAATATTATTATTTATCGTTTCATTACAGTGTCATCTTGAATGCTGAAGAGAGGAGCCTGGAAGATTCATTATCAGATGCTATGTTGGATAATACGCTAACCCCACCCACCACGCCAATTACAAGGCCTGGGGCTGTGCAAACCAGATGTGAGTCATTATATCATGAAATCAAGTACTGTGGTGGTTATTTTACCTGACAGCTAAGAAAGCAATAAATGCTTGTTAGTAAGCAACCAGAAGACCGACGGCTTTAGGTCCTCTCCGAGGGACCTGGTAATGAGGATTAATGCCTTACCAAAGGGCACTAGTGCATCGACTTGGTTTTGACCACTGCTCTACCGCTTGAGCTATCGCGCCGCCTCTGTGAGAATGAGAAGAGAAAGTTTCACCAAATTTTTTGAGTGGTTGAGTTTGTTAAAGTTTATGTTGTGGTAAACAATTCAATTACTAGATGAAATTTTGAAATTCATGAAAGTTTCAATAGCACAAAACAGTCAATAATGAATAAATTAATGAAAATTTCTGGTATAACAGTATTCTTCTCAGAATTATAACACTTTGCGAACACAAATTTAATAATTTTCATTTCCTTAGGGGAAAAAGTTGACTAAGAACCTGAAGGTGTTGTTATGTTTCCATGCGCAATATAGTTTCTGCGTTTTTTGTTTATCTAGTATTGTTTTTTAATGTATTCATTATTTTTGTGTTTATCTCATTAAGCTTGCAGCATCAGTTACAGTTTTACATTTATCTCCTATTATTTGATTATTGTTTAGTCTCTGTTTATATCTTTTGTTTTTAATATGTGCTGATTTTTGTGAAATTTATTTTAGTTGCAGCATCAGATAAACTTGCCTCATCCGTACCAGCATCGAGAGCCCCTATCAGAAACTTTGGTCCGTCCATGCCTATTAAGAGCAGACCTATCCCCCAGCAAGCTCGTAGAGTGCAGGTATGATCATGATACTTTGGTGATGATGTGATGGTGGTGGTGGTGGTGGCGGTGAGGGTGATGGTAATGGTAATGATGCTGATGGTGATGGTGATGGTAATGGTGGTGGTGTTCGTGTTGGTGATGATGATGGTGGTGGTGATGAGTGTGGAGTTAGATGATGATGATGATGATGATGATCAACGATCTGTCAGTAACTTTGGTCCGTCCATGCCTATTAAAGGGATCTGGTAACTTTGTCTCAGATTCTTAAACAAAATTCTGGATTTAGCTCATGCTGCAATGATAATTATAAAGCTTGAGGTCAATCAAGAGCCCCATGACTTTTACAAGTCGATCGCCTGTCTGATTATCAAGATATTTATGATTGGAATTACAAATTTTGAAAACCGTTCGCCGAACGGTTTTCATAACACTACAGTCTATTGGGGAAAACGAGTATGGTAAAGCCGGTCACTCAAAGAATTTTACTTTTTGAGGCATTTCTTGATCATTTCGAAGCGGGATTTTTTTAGGGCTTCAATATTACACCATATCACAGACACTGATAACACGTAGGGCCGTGTATCTCAGATTTAACATTGTTAAACGATCCCTTTAAGAGCAGACCTATCCCACAACAAGCTCGTAGAGTGCATGTATGATCAAGATACTGTGGTGGTAATGATGACGATGTTGATGATGATGACGACGAGGATTATGATGATGGTGATTGTGCTGAGTTGGTATTGGTGGAGGTGATGTTTGATAGTCTACGTACATGTATCAGTAACTTTATGCTATCATCAAGGCCTGAATTCAGTCTTATCTTACAACGAGCTCGTAGAGTGCAGGTATGATCACAAAACTTTGGTGATGATGCGTATGATGTTGATAATGATTGTGATGAGAATGATGATGGTAATGATGATGATGATGATGGTAATGATGATGATGATGGTGATGATGTTGATGATGATGATAATGGTAATGATGATGATGACGGTGGTGGTGGGGTTGGGGATGATGATGCTGGTGGTAGGAAATTCTGATTTTGAAGGTTCATATACAGAAATAGTTATGACATTGTCTTTTTCATTATCTGTTTACAGCACAGCAGTGTTGCTAGATCCGTTCCCGCCCATTCTGCACACCGAGATATCACCAGAACCAGCTCAGATGCAGATAGTAAGTGTCTCCCATTTTTCCAGATTTTCAATAGAGGGATTGCGCCACTCGTATCACAAGCTGTCTGTGTGCTTGCCTTAGCCCTAGAAAAGATGGGTTATTTTGTTGGTCTTTCAGCCAGAGAGAGGGTGAATTCCATGCCCCCCCCCCCCCCCTGATCTTGGTCATGGAGTGACAAAACCAAGACCTTTCTGATCTAGTTCATGGGAGTGACGAAAAATTCTTTATTTGGCACATGGATAGGGCATCTTGTAACACATGTTCCATGTCTTAAACTGTTTGGAATTATCGCTAATTCATTATTTCATATTCCTATGATTTTGCACTATGTACAAAGCATGTGGAGAAATTTCCATTTATTGTTGATTGTTTTTCTTGTTTATTCAATGTAAATAAACATGATATAGTGTCTTTTTCTATTCTTTATAAGTTTTCATTTGGCTATTCCGTTGATTTATTGCAAATTTGGTCTTGAAACGAAATATAAAAGCTGGAGTTAACCTGTTAAATCTGATGTTATTTTAATATAACACAAATTTTTCATAAAGCCAGTTCAAATTTTATGCCAACACGGTTAAATATCAATTGTGCAGTTAATGGAATTTTGAAATGATCCAACTTCTTTTGTTTTTCAGCCATGTTTGATCTGGAGGGGTTCACCCAAGATGAAGAACCATTCTTTGAATCAGATGAAAGCAGTACAGATGGTAAGACTTGTATTAGAAATATCACAACCTCTCTTCCCCCCAACACCCCTCCCCCTGCACCCCTCCCCCCCCTTACACCCCTCCCCTCCAGTATAAATGCCCTCTGGCATTTGGCCCCCTGGGGTGGTATTCATATGAAAGCCATACAGATGGTAAGAATCGGATTTGAAATGCCACAACCCTGACCCCTTGAGAGTCTGCCCCCCCCTCCCACCCAGTATTACTACCCCCACACATATGCCTCCCTCCCTCTACTAGGGTGGTATTCATATGAAAGCCATACGAATGGTAAGAATCGTATCAGAAAAACTACAATCCGACCTTATGAGAGTTTGACCCCTGCTCCTACTCTCTACAGTATAACTGCCCCCTGACATTTGGCCCCGCCCCCCGGTTGGTATTCAGATGAAAGCAGCAAAGCCATTGGCTTCAGAAAGCAATGAATGTTGCCTGGCTGAAGCCCATGTGGCAGACCACACAAAACATGGGATAGAATAGAAAAATATATGAGAGCATCTGGCCTCACCCAGGTGGATGCAGAAGGTTTTAATAACTACAGTCTACCGGGGAGAATGAGTATGGTAAAACCGGTCACTCAAAGATTTTTACTTTTTTGATGCACTTCATGATCACTTTGAAGCACATTTTTTTTAAGGGCTTCAATTTTACACCATATCACAGACACTGATAACACATAGGGCCATGCATCTCAGATCTCAAATCTGGAAATATTGATAAACAATGCCTTTAACAATAGTGATGTTGGGATATAACCAATTAACCAAGACACCTCTATTTGCTTCGCTGATCAGATAACTCGCTGAATGATGAGAACCTTGCCCCGCCCATGACGAGAGACAGAGTGCTTCACGAGTACGCAACCTCCGTCCCTATCTCCATGCCGATGTGGAAGAAGGAGAAGCACTCATTTGAAGAGGTAGCAGAGGAGAAGGTATGGATTCAAATATTGACGTTGTTAAAATGAAGGTTGAGTTCTTGGGAGAGGTGAACAATAATTTGTGAGCGTTATCATTGTTATTATGCAAGTGTGGAACATCAGATAAGACATGTTCCCTGAAAAGCATGGCTCTTCAAATTGTGGGAAAAACACATTTAAGGAAAAAGTTGTCATAAAATACCAAATACCAAAGTCTTTGACCAGCTATGTGTAAAAGAGCACTGATCAGTATCTCAAGAAGAATTAAAGTGTGTTTGTAGAGTTAGGAAAGAGAAAATTGTAATGTATACTACAGACCCAGAGCTCTATAATCTACTTTGTATGTGTAGAGGTGTCATGGTCGAGTGGATATGTCACCGGACTGTGGATCACAAGGTCCACGGTTCAAGTCCCACCGTGGCACTAATATCCTTTGGCAAGACATTGATCTACATTTGCCACTCTCCACCCAGGTGTTAATTAGGTACCCTGTAGGATGTGAAAGCTAATGTGCTTAGATTAGCAAGTGTGCGCTTGTAAAAATGACACCTGGCTGGAATGCTCCCCAGGGAGTGGAGATTGTGCACACAAAGTGTGTAGGCAAGTATTGAATCCAATGACCGGGGTAATAAGACATCTGTAAAGCGCTTTGAGAGGGCCTGTGGTCCTGAAATGCGCTATAAAAGAACGAATTATTATTATTATTATTATCTTGTTTTAGGTGCCGATGCCGGAGCCTGATCGGATGGTTGCCAGCATGAGGGCGCTGTCCTTTAGCGTTAACGACGGGACGGAGATGTTCGGTGACCTCCCGAGGCCGAGATTAAACACCGTCGGGGAGGTGCCGATCAAGAAAGGATCGCGAAAATTGTAGTTTAGTTGTATAGATTATAGCATGTAGATTATATTGCGTAGATTATCATCTGTTTTGAACGGGAAGGACGTTACCTCATTAACTTTAATCCATTAGCAACTAGAGATTTTGTAAAAATGGCCCATTACTCACTGGAAGATGTTGCAATATTACTCTCATTTTGAGAGCAGTTTGATATTGTTCTGAACAATATGAAACATGCGCTATTTTTCTATGCAGAATCCTACTGTAGACATCGTAAGGATCACGCACGTTTATCATTGTCATGGTAGACCCCATGATCAGATACTACAGCACGTTGAAAACAGATGTAAACGGACGGGCGGTTCAGTTGCTAAAGTATTAACAGAGACTTAACGTCCTTCTGGCTCCAAACAGACGTTATAGTATTGTCAGTTTAGAGCTGAAAGGGAATTGATTCTACATTCACTGTAGAGCAAAACCCTATACTGCCGCATTGTTCAGAGTATATAAAAACATATATACTCGTTATACATACAGTGTACTTGTGACAAAAGTTGAGCATGGCAGACCACCACGCACAAATGTCCTTTTAGGAATTAGCTGTAGAGGAAAAAAAAAAATGCCAAAATCGCTGAACACATGTTTGCTGATAGAGCCTTCCATGCGGAAAGATACATCGTTATGGTCTAGATTTCTAGCTGTAAAAATCCATCTTACAATTGCATACGTTATAAGCTTGCACAAAAAAAAAACATGCCAAAATATACTATGTAGAAAATAATACGGGGAGACATTACAGAAATGCCAAAATTGTGAAGTACGTGTTAACTGATCGAGCCTTCTACGTGGAAACATTCATTATCATTAAGGCTGCAAAGAGTACTCAAATATTCGAGTACTCGCACTGTTGACAACTACTCGAGTACAATTTATCATACTCGGAACAATTTAGGCAAAAAACATGGCCTCCGAGTATTTGAGTATTTGCCTGTAAGCATGGGAGTGAATTCGAGTACCTCAGTACACGGTTATGCACTGCCTTAATCATTATGGTGTACCTCTTTGTCTGTTTATTGTAGGGAAGGATTTGTCAGGGTTTCAATGGTGATGGAAAAACATGAAACAAAAAACCCAAATTCATGTGAATTAATTGTTGGTGTGGGCCGTGTGTGGCTATAGCAGCCTTTAAGTTTGAATTGACAATGGGCGTGGTATTTAGATGCTGCAATCCATACCAAAAGTGAAATTGTCTTGTTACAGCAAAAGGCAAAAAGGTGTCATGGAAAGTCATGGACTTTAGTTTTCATATTTCTGTGGGAACCCTGAAAAGTATCAGCAAGTCAAAATTCCTCTCAAAATGATCTTACCTGAAACTGATTTGAATTTTCCCCATCGGGAGAAGGGCATGCTCTACTTTCATGATAACTGTTTAAAAAGTTTTGATATTTTAATGTATAGTCTATACAAAAGATTACTAGCAAATTTTCTACTTCAGTCCCATACATTGCAAATAGTGTTACTATTTGTAATGTATGGGACTGAAGTAGAAAATTTGAAATGTCAGCTGTATTGGGGTCTTCCTTACAAATGTAAATTGTGTATATTTGATGGAGACGAGAACGTCTATGCAAAGAGAATCAAAACGATGATTTAAACCAAATTGTATAGAATCCAATGAACATGGAATTAAATTTATTGAAAAGAAAATTTGAATTGAAAGGCTTAATGTTGCATAAATATTTAGGTGAGATAAGTCAAAGATATATGTGTAATATGTCGTAAGTCAAACAAGCAACTACAAAATTAAAAGTTGTTAGCACAAGTAAATTGGCAATTCTGGATGAAATCAAAACTTTTTACAAAGTGAAACATTCATGTGTTCATTTGATCATGAATATGACTTGTCCAGAAGTATAAATCCCCCAAATTCAAGTAATCATTCAAACTTTCTTGTAATCGAGCGGGCCGTGTGGTTCATATAGGGCAAGTAAGTTTGTGAATAACTAAATATTCTTTTTCCTTTAGACATGATTTCTTGGAATGTTTGTTGAATATATTCATATTGGTTTTCTGTAGGTGTTTATGCATACTTACCATTGCATGACGGTCAATAGAGTTGGCCATATACATTGTACTTTACACTCAAGTTATAAAAAGTGTGCACAGACTGTGTAATGTTGCATTTTGTATAAATATAGCCTCTACATATGGACAGTTGATTTATTTTGCTCATACATGTATATCATGTCGAGTTATATGTAAGGAACCTGAATCTTGAGACAAATCATCATTTTTATCACTCAAATCTCACTTTTCTCTAAAATAAATTATGTTCTGTTGAACTATAGTGAATTATAATTTGTAAGGAACCTAAATCTCATGACGAATCTTCCTTTTTTCTCTCAAATCTCACTTTTCTCTATAATAAATATGTTTTGTTGAACTATTGTGAATTATTATTTGTGAGGAACCTAAATCACAAAACAAATCGTTATTTTTTCTCTCAAATCTCACTTTTCTCTATAATAAATATGTTCTGTTGAACTATGGTGAATTATAATTTGTAAGGAACCTAAATCATATGACAAATCTTCCTTTTTTCTCTCAAATCTTACTTTTCTCTATAATGAATTATGGTCTGTTGAACTGTGGTGAATTATAATTTGTAAGGAACCTTAATCTTATGACAAATCATTAATTTTCCTCTTAAATCTCACTTTTCTCTATAATGAATTATGGTCTGTTGAACTGTGGTGAATTATAATTTGTAAGGAACCTTAATCTTATGACAAATCATTAATTTTCCTCTTAAATCTCACTTTTCTCTATAATGAATTATGGTCTGTTGAACTATTGTGAATTATAATTGTAAGGAACCTTAATCTGATGACAAATCATCATTTTTCTCTCAAATTTCATATTTCTCCATATCAAATTATGTATGGTCTGTTGAACTCATCCATATTCTAGAAATAACACGGTTAGTTTTGCCTAGTTTTGAGTACCTTCAGGGCCCCATTTCACAAAACTTGTCATCAATAGCAAGTAACAACAACTGTTATAAGCTACTGAAATTGTGGCATTTGATTGGCTGAGAGCAAATTTGTCATAGAAATTTAGCATTAATTATTGATAACAAGTTTTGTGAAACTGGGCCCAGGTTTTATTTATGTGATTTATTTAAGAAATGCGTACACACGATCAGTATTGCTAGATTAGCTCAAGGAAATTGAGGTGAAAGAAATCATCTCGTTATCCCTTTTGATTTTTGTCATTACTGTATAACCTTTGACCTTATCAGAAAGTTTATGAATACTGTTAAATGCATGTCTTGGTGTTCAATATGTATATCATTATGTTTGCATTTATGGTCATGTGACTTTAATGTAATTGTATATATTATCTGTTGACTGCCAGAAGGGGTGTTAAACTCATATACTTTTACACAGAGTTAATTAATGTCCTTCAAGCTCTCAATGGATAAATTATTGTGGATTGTCACAATTGATTTGTGATTCAAGTAACTGTGTGTGTGTTAGAGCACATATATTGCATAGTTGCACAAATATTGCATATTGTTGTACAGGGGAAGTGCTTTTACAAAGGGAATGGGGGATGCAAAGTAAAAGTAAAGAGGAACAAAAAGAAAAAGTTTCAACAACAATAAAGTTTGGAAAAGCAAATAAAATTGAAATGTTACAAAAACATGCAGGGGACTCATTCACTAAAAAACATATTTTTATATATTTTCATCATTTTTAGATGGAGGGGAAGAACAGGGTACAAATTATTAAGTTGTGAATAAGGTAGAAAAGAAAGTATAATGGATAAGGAGAATGAGAAATGAACAGGGAAGGATAGAAGGTCTGAAGAGTTGAAAGATGGGATGATAGAGGAACTAGAGATGAAAGGAAGATGAGCAAAAAGAAAGTGATACAGAAAAATTAATGAGAAGAGGGGAAATGTATTTCATACAAGGTAAACATAATTTGTCAAGGGTAGAATATTTTTGTTTGCTCAATGGTTTAGTTAGGAAGTTGTGCCTGTAAATTTGCTCTCCTGGTTATTTGTATATGTTGCTTGTACAGGCAAACCTGTCTATGAAGGCCATGCCAGAGAACAGAAAATTGGCCACTGAAGACAGATGTCCTTTTTTGAAAGTTTTTTTTTTCTTCCTAGAAGGAGAAAAAAATTAGGTGACCTTTATGGACAGGTGGCATTTATAGTGCGATAGCCACTAAGACGAGTTTGAATGTTCGTTTTCAAACCAGTGTTACAGGCTAAATTAATTTACACGCTTTCTACAGGAATCACTATGAATATGATTGACAAAGAAAGCGGACAAAATATACAGTTCCTCATTCTACCCTCAACAATTGCTGTGGTAGACAAAGGAACATCCCTTCACTGCTTTTATGTAAAAATCTGTAGAACAGGTGTCACATGCATATTCACCTGTTCTACACATTTTTACATAATAGCAGTGAAGGGATGTTCCTTTGTCTACCATAGCAATTGTTATGGGTAGAATGAGGAACTGTATATTTTGTCAGCTTTCTTTGTCCGTCATGTTTATAGTGAATGCGTTTGGCCGAGTCTGGAGTAGGCAGACTAATCCCTCTGCTTTGAAAGATGGTAGGGGGTGAGTCTTCATACTACTAACTCCAGACCTTGCCAAACACATTTTTTTGAAAAGGAGAAGGGGTTCGTTTAGTTTGATCTGTTGATTTTCTGTCTATGTTAGTTCAGCTTCCTAGATGCAATTTTGTAGAATATTGAATTTATGAGCATACACAGCTACTTTGCCCATTTATGATTTTGTGCCTTGAATGTATTACGTACTAAAACAAAAACAAAGAATGTTGATAAAATGGTATGTTGTTGAAGGCTGCGTATGAGAATAGTCTTCACATCAGCGGTCTGTGTTTGTATCAAGAATGAGACATATTAAAATGGCCATATATGGTGTTTTATTTGCAATAATACATCATTTCCTTTCCACTGTTTTTGTTATGGATGTTGTGATGTCAGCTTTGATGGACAGGCAGGATGGAGATATTGTCAGGGATGAGAAGAGAGAGAGAGAGAGAGAGGGGAGAGAGAGAGAGAGAGAGACAGAGAGAGAGACAGAGATAGAGACAGAGAAACAGAGAGAGGGAGAGAGAGAGAGGATGTAGTACTACATGACATTGAATATAAATAATGATATAAATAAAGATGAAGGGAGGGATAGAGAGGGAGAGAAGATTAATGAATAGGAAATTAGTGCTATAATTATATAACATGAATATAAAAGAATAGAGAGGGGAGGGAGAGAGAGAGAGAAAGGAGGGAATTGAGAGATAATTAGTGCTTTAATTATGTAGTACTAGAATAGTGATAGAAATGAGGAGAGGAAGGAGAGATCGAGATAGAAGATTAATTAAGAGGAAATTAGTTCTATATTTTATATGAACGTGAATATAAATGAAAATAGAGAAAAGGGGGATAAGGAAAGTGGAGAGAGAGAGATAGTGTGTGGGTGTGTTTTTTTAAAGGGGGAGCCTGGAGAGAGAGATAGAGAGAGAGAGAGAGAGAGAGAGAGAAGGGAAAATAAATTATACATATCTCTCTATTGAAAATTACAGAGTGAATATCCTGAACGGAAAATGCATAGCAGAAGGTAGACAGAAATAACCGTCTGGTGTGGGTCATTTATTTAATAAAACTGACATTTGTTGACATTCCCCATACACAGAGGTCTAGTGGAGCCAGACGTAGTCTCAGTGGAACAATCGACGATAATTTATAGAGAGACT